GTCTCCTTTTCCACCCTCAGAGCCGCCTCTTTTTCCTTTCGTGCCTGCTCTTCCTTGGTTTTTCTCTCGCGGTCTTCCTTCGCTTTTCGCTCCCTAGCCTCCTTCTCCTTGGCTTCTCGCTCCTCGCGTTCCTTCTTTTTTGTCTCCTCGCGTCTCTGCCTTTCTCGCTCCTTCGCTTCGCGTGCCTTGCGTTCTTGTTCAGCTTGTCGCTCGCGCGCTTCCAGCTGCTTCCGGTGCTTCTCGGCTTCCTTGCGTAGCCTTTCTTCTTCGGCAGCCTTCTTCTCAGCTTCGCGCTTCCTTCGCTGCTCTTCGCGACGATGCCGCTGTTCCTCTAACCGCTTTTCTTCCAATTCTCGCACGGCCGCTTCCTGGGCCGCTTTCTCGGCTTCCTTCTTGGCCTTCTCCTCGTCCTTTGCTTGTTTCTGGAGTCGCTTTTTCTCCTTCCGTTTGGCTGCTTCTCGGGCTTTCTTTGCTTCTCGCTGTGAGTCGAGTCGGCTCTCTTCATCTAATTCCTCGAGCAATTTTCTCTGTCGTTCCGCGGCAACTTTCTCTCGGTATGCGGTCAAGACACGTTGTTCGAACATTCGAGCAGCAAAAATTTGGAACATTCGTCGACCTTCTTCCATGCGCTGTTCTTCGGTCATGGAATCCTAAGGCAAACGGTCAGAAGTTTTGCCGAGCACGGAGATTAGCCACCACTGACCATGTCATCGCCCTCGAAATCGTCCTCTTCTTGGGAGTCATAGTCCTCGTCATCCTCCTCATCGTCATAGTCATCATCGTCATCTATGGGAGGATGATTGTGACCTTGATGGATATCTCGATGAGCTAATGAAGAGGAATGGTAGCGAATATCTTCCTCACGTTGCATGCGTCTCTCCGCCAATTGCTCCATCATGTCTATGAAATGTTTTCCATCGTTCTTCAGCAAGTCGTCCGCGACGGTTAGGATGCCATCTGTACAACCTGTTAGCCCATTACACCACTGTAGAAGAACATTTTGTCCAGACCCTTCACAGTAAGACTATTGCCGAATTGGAAAAAATCGGGTGGCCCAGGTGGCAGCCCATGATCATCAAGCTCTCCTTCATCATCACTATAGCCTTCGTCGTCCTCATCGTCGTACTCGTCGTCGTCCTCGAGATCTTCTTCGTCGTCTTCGATCTCGTTAACTCGACTTCGCGAAGGGTACGAACCAGCCATGGGATGTGTCGCTCGTTTGAATGGAGGCCGGGGCGGGGCCATCATCTGAGGGACGTTAGAGAGATCCGTGTTGTGGTTGGCAAACTGCTCGAGTTCCTCGTAGTAAGCGTCGTAAAGCACCTCCAACTCTTCTTCGATGGCGGTACGTTTTCGTCCACACACGGAGCAGCTGCAGGAATGCTTCTGCTGTTCCTTCATTTTGCGCAAGACAGCCTCCTTCTCGACCTTGACCAATGATCTTCGCTCATCTTCGCCCAACTCCAGCCAAAACTGCTTGATATTCTCCCGCTCAGCCTGGGTTGAAGTGTTCCAGATATGATCGCTCGAGAGTTTCTGGGAGGCTCGCATTGCGGCATTCGATAAGGGCGGGATGTTGGAGCGGGACAGCATCGTTGAAGTTCTCGACAAGGCGTCGGTGGTAGGTTTGGACTTCTTCCGCTTGGTGGTATTCAGCCAGGAACTGTCGTGCATTGCATCTGCACCTTCTCCATAGTTGGGATCTTCGTCGCCGCTGTAAAAAGCTTCTTCGGGGCTTCCAATATCGGGGTAGGCAGGGTCTGCGGGATCTGGATAGTCAGGCTCTTCGGTGAAATAACCCTTTACTGGTCCGCGGCCTTGTTTAACTGGCGGGAACTGTCCGTTTGGTTTGGGTTGTGTCGCAGAAACATGGCCATTTGGCATTGGCATGTCCGCCTTCTCCGCCGCCCGTTTTGCAGCCTCTTTTTCCCGTCTCTTTTGCTTTTTGCGATTGACCGCCGGGGTGTGAGCAGGCTCTCCAGCCGATTCAGTGGTATCACCCGTCTTCAGATCTGCGTCTAGCTTTGCATGCGAAGGCTGGCTGTTTAGCGAGGGTGTGGAAGACATGGCCGGCCCCGAGTTTTGCAGGGGTTGAGGTTGTGCAGGCGCATCTTTTGCAGAAGTGTTGGAGGGCAACGGCTGTGGTTTGGCAGCATTAACCTGAGTGTTGGCTTTCTTTTTGGAAGGCATAGCGCCAGACCGTCACTAAAGGACTGTTAAGTTCGATATCGATCTCGGTCTCGCTAGGTTCACATCAAAGGCACGGCGGTTTCGGTTGCTGGTGGGGTATCACAAATTGGCAGGTGACGAGCACAGGAGACGCCGTATGGGAAGCAAAGAAAGAGGGTGAGAGAAGGGAGAATCCAACGAGCCGAAGGCGTTGGAAGGGAGAAAGCGAGGGTATGGTAGGAGGATGGTGGCTCCAGTTTGTTTGAATTGTAGGAAGTTGAGTTGCTCGACGTTCAAAGTCCCAAATCCAGTCCGAGTCTGGGCCAACTTCGGTTTCGTGGGGCGGCGACGTCCAGTTGAGGCTGTGACTGCGTTTGAAGGGCCAGTGCCTCCCTGGTGTGCCTTCGTGGTGGCCCCAAGGAAGTTGCGGTACAGCAAAGGGGCCTTTACGGCACTTGGGCACCTTCGCTGCCCACCAGAGGAGAGTTCAATAATTGCCCCGTCACCACCGCCAGCATCGTGGTACTCCAATTATATACCTTCTCCTCGCAGTTCTTACACCTACCCAGGTATTCACACGCACACAGTAAAGCGACATTGAGAAGACACACAGATTCACCCCAATCTCAAGCCTTGGATAACTCACATCTACCATTGCATCATCATCATCTACTTACTGATTTGACCGGAAGAACTGCTCCTTATCGCGAGATCCAGACCCCTGGTCCCTAAGAGATCTATTTGTGGCTGCGCCTCAACCACCCTCTCCTCTCCCAGTCGCTGTGCCGCTTGAGGTGGATTTGTTCTCCGTTGGACCCCACGAACTCCCAGCGGACTAGTCTCAGTTATTCAGAAACAAGATAGCCTGCTCTCTCTTCCTCAGCTACAATACAAAAGATCGTTGCAGTCGACTGAAACTGCGGCTGGCGGTGCCGGTCGCTGGTGGAGGTGAACGTACCCCGTTTGTGGATTGGTCTTGACTGGCTTCGCTGGCTTTGCTGTATGCGACCTCACTTGCGTCCAGTTACACCAGGCCGCTCCTCCACTCCCCTTTGACTTCATTTCAGCTCGTCGTCAAATTTATCCACTGCACAACAACGACTTAAGACTCTTTGAGCCCTCCTTCTGCTTCCTCATTCCTCTACTCTGCAAGAGCTGCTCGCCATCTTCCTCCAAAGCCGCCGCGGTTCCTGAAGCTCTCCCCCGGACCACCGACTCTGTAGTGGTGTGATCTGCCTGCCCGTGGGACAGAGCCGCAACAGCTTCTACCGCCATGGCACAAAATCAGGCACAACAGAATGTGATGAGAAGGTATGTCGGCTCTCACCAATTCACCACCCACATGGTGGGAACAGTTGCCCGTCGAACTCAGCAATTCCCCTGCAAGGCTGCCTAGGTCACACGTTCCGCAAGACCTCCAGAACAATCACTAACGTCGCCTCGTGCAGGAAGCTTGTTATAATAGGTGATGGTGCCTGCGGCAAGACGTCACTGCTATCAGTCTTTACACTCGGCTATTTCCCGACTCACTACGTCCCAACCGTCTTCGAAAACTACGTCACAGATTGTCGGGTCGATGGCAGGTCAGTACAACTGGCTTTGTGGGACACAGCAGGGCAAGAAGACTATGAAAGATTGAGGCCCCTCGCATATGCAAAGTCACATGTCATTCTCATTGGCTTCAGCGTCGACAGCCCTGACAGTTTGGAGAACGTGCGGCACAAGTGGATCGAGGAAGCTCGCGAGCGATGTCCAGAAGTGCCTGTCATCCTGGTCGGCCTGAAGAAGGATCTGAGAGAAGACCCGATGGCGATCGAAGAGATGCGGAAGAGGAGCCAAAAGTTTGTTACGCCCCGGGAAGGCGCCGAGATGGCCCAGGCTTGCGGTGCTCGCAAATACCTTGAATGTTCAAGCTTGACGGGCGAAGGTGTGGATGATGTCTTCGAGGCTGCCACAAGAGCTGCTCTTCTGACGTTCAATGGTAAGCAAGGTGGAGGCGGATGCTGTGTCATTCTATGATTCACAACGGGCTATGGCGAACTTGGATGAACACGTGCTGGATTTGAAAGCACGACAGGTGGCCGTTTCCTTTGATTCAACCCCAATCGGAGTATCTCTCATGCACAGATCCGATATCGATACTCAAAATTGCGAAAAGAAGACCATGTGCCTTTTCATCTTGGGGAAATGAAGTCCGGATTGGCATCCTCTCTGGGGACGGATCGAACCACACCGGACTTGGGTTTGAACCTGCGCGACACGAGGCGAACGAATTTTTCATACTCGATTTAGCGAATTGACATCAATGATCGACCTTCTACTAATCTCTCGTCTTTTCAACTCAGGTTTCGTGGTCGAAAAGGGCCGGCTACTGGCGAGAAAGATAAAAGTTTCCAAAAAGTTTTCCTCATTGTATATATACATGTTGATTCTTTCCGCTTGCTCTCTTTGGGAGAATAGGGCTGCTATTATGACAGCCCATGCTTGTCCGGGATTTAACAGTCCAGAGGCTGCCATTGTACTCCATGCAGCGTGTCACATCTGATTCGCCACCCTCTATACTATGAGAGCCTCGCCAGGAAAGGCCGCCTATTCCATTCTCCTCTCGCTTTAATATCTTCATTGTCGAGTGAAGCATGGCTTCTGTAGTCAATATCCTTTTACTGAATACCATTGCCAACCCTTGTCCGTCGCTGGCCGGCATAGTGATACAAAGTTCGATTCGCCAGTTTCGCCCATATCACCTTTTCTCCCGTGCCGCTGCCATTTAACCCTTTCCTCTTTTCCTCTCTCACGGTGCCGGCCAGAGATCTCATCACACCAACGTGAGATCAATGTCTTTTCCATGCGTAATCCCATATTTTGGCTTTGCTCGCGCTTCCTTCGGCGGCGGCGGCTTCTCCCCCTCCAACGCCCAGCCCGCCTGTGCTTCCCACCCACTCTACCAGACCTCTCGCGTACTCGATGGGGACACCTCCCTTCGCCCTGCCTCCTGATCCAGAAGCACCACCCACGCCCGAACCGCCGATGCCCCAGATGCCGGTCTTCATCTGGGCTTTCCTGAACAGGCGGCCCCCGTCGCTGGCTCCGACGCGGAGTTCTTCATTCGCATCGCGCATGGCGTTGTATTGGCGCTCCAACTCGAGCTCGCGGGACTTCTTGAGGTTGTGCCGGTACAGGTTCCATGCGCGGGTGATCGTCCAGTGCCGTAGGTATCTGTTGCGCGAGAAGCGGAGCGGCCGCGGCGTGAGGGTTGTGGGATGGTGCAGGAAGTAGCGGATTAAAGCTGCAATATGTGTTAGGACCTGAGGAAAAGAGAGGGAAGGAGGAACAAGGTTCGATTGAGCAGCATCAATTGCCGCAGCGTATTAGAAGTAGATGGTGTCACGCGAAAAGAAGAATGTATGAGTAGAAGGATGAAGGGGAAAGATGCGGAAGAGAGCGAAAAGGAACGCATAGAACGACTCACTTATTCGTCTATCAGGTCTGCCGCCCCCTTTCTTTTTTGCATAGTGGACGGCGCTCGTCGAGAAGGACAATCTCGAGTTTGTGGTCCCTTTTATCGCCGTATTGGTGCTCGAAGAAAGAGAAGTCGAAATCACTCTGCGGAGCGACGGTCGAGGTGCGATCTGGAAGACGTGTGCCAGCGCGGCACGGATCGACGAAGTGTGCATCTTCCAACCTTAGCCGCCGCAGGACTTTGTCTGGAGGTGGGAAGAATAGGTTACGCAGGAATCACTTGATATGGGAAACGGAAGTTGTCCAAATCTCAAGCTTGACCTCGATTGAAACCTTAGGCTTGGTTTTGGCGCAAACTTTCATGATGCAAGGCTGAAGCTTGGCACGTTTGCAATTACCAGCCTCGCATTGTTGCATGGTCACTCCACATCTACATTATGGCTGCATGGCATCTCCCCCCCATTTCATTCCTAAAGAGCGAGATCCAAAGCAATAGAGCTACTGGGTCCGAAGGGGCCCCATTAGTCCCAGATGACCTTCCAGCAGGCAACCGTGCTGGCTATCTATTATCGAGTGAAAACCTACCTCCCAATTGGCTGCCCACTTATCATAATCTCAGCCCAATCCATCAATTCATATTCAGTAACAGCTCTTAGGAACCCTTATACCGAATACTTTTTCGTTCGTTTGTCAAAATTCATAATGCGCCTTTGCCGATGTCCCTGGGCCAGCTTCCATCTGCAGTAAAGCAATAAAGCATCCTTGAGCACCACGAAAAGGCATCCACCTACCACGCTTCGTCCCCATTTCGTCGAAAGCAGTCCAGGCCGACCATTCGTGTAGTTGCGGTAAGTCAGCCACGATGACGGCAAGACGCAGCTGATGAGATTGCCCATTCCCGCAGCCACCGCAGGGAACACTAACGCTCCAATGACGGTCTGTCCGATACTCCCACTGCCATCAACGAGATCGTGGCGGCCTAATATCCGACGGACGTGTTGGTTCTCGGGGTGACCCTGTGCATTTCCCCCATTCCCGGCAAGGCCTGCCTGCTCTTCGCGTCCGTCTTCATCCTCTCCTTCGCCATTAAGATTGACGTCAATTTGAAGAATAAGTTCTCCATCCTCAACCGCCTCTTGCGCTTCGTCCTCATTGTCGTTGCCACCATTTTCAACTTGCGCCTCTCCTCGTTGAGAATGTCTGGGTTGCACTTCCGCCAGCCACTTGAGGTTGAGATCACGGAATGTCCAACGGTAGACACGGTTGTAGATCGATCTCATGGCAGGTAAACAAGCAAATACCGTGCTTGGCAGAGGCGGCCAGATGGTCATGTCAATGTCAAATTTGTCGGTGATCTGTGTAGAAAGAAGAATCAGACTGCTGCCGGGAAGGGCAAAATCGGCATAGTCAGTGCGGGCGAGAATCAGATTGACCGGAATCAGGCAGTACATCCAAGCAAACTCGGGCCGTTGTACGGCATATCTGAAAACTCGATCCGCATCCTCATGACCAAACACCAAATAGACAGATTGAAATCCGTGGAACCATGCTCCCGCCCATAATGTGCCCACAAAAGACAGACCCAGTCCCGGCAGGACTAACTTTCCAAGCGTGCGGTCAAGTGCGCGATAGCTGTCTACCACATAGCTTCTTGGTCTTGATATTCTGATTTCGGATTTGCATTGAGGGCATAGAATGTGTCCAGAGCCCTTGTTCTTGTTCTTAGGATTCTCGAGATCCGCCACCCAATCCAACAGGCACGCCTCATGGGCAGTCAAACTGCAAGAGCACGGCGAGCACCATACGGGGGGGTTGTTGGGATCGTCTTCACTTTTGTCGCTCATACATATCCAACATTTGGGTCCAAAGGTCGAGACGCGTGAAGGGGCCGGCGGTCTTGAATTAGAGTCATTCGTTGGATGCACGGCATCGGTATCCGACCGGGCTGGATCCCGGGATGATTGATGGAGCGCGACGGTATCAGAGCGTTCTGAATCCATCACCAAGGCTGATTGCGGCGGGGAGCAGATTGAGGTTTAATGAAGGAGGTCCAGGTAAAGGGAGGCAAGTGCCAGCCCTCGGGGAATAACCAGCTGCCAGCTTTTACTTAATCATACATCGCCTCCGAGTGTCGAATAGTAGCAGTAACATACACAGCAGAAATAGACCTTGGTTCCAGTTAGGCAACAGATCGTGTGTCTCAATTGTGGTTTGATTTACCGAGTAGAGTAGCAGGCTCGGTTTAACACCAAACCCGCCGCGCAGGATGCCGCAGATACGTAATTTGTTGCCATTACTTCTAGGCGCCATCAGAGTAGCCATTTTTAGCTAGCATGTCATTGTTTGGTTAAAACGGCAAGAAGTCGCCCAGTTCTGGCACTCCGCGTCGCTTCGATCGTCAGTGCATCTATTTTTATCTACTGGGTAGAAGTATTCGACTTTTCTTCGGCGGCTGGAACTACATACTCTTTGGATCTCAAGGAGATCTCAGCCCAATCACCGGGATGCTGGGCTGAGGTCATTCAGGGGTCTCTGGAGTTCTTCGCCCAACTGATAGCTGAGTACCATCTCCTCAAACCAGACCGACCCTTGAGATGGAAGGGGTTCTTCGTACGAAAACCCCTGGAGAATCACTTTCAGATCCTGCCAAGTTAAAACCTGCATTGACCAAGCCATCGCGAGCAACTTTCTGCGATGTACAATACCCACATCCTCGCGTTCAGATACTTGTTCCCCACGCCTCGTGCTGAAAATATCTCACACTGGTCTATGGCGTACCCTAGCGCATTCAAAAGTCGGCAGTTGTCATCAATGGGCACACCCATGATTCGTGGATTGTAATTTTTCCATCTTAGGAGTTGCGCCGATGCCGGTGCGAGGGCTTTGTGAGCATAAAGGTAGGCTTTAGCCATGTCAGTTAGGCTATCACGTTTGGGCTGCTCCTCGCTGTCCAGATAGTAACTAATCATCCGGCCGTGGCAGTGGAACGCGAGTGACACAGCAGAGGTCTGTACCAGCGGCAGAGGTGGAAGCCTCTCACTATCAGTATTCTGGATCTTTTTGTACTTGAGCGTCGGCCGGCTTTTTGTGAACCAAAACGAGACGGTCTTGTCTTCTATAATAGCATGATCCAGTTCTTCTTCGGGATTTATGGGCATATATGGAGCGGCCACGTCCCAAAGAGGCTTCAACACTGTAGGCAACCACTCGCCCTCATCAAATATCGGACGGCTAAGGAATCTAGAGGCAAATTGTAGATCCTTGTGGAGTTGGTACAATAACATCTTGTAATCCAGTCTTCGTTGTTTCCATTGCCGTCTGAAAACATGCAGCAGCATTTTGCCGAGCACAATCGCTCCGGCTAGATTGGCATTGATAATTTCGGCATTGAACAACGTGTTCATGTGCAGACAGCCACCAGTGTTTTGCAAGTCCTCATTGCGCGAAACTTTGTCTCGAAGTGTTCGAGTGCTTTGGCACGAGTATTTTAGGGCCACGGGCACATGCCAGGGTTCCCTCGAGCGACGAGCGAGCCACAGCGAGCCAAAGTGCCGAGCGCTGCCCTCCTCTCTTCAAGGGTAGCCACATTGTCTAGTCAATCTCGCGTGGCAAGCTGATTGAGGTTCTTGTCGCCAATTTTGAAGTGGTACGCCACCGGGAGAATGTAGTCGCGGTATAAAGATATGAGATTGTTCTCTCCAGGGCTAATTGCATTGGAGTAGACTTGAAACGGATCCGAATTTCCCCTACCCACGAGCGAGAGATGGGAAGTGGCTTTGGCGACAGGGTCGGGTGTCGTAAATTGTGTCTGCATTGAGGGGGTCTGCTGGTGAACCTCGTCTGTTTTAGGACGGAGTCTTCTCTGCCTCAATTCATGACTGATCTTCCGGGAAGACGAAGCTCGGAGAGCCCTAACATTCTCTCGACGCTTCCAGGCTCGATAATTTGTTTGAACGTGCGAATATATTCGATGCCTGTGCGGCGAGGCTTGCATATTTTCTGCATCATGGTGGTGCCAAAGTAACTGGTTGGTAAAATGCATGGCGACGTGGGAAGCCGTAGTCCCAGTGCTCTCCATAGAGCTCCGAAAACAAGAACAAGAATGATGGAATCAAGACCATGGACTCGTGCAGGATAGGGATCTCGAAGCCGGAGGCGTTCTCCTTCATTTATTTCATGGCAGGGGGGCCTGGCTATACCTAAGTAGAGGAGGCCCTGTTCTCCACAGTCCCAGCAAAACGCGGATTGGTCTTTGGCCATGCGCATTTACAAACAAGTAACTTCGTCGTTTCTCGATAGCACGTGTCTCGGGGTACTTAGTATATTTCCAGCCCTGTGTTATATTGGCGGAATAGGTTAGCGAAACCAGGCAGGGATCAGTGGACAAAAAGGGTAAGCCAGGCATCATGAGCCAGAGGACGGCAGATGCGCACTTGGTGGCCCTGCTGTCAAAACTGGTGTGGTTAGTTAAAAGGCTGACATGGAAAAGGTTTTGGCGGGTCGTACGTGCCCGTAGCTGCTCCAGCGTAAATACCTAGGTACCTAGCAAGCCAGGAATCGCGTGTCGCCATTACATAGAGCCATCGATTTCGAGATTATGTCTGCAAGACCACAATTAGTACCCGGTGTGTAGACGTCGACAAGTTTGAGCAGTCCGAGGAGTTCACCGTCCGCGACAACAACATTGAACAAGTCTCGGCTGTGACATTTTTCCGTTCCGGCTGCGTCATTGCGATTCGATTGTTTCCCCCCCCAACTTTCCGAAATGAAAGCACTCCATCTCAAGAACAGGGAAGTCGGCCACAGGATTGTATCCATTCTCTGAAGTATCTTCTTTCTCTTGCATATGTGACTCTCTTCAGCTCATTTGACATCTAACAAACAACAATACGACTAGCACAAGAGTGCTCTGGTTCACTTCAAGGTGTTGGGCAAACAAAGCCGTTAGAAAATCTTGCAGTTGAACTGTGTCTTCAACATGGCAGGCCTTGTGCCAAAAGTTGACAGCCTAGACCATGTGTATGCAGGAGCATCCGAGAGTCGCGCTGTGCCTGTCGAGCTCGAGCAACGTTTCAAGAATTTGATCCAGACGTTCAAAAGCGACTATGGCCACAAGCCAGACTTCGTGTCCAGAAGCCCCGGACGAGTCAATATAATTGGCGAACACGTCGATTATTCGCTCTACAATGTTTTGCCGGCTGCTCTGACCGTTGATGTGCTGATCGCAATCCGGATTGTCCCCCGTGGAAATGGTGATGCTGCTGAGATCAAGATTGCCAATATTAATCCCACAAAGTATCCTTCGAAAAATTTGACAATTCCGAATTCCGGAACAGTCAAAGTCGACCGCGAGAATCATTCATGGAGTAACTACTTCTTGGCTGGATTGAAAGGGTCGCTGGAATATCTCCAACAGCAGTTCGGCGACTCTTTCAAGCCCAATGGCATGGAGGTCCTAATCGACGGGAATGTCCCGGCGGGTGGCGGCCTGTCTAGCAGTGCAGCCTTTGTCTGTGCTTCTGCTTTGGGTGTTATGGCAGCGAACAACCACGACATTTCAAAACAGGATCTGCTTGACCTCTGCATTGTGTCGGAACGTGCTGTCGGAGTCTTCTCAGGGGGGATGGACCAAGCTGCGTCGATATTCTCTGAGAGGGGTTATCTTCTGTACTGCCGCTTCTTCCCAGAATTCTCTGCAGAACATGTCCCTATGCCCACGTCGGACCCGGAGGTCACATTCCTGATAGCACAATCTTTCGTTACTTCCGACAAGGCGGTGACGGCACCGCTTCATTACAACCTCAGGGTGGTTGAGTGTACCTTGGCGACTGTGGTGTTGGCAAAACTCCATGACATTGCTCTGAATCCAGATCACAGCTCGCTTGGATTTTGCCTGCGCAACTTTCAAGAAGAACTCATGAAGAAAGAAGGGCGTACAGATGAGCCTCTGGCGGCACAGGTCGACTCCATGATCGAGATCATAAAGTCAAAGCTTAAAGAGGAGGGCTACACTAGACAAGATATTGCAGAGATTCTGGGAATTTCCGTACAAGAGCTGGAAAAGCAGTATATGTCGAAGTTTCCCATTCGGGCAGATCTATTCAAACTGAGGCAACGAGCGTTGCATGTCTTGGAAGAGGCTGGGCGTGTCCTCAAGTTCCGAGACACTTTAACGACGTCAGGAAAATTGGATGAAGGGAAGTTGCTCTATCTCGGTGATCTCATGAATAAGACACAAGCTTCATGCAGAGATGTGTACGAATGTTCATGTCCTGAGATTGATCAGATCTGCTCCATCGCACACAAAGCTGGGGCGTATGGAACTCGACTCACCGGTGCCGGCTGGGGTGGTTGCACAGTGCATCTGGTGCCTCAGCACAAGATTCTTGCTGTGACTGAAGCGCTTAAGCAAGAATACTATTATAAAAAGTTCCCAGAGATCAGCAAAGAGAAGCTTGAGGAAGCCATTGTCGTCTCCAAACCCAATCAAGGGTCGTCGCTGATTGTCGGTGCGGCCCTTGATATTTGATGGGAACAGACGTTACATAGGCCACGAATGATCCAAACTGGCTTCATGGGGACAAAGGATTCAACATGCAGGCTCCATTCTCTTGGACACTGCCTACCACTGTGTGCATCTGGAGACCGGCATTTCTGCGCGCGCCCCTATTCAATATGTGTGCCAGCCAATGTTGCAAATTTGGACTTCACTTGGCTGTTGTCAAACTGCCCATAATACTTTCTCCAGCTGCGTCTCCTGGACAGATCTGACTGCATAACCAACAAACACACAAGCAAGAGCAATCTGCTCTCTTGCTTCCTTCTCTTTATCAACCCCGAATGTCGGAGAGCGACCCTTCTTCCGCCCTCCCCCGGTCGGTGTCGAGCCTTGAATACGGTATCTCCTATCTTGAACGTCGACTGAATCCCTCGTCCTCAACGCCCTCGACGTGGTCATCGGCTTCACCTGGACTCTTCTCTTCAAGACCCTTGAGTGATCTCTTTCCTCTGCGAGCCCCGAGCTTCCATCTACTCCCCTCACACCTCTTCCAGGCATCACAGTCCTCAGAAAACACAAGCTAAGTAGTAGCCCATCATGTCGTTCATGTCCCGGAGTCCACGAGCACGCTTCGATCCATACGGCTGCTCGAGCTCTTCTGAGCACGGCCACTACTACGCGCAACGCAAACCCGCTTATTCTGGACCATGGAGCACTCTCCCTGACCGACTAAAGCGCTCATATTACATGGAACATGCCAGGAGACGTGAATCACAGATGGCAGATATTTTAAGACACGCTTGCCTATTTCAAACTCCCGAGGGCCAGAAAAACTACCTTTCCGTCCTTCCGATGCAAATCCTCCACCGAATCATCAAGCACCTCTGCCAGGGTGAAAAGATTGAAGTCCGTGGCGATGTCACTGATACTGACTCCGCTTCACATGGTCGTGTCGCCGAGGCCAACAAGGCCGCTTTCATGGCAACCTGCTGGAAATCCTACTACATTGCAAGGCCGACATTCTATTGGGAGGTGAAGTTTATATTTAGGACTCCCGAAGCCCTTCATACCTTCACGGTGGTGGAGACGACGGCCGACAAAGAAAGATTGGACTTTGTCAGGAACGTTGAAATTGGTCCGCTGGCTCTACCGGCATGGGAGGGAAAGTCGGATTCTTTTGGGAATCTGAGGGCCAGGGGCTTCATTGGGGATGACAACTTTGCGTCTGGCTACGAGGCGGATGTCGAGGACAACGAAGACAGCCATCATGAAGAGTGAGAAACGGGACGTCCACGGACTTCGGTGTCGATGCAATCCTTGATGACAGCTGCGATGGGGATGACCACTGCCTTTTTGTCACATGTTTAAATAGCATATACTTCCCAGCCGCACACCGATGGCATATTGCGACAAAAACAACGCCCACTTTCTTTGCAGACTCGGTCCTAAAATTGCTATGCTTTACTCAGTTTGTCGACCGATGTTGACTAACTCATACTCGTGAAACAGACAGGAGCCACGATGCGATGAGTTCCCTGACCATCGCCGGCGCTTGCAGAGCTTATAAGGGGCGGTCGTCCGATCACTACTCAGACCTCTGGTTAGGAGGTGTCGAGGCCATCTTGCGGGTCTTTCCTTTGTCCACCTCCTGTGACGTTCTTTTCTCTGTGCATGTATTTGGTTGTGAATGGCGAGCCTTTCTGGACGTTTGCACGCAAACTTGAATCAAACGCGTGGCACACTCATAATACTGAAGTGTCATTCTCATCAAGGACAGGCAGAGGCTTTCAGGTAATATTGCAACTTGATTCATGTACTGAGAGCTCTAGACGTCAATTTCAACCGCCCACTAGGCCTAGTGTCGTATCTCGAAAAGAAAGGAAGAAGGCGAAAGAGGAATGCCGCAATGGGAGGGAATTGGCTGTAACTGCTGCATCCAATGGCTAGCTAGTGTAGCTATCTGTTTGATCTGTTTGTTACTGGGCTGTCTCTGCTGGAGAGAAGAGAGGAGAGGAAGTGTGGGTAGAGAACTGAGAAGACTAAATAGTCCTCGGCACACCTCCCAATTCAACGCCCACATGTGACACCCAGTGCTTTCCTGCTCTTTTAGCGAATTACCTTTGGAACATACGCAGCATTCACCTAGTTCCATCTGAGATACGTGAACGCCTAGCAACTCCCCGAATAAGGCTTCAGAGTTGATACTCCTTGCGAACTCACTTTCTCACTGTCCATTGCTAACACCGTGACTTGCTCAAGGTTGCCTTGGGTGGCCCGTCTGAAGAGAATCGCATGCTGTTTGAAATCCAGCCACGTCTACCGCAGACTTGCCAGCCTGTGCACAACTAACTTCATCCTAATGGTCTCTTCATCAACATGCCTCTGCCTCGTTCACCTCAATGTCCTGTCGTCGAACGACATCGACAGTTGCGAAGCCCCCTCCTCAGAGTCAGCGGCTCTCCAATGGCACTCATGAACTGCCGTAGCGACGCTCATGTCCTTTCTGAATCGTGCCTAACCTGACCGAAATGATGCCCCCTCACACAATGATTATACTGTCGCGTATACTTGTCCCATGGAACTGGCGTCAGTCTACGCGCTACTCGACGAGATTCACCCGAGTCTACCTACGCGGGACGACTGGAGCAGCTATGTCTGGGGAGCAATAGAAGAACAATATTGAGATCGCTGTTCTCACCGAAATCGGGAACAATGCGGCCGCTGTGACGGCGACGCAGCTCATCAATGACTTTCCATTGGTGCGATTTGGACTGCTCATGGGAATTGGCGGTGGTATGCTCCATCTCCCCAATATCAAATCGGTTCGACCGGGTGACATCGTAATCAGCAAGCCCCCAGCGGTGTTCCGAGCTACTGTGCAACGGCTGATGGCAAACCATAAGTTGGCATATAGCAAAGTGCTCGTCTACATGTCACAGATGCTGGAGAAATAGGCTCGAATGAGGTACGAATATAAGAGAACGATTAGTTGTTCGAGACACCATACAGTCACCACGGTGGCTAGGATTGTGTCTATTGCGACTCTTCACACGTCATACAACGGCCGCCACGTTCCAGCACTGGCCCTGTCATTCACGACGGTGCGATGGGTCCGGCCGATTGTGTGCTTCAGAACGCGGCCGAATGAGACAAGTTGAAAATACCCATTTAGACATTATTTGTGTGGAGATGGAAGCCGCTGGACTGATGGACTCATTTCCATGTTTGGTTATGCGAGGTATTTGTGATTATGCCGATTCACACAAGAACAACCAGCGGCAGTCGTATGCTGCGGCCACAGCGGCTGCATTCATGAAAGAAATGCTTTCGGTGATACCACCCCGGGGTCGGCGGAAGTTCTTCGTGAGTTGACCTACCTATTGATTTGTGGAGATGCCATAAGATGTGATAGGCTTCACGAGCACAACACTGTAGATATGATTGCTTCTCTATCCCACCGTTCCATATGGGTTTTCTTTTGTTGTCGCCTGTCCTGTCCACAACTAACTTGCATCTAGAACACTAGGCAGCGGTGTATCCTGCTCACTGGACCATTACTCGTCCTGCCAACACGTTTACTGGTCGAGAGAAGATTCTGTCCGGGCAGGAAGTCATCGTCCATGATGCCATAAAACGTCCAATTCGTCAGAGTCTGTATCGGATTGTGATCTCGGACATTGGCGGCCAGAGCAAAAGTGAGCTCTGCCTCCAGCTCGCTCAATGCCTGCGACAATTGTGAGTTCAATATTGTCTATCATTATCATTGGAAATTTCGGCATTAACTGACCTAGGTTCTGGGTTTTGCTTTGGGTCAATGTTAGCACGCCATCCTGGGCCGATATTGGGTTCTTGAATATCGCCAGCCGACTGTCCATCTCAGTCCAGACGTGGGAAGATGCCCGCCAAGGTCTCACCGTCTTGAAAGAGCCGTGGCTATTGGTGTTGGACCACGCCGACAACGTTAATGATGATGACAAAGAACACTTTCCCCCGGCACCGTTTGGTGTTGTGTTGTTGATATCCCGGAATGCTGAATGCCGACAGTACGCCACTGACAAGTGGATTGAATTGAAAGGATTAACAAAAACAGAAGCTCGAGAGTTACTACTACGGGCCACTCATACATCCAGCGAGCGATATCAGATACTAAGAGCCGATGCCCAGGCCGAAGCTTCTCTTCTCCGATCACATCCTCTTGTTCTCACTTACATACGTGTCTCGAGGTCATTGTACATTGAAAGATTATCCGAAAGTGTATCAACGGTAACGTAGGCGATTGATGACATTTCGACTATCCTAGGCGCGGTCGAGGTATGGGGACGTCAACATCATTTTTGAGGCGTCTGCTCAAATTCTCCAGTTAAGAAAGACTGAGTCGGCTGCTGATGCTTTACAGTTGTTGGGAGTCTTGGCCCCGCTGGAATCCACTCAACTGCCACTGCTATTATTCAAAGCTGGACGAAAAAGAGCTCAAAGGTTATCGACAACGATGGTGATGATGAATACTTGACTTGCCTAACGCCGTGACATGTTTCCCATCTACTGCCACTCATTTCAGCCAATAGCTGTGATTGGGACTCGTTTCGGCTTATTGAGGCCATTAATCTTCTCAAGGCCATCCCTATCGTCACGACCGATACTTCTGCCGACGCAAGGGTGAGTGTGTCCATGCATCCCTTGATCCATGTATGGGCAAATGATCGGCTCGACGTGGCAACACAGCATGCATCGTGGGTACGGGCCGGATACTTCTTCGCGATCTCCCGTTTGGACAGAGTCTTGTGGCCACAACATCAATGGCAACTCCAACCTCATTTGCATGCGCTGGTGTCGTGGGAGACTGGCCAAATGTTTTTGTCTTCGCCTTCTTTAATGATTGTTCGTATTGTGATGAATTATGGGTGACAGATATTTTGGATGCGAAATGATGGCCAGCTATTTGACCTCATGAATCGGCCACTGGCTCACCTTGGCATGGACCCGATGACTTTGGAGCGACCATGGCCGGAAATATGTGATCTCTCTGGGCGGAATCTTCTCAACCGTCGGGTCAAGGAGGCAGTGCTATTGTTAGAGCAGGTGGCCAAGATACACGAGGACTCGCTGGCGGAGAATCATACAGATCGACTAGCGTCGCAACAGGCACTAGCGATTGCATGTGAGGCAGATGGACAAAGCCAAAAAGGCACTATCACTATCGGCGACACGTGCTTCGGACACACTCCTAAACGCTGACGGAGGATCATCTAGAACGACTGATGTCGCAACATGCACTGGCAAGTGCATATCAGGCAAACGGACAAGCCAAAGACGCAGTATCACTATTGGAGCACGTGGTTAAGATCGAAGAGCAGAGACTGGCGAGAGTTTATTGCTTGAGGGACAAGTTAAAGAGGCAGCAGTATTGGTGGAGTGTGTGGTCAAGATAAACAAGAAGACACTTGCGGAGGATCATCCATTTAGACTCACGGCTCAGCAAGTACTTTCCACAATTTAAGGGGACCTTGAAAATTATCAGGCTGCAATATAAATGGCACGTCACGTTGTTGAGATTCGACAGTGGACCCTCGATGAACATCACCCAGATCGAAAGGAGGCTGAGGGGTGGCTTGACTACTTTGAACCTCACGTGGGCTGTCTCGAGACTATACAAATCGATAACAGAAAAAGGAATGATGGATATGGTTTCTACTGGAAAATCTTGGTGTACGTGGTAGCAGAAGAGCTGGCTTGGTGGGTACATGGTAGAAACAGAGTGGAGTCTGGGAAGCGGAAGCCCCTTTTTAGATTGACCGTAAGACGAGCTTCTGATTCCTTCGAAGCTTCTCCTCGACATACACGGTACAGCCAATTCACGGCCTCTTCTGTGCCAAACCTCCAGCTTCAAAAGTTTTCGGGGCTGGTAGCCAAATGACACGATAAGCTTAGTTGTGGTTCCAGATGCTCCCAAGTCCCAAGTCTCAAGTCTCAAGTCCCAAGGCGGCATGGACCTCGTCAGCCTCGGCCTTGGAGATCATAAGCTGACAATCTTGCGTACGGAATCCTAGCCCTTTAGAGTCTATGCAAGTCGTGGCGCTGAGTCGACCCTGCTTACATTTGAGTGTCTCAGCGCTCGATGGAGCTGTGGAAAAGTGGCATCACTCTTACAACGCACCTTCCACTACCTCTCTGGAATGATAAGTAATCAGCCGCGTCCTCCCCTTTTCTAACTCATCCTCTTCACTGTCTCTTCCTTCTTCCTCGAGTTCCAGTTTCTATCGGCGGGCGGTAAGGCCCCTTTTTCCCTCGAGATGCCTTGTAGAATCTACCGCTCATCCTACCCACCCGTCGAGTTGATTGACAGCGATTTATTGACCTTCCTCTTTTCGAATCCGAGAAACGCTCCAGACGATAAGCCGATATTCATTGATGCGGTCACAGGCGCACATCGCAGCTATGGAGACATTAAGCGAAGGACGCGGTCACTCGCGCATGGTCTGCGAGAGCTAGGAGTCAAGCCTAAAGATATTGTTGCTCTATTCAGTCCCAACACTATTGACTACGCAATCACTTGCTATGGTATCCTGGGCTGCGGTGCTACCGTGTCGCCTGTCAGTGCAGCCTACACCCCAATGGAACTGCAGGCGCAGCTCGAGACCAGCGGCGCCAGATATCTAATTGTACATTCCTCGCTCCTCTCGACAGCCGAAGAGGCGCTCAAATCCATCCCCGCCATTCAGGTCATTCAAGCAGATGGAGTCCGCGACAAGAAGGGCAAATCGACCGCCGAAGACCTCGCTTCGAACTGTCCACCCAGCCCGGTCGTCAGCATTGAGTCGAGTGAGGCCGAGGAACGGCTTTGCTTCATGTGCTTCTCTTCGGGTACCACGGGTCGAGCAAAGGGCGTGATGACAACTCACAAAAACCTAGTATCCAACATGCAGCAATGGGACGCCCAAATGCCCGGCGAGACGACAGGGGACCTGACGACGGTGACATTTTTACCATTCAGCCACATCTACGGTCTGACATCTTTTATTTGCGTAAACACATTCGTGGGCAATGCCGCCGTCGTCCTAAGTCGTTTCGATCTAGAAGTCTTCTTGTCGAGCTGCCAAAAGTATCGACCGGAAATGGTTAGCTTGGTTCCACCAGTTATGTTGTTGCTGGCCAAAAACCCCTTGGTGAAGAAGTACGACCTTAGCAGCCTCCAAAGACTATTCTGTGCCGCAGCTCCGTTGAGTGTGGAGCTTCGGGAGGCTGTTGAGGCACGGTTCAAGGAGTTGTATGGGACAACTGTATTGGGTCTGCAGGCTTGGGGCATGACTGAGACTAGCCCGCTTGGCTCGGCCGTCCCTCCAAGCCGGCCGGACAAGAGGCATACAGTCGGGTGTATCACACCAAACATGGAATATAGGGTGGTTGACCCGGAGACCATGCAAGATACAGGGTATGAGCCAGATGGGTCTGCAGTCCCTGGGGAGTTGTGGTGCCGCGGACCAAATGTGACCAAGGGTTATTATCGGAACGAAGAGGCTACGAGGAGTGGTTTCGCAACCGATGAGGAAGGCAAGCTGTGGTTCCGGACCGGTGACATAGGGACTATTGACAAAGACGGATTCCTGATCATTGTCGACAGGATAAAGGAAATGTTCAAGTATAAGGGCTTGCAAGTCATTCCGTCAGAGCTGGAGGGTAAGCTCCTGGAACACCCTGACGTCGAAGATTCCTGCGTTGTCCCCCACTGGATCGAAGAACAGGCAACGCATGTTCCAGTCGGATTCGTCGTGATAAGTCAGAACGCCAAGGCCAAGGGCCAGAAAAATATTGTTGAAGACATTGACAAATGGTTGAATGCAAGAGTCGCCAACCACAAGAAACTGAGAGGAGGCATCCATATCATCGACGCGATCCCCAAGTCGCCTTCCGGAAAAATTCTGCGGCGAGAACTGGCGGGGATGCTCAAAGAGAGGAGCGGAAGAACGGGATCGAAGCTGTGATTTCAAGTATAAAAGCGCATTGCATTAAGATGCTCCTCTTATCGGATTCATCGCACTGGATTTTGGAAGGGAAGGAGACAAGCGTTCGATCGTACAGCATCAATGCAGACAATTCTTCCTCAGCCTCGCCGGGTGCCGCAAGGCTACGGGGGCGGATAGTGACACGTGCCCGTCGGACGTCATTTCACGTGAGTTGACTGACTGCTCTTGGCTTTTTCCTCATTTTCCGCTTTGTGAGCTTCCTCATTCTGCTGCTTGCGACCCCAAATTCTGAGCCAGAAACACACGTCCGAACCCAGCGCATTTAAACGCACTAGTCAGAGTGACCCGAACAATCTTTGATGTCTTTCCGTCGGAAGAAGCACACCCAGCCGCCCGTCTCTGCCGGATGGGGTTTGACCACAGTTGCTGGGGGAAAAATTTTGTTTGCCAGGCCCGGTGTCCCTTCCAGCCATTGGTCAACTCGGTAATCGGCAATGGCTGCAATCGCTGTGGTAAGGGCGCAAGGTTCCCAGACCCAATCAGACCATCTACAATCCTTGGGCGGGGAATGCCCGAGATCGGACTCCTCAGTCCTGGGCCATGCTATTGGAAGAACTGGACATGGCCAACCCCGAAAGGAGTCGAGCATCCGTTGATGTTGCGGTCGAGGAGGTTATGGGGATCTCTGGAACCAGTATGGTTGGGGGGATATCGAGGGTGACGGTGAAGCAGGGCCTCGAGATGATTGCTTCGTCTACAAGTCCTCTCCGTACAGTGGTTTGAGTCATTTTCCCTTGCATCTTCCTGCATATTTGCGGTCTGATTTCATGCCTTTTATGAGTGTCTATATCCCCCTTGCCACATCCCACTATCCTCCAAGGATTTTAATAGATTCGCCGTCATTCTTTTGGGCCTCGTTCGATTTGACCGCAGTCACTCCTTCCAGGAAATGAAAATTAGTTTTCAAAGACCGTTTCTTTCACAATATACAGGATGACAGGCGAACTCCACCACGACACCGTCCAAAGTGACAACGTCAGTCCAGAGATTCACCCTATCTCGTCACAATCAGACCACCCAACTTCGCTGGATCTCGAGAGAACACCGACAATCAGCATAAGGGACCATCGCGGAGACGATAAACCTGATCTTGCACGCATCCGCTCGACCATCTCGGCGCACGAGATCCAAGGTGTGCCCAGCCACGATAGTTCATTCGTCGAGATCAATGCTGCCCAATATGAGCGTTTCAGCGAACGTCGAAAACTCGTCATCACCTGCGTTCTCTCGCTGTGTGGCTTTCTGGCTCCTATCTCTTCGACCACCATCCTTTCTGCCATTCCCGAGGTAGCCGCCACCTACAATACCGACGGCACCATCATCAACTTGTCCAATGCGCTCTACCTCATCTTCATGGGCCTGTCGCCTTCTCTTTGGGGTCCGATCTCCAACATCTATGGCCGTCGATGGGTGTGCATCATCACCGCGATCCTGTTCTTTGCCTTCAGTGTCGGCACGGCCCTCGCACCGAACCTGGCATCGTATTTTATCTTCCGGATGCTCACCGCATATCAAGGTACCTCGTTTCTCATCGTCGGAAATTCCTGTTTGGGAGACATTTACACGCCTACGGCGCGAGCGACCGCCCTTGGCTGGTTTCTCTCAGGGACCCTGATCGGCCCTGCCTTTGGGCCGTTCATCGGAGGTATCATCGTCACTTTCCGTTCCTGGCGCGACATCTTCTGGCTGCAATCTGCACTCGGTGGCCTCGCAGCCGTCCTAGTAGTCTTGCTGCTTCCGGAGACGATACCGGAAAAGAAGATTCATGATCTGCGGGAATATTCTCGAAAAGAGCGGACTGTGCGCATTCTTCATTGGGTGTCGCCTTTCCGGATCGCCATACTACTCTTCTCATACCCGAACCTTATCATCGCCGGCCTCGCATCCAGTGCTCTTGTCTGGAACATGTACGGCTTGCTCACTCCGATCCGCTACGTGCTCAATCCCCGTTTCCACCTGACATCTCCCATCCAGTCAGGGCTCTTTTACATTGCCCCTGGCTGCGGCTATCTGTTGGGCACCTTCTTTGGTGGTCGGTGGGCTGACAGCATCGTCAAGAAGTGGATTCGAAAGAAAAATCGACGTGTAGCCGAGGATCGGTTGAGATCGTGCTATGGCTTCATTGGCGGCGTCGTGCCCGCTTGCATGCTCATTTACGGTTGGTCCGTCGAGAAGGAGGTTGGCGGCATCCCACTGCCCGTGGCGGCCATGTTCGTACAAGGGGTTGCGCAACTCTTCTGCTTCCCCAGTCTCAACACCTACTGTCTCGACGTTATGCAGTCGAAGGGCCGATCCGCGGAGGTCGTGGCGGGGAATTATATGATCCGGTACGCCTTCGCTGCGGCGGGGTCTGCTGTGTGTCTGCCGGCGATTGAAGCGATCGGGGTTGGCTGGTTCAGTACGATCTCTGCCGTGTTCCTTGTCATCAGCGCGGTTGGCGTGTGGGCCACGACTGTATGGGGAGAGGGCTGGCGACACGCCGTTGACGACAGGAAGAAAAAGAAGAGGAAAGAGAAGGAAGAAGCGAAGGCGAGAGAGAAAGGTGGAGAAGAGGGCGTATGAATGTGGCTTCCATGACAGATCTGACAAGCTCTGGCAAACCACAAATCATGCCAGTTTGCAGAGAAGAAGATCGTTTCGAATGCTTTAACACGAGTGCTTTGGTTCTCTCTGGCCATGGTTGACGACGGCAAATTTACAAGGCAAGGGGCTGGATGGCGTTAATGACTCCAGGAAGGGCAGGACAACATTACTAGCACGCAGGCTTTGGGGGCATGTGGAACGGACAAAAAATGGTACATGACGGTGTTGGCAATAGGAGCGGATAAAGGGTTTTGGTGTCTTGGGCTAGGTGTGGATTCTGCACCTCGATGAATGCGCGAGCCGTGCAAGAGAATGTTTTTTTTTTTTGAGGGCAAGGATGGATTCGAGACACGAAATATAGAGACTGTGGGAAATTCCCCCTTGGACAGCGGGTTGCGGCGGGCGTTGGCCTGGTATAGAATTATAGAGTGAGGAAACACAGTGAGAGACATAGAAAAGTCCAAAAAGCATGTAAAAACAGCGTCTGTATGGTTTGTGCTCTGGTGGAAAGGAGGTGTCAGTCTCGACCCGGACCATGATGCCGTATGCGTGAGAAGCATTGCGAGACGTCCTCGATATGTCCTTGGTAGAATCGTTGCCGCCTTCGGTTGTAGTAGTTCTGCCGTTTGGGGTATGGTCGTAGGCTGGGGCGTGACGCCGCTTTTTGACGTCTATAGTATGAACGCCGTCCGCCCTCCAGACTAATGTCTAGTGATCGTGCGAGTCGCACGATGCGGAGGCACGTCGACAAACATCAACATGATTTGCTGCTTCACTAATTGCGAAGTGGCAGTTGCATTCTGATGCATTACCTTCAAACCTAGGGCAGATATATGGCTTCTAAGTCCCGCAACGACTAACCAGGTGGTCTTGTTTGAGGGCTTGGATGATTAACCGACCCAATGTCGCGTAGCTAGTCCATCACTAGCCTTGCGGTGCGCGTTCGCGAGGCTATCCTCCTCCTACGGGATGATGAGGGGCCCATGCCAGTGCGCAGACAGAAGTTCAAGACAAGAATGGCGTACTCCAGACACTTCCCGGTCTAGCTTCGTCGGCGCTTCTCATGCGGTGAGTACCAGGTTATAGTTGATGGTCTGCTGCTGTTTGGCTAAAGAGGTGGCGCCTCTCATCTACGTTATATCAGCATCGAGATCCTTCCGGGAATGCGCAGTCTTTCACTCAACAGGTCTTCACAGAGGTACTACGATCCTCGGTCCACATGAGGCTCATGCGGCTTCTCTACATGGTGGAGTCTTCCAGAAATTCGCCTTTCATTCTCCTCCTGGCTATCTCGAGCTTGCTGCACCAATCTGTAGCGCAAAATGTCTCACTGATGGTCGACATCAATGCCTTGGATCCTCTGCGGACGCGTAACCGTGGGTACGGGCGAAGTAAGTTCATGCTTCAGACATTGGTTGAGAATAGACTGACCAAGCTCTAGTGGTCACCGTGAACAACAAGGTCTATATCTAGGGGGGAGTAAGCATCATTTCGAATGGCACGACCAACACCTTATGGACCCTCAGTGAGCCCTGGACCTACTTCCTACCGCTGTCAAATTGCCCAAGCTGATCGCATTGCAGACCGTTACCTCCGCACTGTGGACTTCTCGACCACGCGCGATTTGTCCGATCCTTCTCTGATCACCGCCAAACCTCTTCTGGATTTTGTGCCTACTTTTGACGAGGGTGCCTTCTGGGAAGATGGTCAGAAACTCTACGTCGTGGCCGGTCTGCAAGGGTGCTGGTATCACCTTACGGAACAGGGATCGTTCGTAGAGTCAGCTTGGAGCCTTGCAGACCTGTCAGGGCAAAGCATATACTATTATGACATCGGCTTGGGCAAATGGTTGACGGATACTGCACTGCAGAACTATTCACAGACAGGTCTACCGATGGATTCGACATTCTCTTGGAACTATTTTGGTTGGAACTCACGTCTCGCAATAGGCTACGTCCACAATGGCATCGGGGCCGCCGGACACGCACGCCTGAACCCTAACACCGATGTATACGTCCTCGTCCCCGGAATTCCTCAGATCGGAGAAAGGTTCATAGCGTCCTTCAACACCAGCGACTGGACTTGGACCAATAAGACGATCTCGTCGGAGCTTGTGCCGACGTGGAGCGAACGTGGCAGCTTGGTATTTCTCCCTGGAACCGAGTCAAACAGCGGTGGATTGGCCGTTGCACTTGGGGGAGACACAAGACCTGTAAGTCTGTGCTCGCGTCCAGGATGGCCTTGAACCTGTTTGACTTGTTACCGACGCAGGATACCCAATATTTGAGCTTGAGACGAGTACTATTGTACGATACGGAGGCAGATGAGTGGTTTGAGCAAGACACCACCTCCGAAGGGGGAACATATCCAGCGCCACGCGCGTCCTTCTGTGCTGTCGCCATGAGCGCTGCAGATGGCAGTAGCCACAATATCTATGTATATGGTGGTTTACAGGCAGCTACCAACGATGCGCTTGGTGACGTCTGGATCCTCACGCTTCCTGCATTCCATTGGATTCCTGTCACCACGAGCTCAGTACCGCGATCTGCGCCTGCCTGTGCCGTGGTGGTCGACAGGTATCTAGTCACATACGGCGGCATGCATCAAACGATCGAATGGCCAATCCCAGCCAGATACGACTGGCCATGCGATCAGGCGCAATCTGGTCTTAGGCTCTTCGACCTTACACACCTAGAATGGACATCCACTTATGAAGCACCACCTGAGCAGTCCTTCTCCGTGACAAGCAAATTTTCTACGACGTCGAATTTGTATGCTATTCCCAGCCAAGTGTACAACATCATCGGCGGGAATGCCGGTGGCGGTGCGACTATGACGGCACCGACTGCTGGGTTTGCGACCAACACTGCACTCGCCTCGATATTTGCGAACGCCATCAAAGTGTCAGGCTCTCCCAGCAACACAGCTTCCGCTGCCACTCCGTCCATAAACAGCAGCAACACACCTTCCGCGACTACTTCAGCCACAGGTACCGGCAGCACCGCCACCGGGTCACATTCAAGCCATTCTCATGCTGGGGCTATTGCTGGTGGTGTGGTGGGTGGGGTTGGCGGTCTTGTCGCTATCGTTGCCAGTCTAACATGGTTCGGCCGGCGGGGAAGACAAAAGACTAGCTTTCCTGACGCCCTTGAGGTGAGCAAGGGTCCACATGAGGTTGACGGGAAGAGCTCGCAAAGGGTCAACAGTACGAGGCCATACGAGGTTGGCGGGAATGAAAGGCACGAAGCTGATGGAAGTGAAAGGTGTGGAGCTGATGGGAGTGAAAGGCACGAAGCCGATGGTAAGCAGACAGCTAAACCGGCAGATCTTACTCACGAGCTCGAGGCGCCTCTCAAATAGCATGAGCCTTCGGACTACCTGTTATAATATAAAGAGGCAACGTCCAGACACCACTTGGTAGAGCAGAAGTAGGGCATACTCGCCGCATTAAGGGGAGAAATCCCGGTAGCCTACGTTGAACTGTAGAAAAGAAGCACGTGCATCTCTGTTGGATCACATGTGAACGGCGGGGGAGTGAAAATGCGAAAGTGCAAGTGGGGTTCGATGGCTCGATGGCTCGATGGTTCGATGGTTCAATGGCGTGAGAGGGAAACAATTCCATTCTCTGTACTTGTTACTTGGTAGGTTTTCTCCATCGGCCTCCTCCGACATCCACGGTTTGGATTGTCGTTTGTATCGAGTAAACACATTATCGATTTCGGGTCACGCACTCCAGACCGGCACAAGATCTTCTGATTTTATTTTAATCTTCTCTTTTCCTTTCCCTTGCTCATTCATTGCTCTTAGGGGTCGCCTGCGAGCATCGACTCAAATCACTCCTTTGCCAGTGGGATTCTGACTTCTGCTTATATCTCGAATATCTCGAATATCTCGAATATCGTGAGAAGTGGTTGCCCCCAGCTCCGTTAAATCACCCTGTACTCTCCCCAGTTCCCCCCTTATATACCGGCCGTCGAACCAGCCATGGAAGTCAATATCCAGCCGCTCTCGGAAGCTCTGGTCGACAAGACCCACGCTGTGCACACCAACTCAACCTCCAGCATCACCGTAACACACGTCACCGCCGACATAATCGACATGATCTTCTCGTCCTCCACGAATTTGACCACCACCGTTCTCGGGGCGTCTATCGTTTCATGTTCAGACGAATACTTCGCCGCCGCCTCCAACCTCCTGACCCCTACGCCGCCCATTCGCAGACCGGGAGTATTCGTGCACACAGGAGCGTGGTATGATGGATGGGAAACGAGGAGACATAACCCCAAGGAGTTTGACTGGGTGGTGATTAAACTCGGGTGTGTAGCACAGATAGATGCAGTGGAAGTGGACACCAGTTACTTTAATGGGAACGAGGCTCCGATGGCTGGATTGGACGGAGTTGCCTTCTCGAGGGACGAGGACGACAGTGCCGCCGCAAAAGAAGGGTATGACGGGTGGACTGCAATTCTCCCTCCCCAGAAATGTGGACCCTCCCGACGGCAGGCGTGGAGAGTGTCTGGTCCAGGAGTGCAAGGGAAGCAGTTCACGCACTTGAGGTTAAAGCAGTACCCCGATGGAGGGATTGCAAGGTTGAGGGTCTACGGGACAGTCGTGCCACCTTCACTACCCGTCAGTGTGACCTCCGGGAAGGAGGAAAGGCCTCGGGAAGATCTGGCAAGTGCGCTCAATGGTGGTGTTGCCATTGAGTGCTCGGACCAGCATTTCGGCGGCAAGAATTATTTGCTTCTGCCCGGCCGAGGGAAGGATATGGGTGACGGATGGGAAACTGCTAGAAGCAGGGTCAAGGGTCACACGGACTGGGTGATTGTTCGGCTGGGATTGAAGGGGAGGAAGATTGAGCAAGTCATCGTCGACACCAAGGATTTCAGAGGCAATTTCCCTCGGGCCGTCAAGGTCGAGGGATGGTCAATGGAAGGTGCGAAGGCAGCCCTGGGCACCGAGGCAGATCCTAAGGATGATGAGAGAGGATGGACGGCATTGATTAAAGGGGAGCAGCCTTGTCAAGCGGATACAGAGCACGTCTTTGAAGGGGAGCAGCTGGTGGCGTCGGAGCTTCCAGAAGGCCATGTGTGGACGCACGTGAAGATGACCATTATTCCTGATGGCGGGGTGAAGAGACTGAGGATATTGGGGAAGAGGGCATGAGGGTCCCCTCAGTATACATATATCCCGTGTCATGGGATCTGCAGGCGGTTTCTATATAGGAGTACCGAGTACCTCCTTGTCTATAGCAGCATCTCTACAGTACTTGGTACAAGTATCTCACCACCTTCTGCGAGGAATCTTCCGCTCCTCCGCCGAGTCTCGATTCGTCTGGTGCATGCCAAGAGCGACATCGGCCCCACTTGGGCCACGGTGAGTGGTCAGCTTTCTCTCCGCAAAATCGGAAGGCAAAATTCGCAGATTGGGATGCCACCGAGGCATCCACAAGGGTCCATGCCACCTCCAAGGCCACTCCCACTGCCACTGCCACTGCCAGTTCCGCACCTCCAGACACCACACACCACTCAACCACCGGTGCACCCCACTGACTCATAAATCATTTTCCTGTCTTGCCAGTCTTATTCAGAGCTTTCTTATTGCAACCCTCTCCCTCTCTCTGGCCGTACGGTTGGATTCTCTCCTGCCCAGGCAATCATGGCGACTAAAATGACGGCCATACGGCCTGGCTCCAGTGCCATTCGCTCTTTGTCCAGAAGGAGACCTTCGTGCTCCCGGTCCTTTTCCTCCACTGCTCCGGCAGCGGCTCTGTCGCCTTACCGAAAATCCCAAAAACCCTCTCCCGAGCAGGCAAGAAGACCGGCGACGACTGCTGCCGCTCAAGCACAGTATGTCAACACCCGAGCAGAAAAAAAAAAGGTCCTCCCGAGGGATCGTGCGCGCTGACCTTGGTGCAGAACCACTCGACCCATCCCCAGTCCCGCCTTCAACAACGACTTCCGCCGAAATGAGCCCTCACCTTTGGTCAACAGGCAAGTGCCTGAGCTCGACGACTCGTTTGTCGGGCTCAGCGGCGGAGAAATCTTCCACGAAATGATGCTGCGACAGGGTGTCAAGCACATCTTTGGCTACCCGGGCGGCGCCATCCTTCCAGTTTTCGATGCCATTTACAACTCAAAACACTTTGATTTTATTCTGCCCAAGCACGAACAAGGTGCGGGGCACATGGCAGAGGGCTATGCCAGAGCGTCCGGGAAACCTGGCGTCGTCCTTGTGACTTCCGGCCCCGGCGCAACAAACGTCGTAACCCCAATGCAAGATGCGCTCTCCGATGGGACACCCATGGTCGTATTCTGCGGCCAGGTCCCCACCACCGCGATTGGCACGGATGCTTTTCAAGAAGCTGATGTGGTTGGCATCTCAAGAGCATGCACAAAGTGGAATGTTATGGTCAAGAATGTGGCTGAGCTGCCCAAGAGAATAAAAGAAGCCTTTGAAATCGCAACTTCGGGCCGACCAGGTCCCGTCCTCGTCGATCTGCCCAAGGATGTCACAGCGGGAATCTTGCGGAGACCCATCCCGATGCAGTCAACCCTGCCCTCACATCCTTCAGCCGCCACCCTAGCTGCCAGAGAGCTCTCTCGGAAACAGTTGGAGGACACCATCGCCCGTGCGGCCGACCTTATCAATATTGCAAAGAAGCCACTGATCTATGCGGGTCAGGGCATCTTGGGCGCTCCCGAGGGTCCGAAGCTCCTCAAAGAATTGGCCGACAAGGCCTGTATCCCCGTCACGACGACTTTACAAGGTCTCGGCGGATTCGACGAGCTTGATCCCAAATCTTTACATATGCTCGGTATGCACGGCGCGGCCTATGCCAACATGGCGATGCAAGAGGCCGACCTCATCATCGCCCTGGGAGCTCGCTTTGACGACCGAGTCACCCTCAACGTCGCCAAATTCGCCCCGGAAGCGAAGAAGGCCGCGGCCGAGAAACGAGGAGGTATTGTGCACTTTGAAATCATGCCCAAGAACATCAACAAGGTTGTGCAAGCGACTGAAGCTGTCGAGGGCGATGTGACGACCAATCTGGGCGAACTTGTCCCCAAAGTCAAGGCGGTCCAAGATCGGCCTGAATGGTTTGCACAGATCAACGACTGGAAAAAGCGATTCCCATTGAATAGCTACGAAAAGGAGACGCCTGATGGCCTGATCAAGCCGCAAACCTTGATCGAGAAGCTCTCAGACCTGACCGCTCCCAGGAAAGAGAAGACGATTATCGCCACCGGTGTCGGCCAACATCAAATGTGGGCCGCTCAGCACTTCCGCTGGCGGTATCCCCGGACCATGATCACCTCAGGAGGCCTTGGCACGATGGGTTACGGCCTCCCGGCTGCCATTGGCGCGAAAGTTGCACGGCCAGACGCCCTTGTTGTGGACATTGACGGTGACGCCTCTTTCAATATGACCTTGACCGAACTCAGCACGGCCAGTCAGTTCCAGATCGGCGTCAAGATTATCGTCTTGAATAACGAGGAACAAGGCATGGTCACGCAATGGCAGAGTCTCTTTTATGAAGACAGATTCGCCCATACACACCAGAAGAACCCCGATTTTGTGAAGCTCTCGGAGGCCATGGGCGTGCCGGCACGGAGATGTTTGAAGCCCGCTGATGTGGAAGAGAGTTTACGGTGGTTGATCGAGGGTAGTGGAGAGGGCCCAGCGCTCCTAGAGGTTATCACAGACAAGAAGGTGCCGGTGCTGCCGATGGTGCCGGCAGGCAAGGCATTGCATGAGTTCTTGGTGTATGATGAAGGTATGTTCCCTGACACATCCGAGCCATGTCGGCGCAGGCTAACATTTGCTCCAGCGAAAGAAAAGGAGCGGAGAGCGGTGATGAAGCAACGGTCGGGACATTAAGAGAAAGTGCGTGAGAGAGGATGGGGACCAAAAAATTCGACGATATTCTGGGATCCAAAAAGTTGCATCAAAAAAAGTCGCAATATAAAGAACCCATCAGGCGATTGGAATCTGTACAGGCGAACATACGCATTTCTTGCACAAACACTTTTTCAAAGATCAATAAAACTTCCCGCACGCTGATTCATTCTTATCTGCCCTGCTCTTTTCTATTGTAGCATCCCAGGGCCTTGACTTGATCAGACGGCACAGCTGCTTGGCACCAGCGCGGAACGAGACGCCGTTCGGGGCTAAGGACATGCATGCATGCAGCTGTAGATATTCTTGTGTGCGGCGGTGTATGCGTGTATGTATATATACCTCGGACACGTTGGTGCGTTCTTCCTCCCGAGCCGCTCGACTGGGCTTCTGGTCTCTTCCCCACCGAACCGAACCGAACCAAACCAAACCAAACCAAACCAACCAGACCTCACGCCTGACTCCTCGTCGTATCGAAACACCATATTCGTGGGCCATCGGGCGCACGGGGCGCATGGCGCACGCTGTCCTTGGGCCGTATGCATCGGTTGAAGAAGACATGCCTGCCTATCTATCCATGCCCTTATGATTCGTTGCACGCGGTGATCCCCGTGTTGTCCCTAGCCTCCCGCACCCTTCTTCATTGCCCGCTCCGCGCCCGAACTCGGTCTTCTTGTAGCGTGCCATATCCAACGAAAGCAATGGCAGCGATGCGGCAATGGCAAAGAGGAAGGCTCGCTCATCAGGACTGGTGTCTCCCGCCCAAGGGATTTTCAGTTGATCGGCTTTTGAACGGGAAACTCGTCAAGAAAATCATAGGTCACAGGCTGCCCTGCTGGAAGCGGATATCATGCATGCAATGCAGCACAGCACAGCACAGCACAGCACAGCACAGCACAGCACAGCACTGCACTGCGTTGCCCTTTTTGCTTTACAAAGAAAAAAAAAAAAAAAAAAAAAAGAGCCTACCGTTGCACCGTCACCGTCTTCAGCTTCTCCTCGACCAACCGCCCGACGATCTTCTCCAACATGGCCGGCGCGCCGCCCTCCCTCCCCGCAACGCCTTCGAGGTATCCGACGACGCTCTTCTCGACCAGTTTCCCGACGATGTCGATCTCGACGTTGACCTCCTCGCTGGCCGTCTTGGCGGCCATGACGACCCTCTCCTGCGTGTACGCGATCAACATGACCTCGAACCAGCCCTCCTCGTCGTTCACATTGGTGACTGTCAAACTGGCGCCGTCGAGCGTAATGTAGCCTTTTTCCACGATATATCTCAGCACAGCCGTTTCACGCGGCTGGAGGCGGAAAGTCAGCGCGTTGCCGTCGGGCGTGACGCGCAAGATCGTCGCGATAGTGTCCACGTGGCCCTGCACGAAGTGTCCCCCCATCCGCGTCGACGCGCTCACCGCCCGCTCCAGGTTGACCCTGCTGCCTTGCTTCAAATTGCCCAGGTTCGTGCGCCGCAGCGTCTCGGGCGCCACCCCGACCTTGAAGCTGGAAGCATCGAACTCGGTCACCGTCAGACACGTGCCGTTGACGCAGATCGAGTCGCCCAGCGCCGCGTCCGAGAGGATCGAGCCGCAGTCCGAGATGGTCAGTGACGTGCCGTTGCCGCCCGAGGTCGAGGGGTCCAGCGCCACGAGCGACGTGACGGTGCCGATCGTTTCGACGAGGCCGGTGAACATCTTCACTTTTTCTTGTCCCTTTCTCTTCCTTTTAGGGAGGATAAGCGTGGTTGATTTGGACGGGTATGTGTCGACGTGTGTAACGCGGTACGATTCTTTATTGCAGTGGTGTTGTGCGGTGTTCTCTGTAGAGGGATGTATCACACAGCTTTGCAACCAGGCCACAGGGATAATGAGTCTCTGGGAAGAAATCAATCGATGAGAAAGAGGATAAGGTTGACGGTGATGATGATGGTGATTGGGAAGGTGAGGGTGATGGTCATGTTTGATGATGCGAGCGCCGAGATTTCACTTTTCCCCGCATTGGCTGTGACAGCCTCGCGGGCTTCCCCACCATGCGCCCTCCAAAAGCTCACTGCACACCAGTACGCAACAAGGCTGGCCCAGGTTCAGTCCATTGACCCAAACTGTCCATCTGATTTACTTTTCCCTGGCATCTTCGATGGAACAGACGATCTAAAAGGCAGCTTCTCCGTTGGTGCGCCCAAGGGGTATCATGTTATATACACATCACAGACCATCCAAACTCACCACCAACGCTAACTACTAATTCCACACCATGCCGCTGAGTGTTCTGTACGTCCCTCGTCGTCGTTCGTGGTCATATATGTCTATCCCTTCTTCCGTTTCTTTCATTAGAGCCTGGCACTTTTTTTTCTCTTTCTTTCTTTCTTCTTTCCCTTCTTCCTCTTATGATAGTCCATTTTTTTTGGGTTCCGTGTGCTTCCCCATCAATGAAACGATCAGTCGCGCGTTTGGTTCGCGAGATAAGGAGTACATAGACATGCAGAGGAGCGACATCCCCGGCTTGCTGTGGACGGCGTATATACTCCGTTCGACAGAGAGCGTGGTGGCCGAATCTCTGCCTCATAGGCCCGGAACATGCAACATGTTCGCCATTGCTCTGCCTTTTGGGTTCCAAGGCGCATATATATATGTTGGTGGGTGGTTTCCTCAATGGATGGATACTCCCCTATGGGAGTTGGACGACCACGACCAACTCAATTTCTGGCTGCGTTTTGTGGTGATACCAGTTTCCGAGGCGGAGCTTCGGAGCTTGAATTCCTGTTATCCTTGTCCGCGACGACAGAGGACTAATCTCGTATCTGTGCGCGTACAAGAATAATGGTGGGATTCACGTCTCGAGTCACGCGTGACCTTGGAACTCCGCTTAGGTCAGTCCCATCTCGCGATTTGTGTTGCTGTTCACTTATTGTCAACCGCTCTTTTTCCTCTTCGGTCGACAGCTCAAAGCAAGCTGGAGAAGACTATTTCGGTCTGCGCGACACGATAGTCAGCGTACTGATTGATGACTAGAGCGCCGCGAATGCCTCACCTTCTTCATGGTTGAAATAAATTTCCGCCTTGTCCAGGTACGGAAGACTTCGATCCCAGGAGAACCGTCTTGCCAGCGATTTAGCCGACACAAGCGTCGCGTCCGAGTTCGTGGTCGACATGGATCCTCTTCTTTTTCCAGATTCGGTCTCGTCGATTTGTGCATGTATGCCAGTCAACAAAAGAGTTGACTTCCGTCCGGTCCCCTTACTCTCAATCTTGATGGTGTCTTGACATACTGGGCCCGGACGTCAGCAGCATAACCACTATTTGATCATGGGCAGGTACTGACGGTTGAATTCCATGTACTTCTTCCGCCGCTTCCCCCTCTCCTGAATCAAATGCACCATAAACCGCAACTCGGATCCCATTTCCCAGACCCTTACGTTCTCCAGGCCGACTAGGCGATCATCATCCCTGCCTCTGTGAGGACGACAAATCTCAGTCACAGGCACAAGCAGTCGGAGATTCGAGCCATAGACTAGCTTTTGAAACTCTTCACAGTCTGTCCCAAGAGGCTAGTGAGCTCAAAGTCCACTTGTACGAAAAAACACTCACACGCACAGATGGTGAACTCACCAGGGATACTGTTGAATTTGTACTGGACCCAAGTTGTGGGAATTCTCGGATGGTCCCTCCGCTGGCCCCCTTCGATTGTGAAGAAGGTCAAACCTTCCCCTTGCTCTACCACAGCAGTGAGTTCATCGCCGTTGATCGAATAGGGGATAATGTATTCCCAAGTGGGCACTATAAAATGGAGACGGATGCTGGTCAGGTCCAAGAGCTAGGGAACTTGCCGGAAACGGGAGGGGGACGTACCTCGTTGCCTGAAGCGTATGGTTCTCTTGTCATTCAAGGTCCAAATATCCTCTACCGCTGCGCCGTTCCTTATGAGCAACACCCTCCCTGAATCACTGGCCTCTATCGAAACTCCGTCTGAGGCCCCAGGCTTTTGCCAGACGAAGTGGACTGACTCAACTCGTCTGGGAGTCGGTCAGCAACGATTCTTCATCCCATAATGATTTGGGACTGAAATACATTTCGGCAAAGTTAGCATGAGCAGTAAGCTGTTCGACAAATTCTTTTTGTTCTTTGCTAGACGCGAGCTTGACATGGCGGTACTGGTCCCCGGGCGTGACCCCTACAAAGCTGTCTGGCAGTTGCAGCTGGTCATCAATATCTTGGCCAAAGTCGATCTCGTCGTTGTCGAATGTCGAAGCTGGCAGCCGTAACGGAACCATGAGCTGAGTTTGCGTGTTTGATGAAAGTTCTGGAGAGTTAACGTGACTCCCAGATCCCCTTGTTGTGAGCGACGGCGATGTTGGAGTGGGCGATGGGCTAAAGGGGCTTGGCAAAGGGGTTGGAGATGAGCTTGACATAGCAAAGGCGAGCATATCCCGCATATTGCTCATTTGGACAGATAGTTGGTCAATTTGTTCACTGCATAAAGACAGTATCAGTCCCAGGATGGATTACTCTTCAAGTTGGGCAGGAACTTACGATACCAGTCCGCCTTCCAGCCAGGTTAGCATCTGGATGTTCAGCGACAGCTCTGATCGGAGCTTGTCGACCACAACGGCTTTTGTGGTCCATTCAATTGTCTGGTAAACGGCCTTGAAGGCTTCGATCCACTGCTGCCAGGCCGCATCGGTTCCGGGGGGAGTCCCTTTCTTTTTCACGATATGCTCATACTTTGTCGCGATACTTTTCAACTTGTTGGTTGTCTCCGCGCATTGTTCGAGGATTGCCTGGATGTTGCTCTTTATGTCGGTATGCGCTTTCAGGATCGCACCATGCCGGCGAAGCCTGCTTGCAGCCGATCCCACGCATGACTGGTATCGATCTATCTCTTCGAGAAAGCGTCTGATCTCGCTCGGTGCATGTTTGGCACCATGGAGTGTTCTTGCAACCTGTGTGGTGATCTGAACTAATGCGATAACATCTCCTACGCCGTTAATAGCCATAGGATGCTGGAAATGGGGTTGGGGTCACCAAACAGAAGCAAGCAACACTGGGAATATCACCTCAAGAAAGCTAATGCCATCGAGTGAACGTAGGAAGACCACATGGACCAACAGGCCCCAGTAGAGTCATCAGCGTGGTCATTGTCAGTGGGTTGGGCGTAGTGTGTCGGCAGCTTCCGCGCGTGGCAGCGGTCCAGGGGATGCTTTCCTGAGCGTTGAATTTCTCGACACGCTCAACTTGGAGGAGGACGAACAATTCGGGCCAATTGGAATGAGAACGACAGCAACGTGGACAGCAAGTACCGAGTAAGCCTTGCCCAAATTCACCCCGCGCTAGATTCAATCAAGAGATGGCAACAGGTGACGCGAAGGCGCAAGATTTTGAAACAAGGCAACGGCTGTGTTGTCTTTATGGCTCAATGAGGCCGGGCTCGGTACGAAGGAATCTTGGATCCGGTCCGTTGGCGGACTTGATATGGAGCTCGGGCGTCGCATCGACCCAATAGTGTCGCAGCTGCAATGAAGCCGGGCGCGTGAAGCCGCAGGGTTCAGGGGCTCACGCGGCTTCCACAAGGCTACCTGGTATGCTGCGCCCCCTAACAGTTGACAGTGGAAGCGATGTAGCCTTCCCCCTTCCAGAGAAACTTGGGTAGTACCCGGTATGGCTTTTCGCAAGGCGAACCCAGCCTGATTGAGTGATTTTGTACTCCCTACTCTGGGCCGTCCATGTAGTCTCTGCTACCAAATTAAACAGTAACACCTTGCAATGCTTTGGATCCCATTCAGGTCCGCTCAATACGCTGGGTGAAAAGTGAGCTTGTTTGCGCATGTTTCTTCAGCCCGATGCTGGCACCACCGGTACATTTTGAAATAGCCAGAACTTGACAGGCCAACAAAGGACCATCATGGTTAAGAGGCACAAGGCCTTTCGGGACTTGGAGGATGAGTATAAGCACATTCGGGTATGTCGAGCTTGTTGAGGTGCCTGATGCCCAATGTGCATTTCAGCGCTGATCGGTATTGCCTCAGGATCCAACTCTTCGTCGACGTCTCATCTTACGGGATATCAATGAGCGATCCTTCAGCCGAGCACATGTTCGAGCTATTATGGTCGCTGGGACTGGATTCCTGACTGACAGTTATGATGTCCGTGGTCTCCCCAAGATGTTCTCTTCTTTGGAGCGTACTGACATCTCGTCAGATTTTTGCCATCAACTTAGTATCCGACATGATGTAAGGCCGTTGTCTCTCTTCTGTAGCAAAACTTTTGCTATAGGGTCCTCTACTATCTGTACACGCTAACAAAGACTGGTAGTGGGTTTTGTTACTTTCCAAAACATGGAAACAAGATCCCTCAGGTCGACGACACCTTGATCAAGGTCATGACCTCTGTCGGCACGATCGTTGGGCAGTTGTTCTTTGGTTGGCTCGCTGACAGGGTTGGGAGAAAGCGCATGTATGGCTATGAGTTGCTGATCATTATGCTGGCAACTTTGGGCCAGTGTATCACCGGGCCTTCGTCAGCAATCGGCATAACAGGCCTGTTGGTCTTCTGGAGAATCCTCATGGGTATCGGTATCGGTGGAGATTACCCCTTGGCAAACATCATCACTTCCGAGTTTGCCTCGACCAAATGGAGAGGCACAATGGTTGCAGCGGTGTTCTCAACTCAGGCTTTGGGGCAATTCATCGCCAGCCTGGTTGCTGTGGTTGTGATCGCGGCGTTCAGATCGCAAATCGACAACGGCAACAATGTCTGTGAGGACGGTACTTGCACTCAAACCGTTGCTGCACACCTAGCTGTTGATAGGATGTGGAGGATCATCATCGGAGTCGGTGCAGTTCCTGCAGCATTGGCTCTGTATTACCGCTTGACCATCCCGGAAACTCCTCGATACACATTCGACGTGAATCGTGATGTGGAGCAGGGCTTTGCGGATTACAAAGGATGGGTTCAAAACACTATTGGACCGAGGACCGGACAAGGGGAAGTCGACGATGAGAGAAGGGCGATTCGTGCCGGCCTGAGACCCGGTGAAACTCTGGGCGGCCTCGATGCTGCCGTCGTCCCCCAGTCATCCTGGAGCGACTTCAGACGATACTTCCGACAAGGCTCCAACGGCTGGATTCTCCTTGGGACCTGTGGGTCATGGTTTTTCCTGGATGTTGCCTACTATGCCCTTGCGTTGAACAATACCATCTTCCTTCAGAAAATGGGGTTTGGATCCGTCAACAACAGCGACCCTACAAGATTATACACGATCCTCTGGAACGGCGCGATTGGAAATCTGGTTCTGGTGGTTGCAGGGGCTATACCAGGCTCCATCTGTGCCATACTGCTCGTCGACAGAATTGGTCGCAAATCCATTCAAGTCGGAGGATTCGCAATGATCACCATACTCCTTCTGATCCTCGGCAGCTCGTTCGAGAGCATGTCCGACGCTTCACGGGTGGCTGTGTTCGTTCTGATCCTGTTCTTCGTTAATTTTGGTAAGTCTTTTACTCCAAAACTTCATGTGCGCCCTCGATTAATATTTTTGTGAAGGTCCTAACTCTACAACCTTCATTGTGCCTGGCGAATGCTTCCCAACGAGGTACAGGAGTACGTGTCATGGGCTGGCGGCAGCATCTGGCAAGATCGGTGCAGTTTTGGCCCAAGCGCTAACGGGGCCATTGCGAGGGATCGGGTTTGAAAAGGGCAAAACAGACGCCTCACCATGGCTTCCCCACGTCATCCAGATACTCGGCGCCTTTGCAATGCTGGGTTTGCTATGCTCCTTCCTCATCCCAGAAACGATGGGACGGTCGCTTGAAAAGCTGGCCGGTGAAGAACCCAGAGCACTGGAAGGCGAAGAAGCAAGCGACGACGAGGACACCCGTCCGAAGTCGCTACTTGAGCTGATGTGGGTTTCATGCACGCCTGTGGTGTTGTTTCAGTGGCTTTTCCGCACCCGAGGCCACGCAGCTGAATATGATGATATCAATGGTAGCAAAGGAGCGCTGACTGAAGAGAGGATATCATTGTCAATGGTCGGAGCTGCCAACGAGCCGTCCCCTGCAAAACCTGTTGTCCCCGAGGGCGATCTGTCTGAGCAACAAGGTGACGGTGGGCTAAAATTACTGGAGACTGAGGTAGAGAGATTATCCGGTGAAAGCTCCGACCGAAGAGCCCATGATGATGAAATCCAGCGGATCACGTAACTGGTCAGCGCTGGAACTTTGTATCCGAGATGTTCTGGTCACAGAACTCTGTCGAGAAACAGTATAATCAAAGAATAAATATTGCTGGCTCAAGGCAACTCTAGCTCTATATGCGTAGGTCGCCTGTCGCAGTAGAGTTAGTCAGTCGCATTGATTTCATCAAACCTTATTCATGAAAAAAAAGAAGAAAAAAAAAAACGAAAGCATGATAACACCGGTCATCCGGGTCCCCAGCGCGACAAGCAATTTCACCTCTCCCACAGAATAGCAGTCCCCCGTGGATAGTACAATTGCATAGCGCAAGCATTCCCAGAGCATCATAATAATACCCAGTGAAGGGAATTGCCAAGACCATTCAAGTCAGCTGACCCAATATCGGAAAACTTTCCCTTTCAAGAGAGAAGACATCCCCTCACTCGGAACCAAGGTGTGGGACTTTATTCTTCTCATCAAGCATCTTCCACGGCAAGTGGTCGCAAAACCCTCGATTCCTGCCCTTGACCCTCCTACACTCATCTCTGGAATCTAAAAGAAACGGACCCAGGTGTCTCAGATCGCAGACAGCCACTATCAAGATGGTCGAGATTCCACCAGGTCCGTTCAACCCTTCGCACCCAAAACTCAATGGACTGGTCTGTTAACGAAGGGGAGAAAAATTCGCAGAAGTCGAAGCACATCATAAGATAATGCGGGAGACATTGTACAGATCTCCCCTCATGATCTCTGAAACCGTGTTGCATGACTGATACACCAGGCAACCACTACAGCTTCGCAATGTCAACTCCCCTTCTTACCCCCCTCAACCTGACCCTCCTCGTCCTCATCCTCACCCTCGCCTACCTGCGTCTGCGTCCACAATCGCCGCCATCACTTCCGCACGGCCCCCAACCCATTGTGTTCAAGACGTTCACCCCGCGGACTCTCCTCAAGTACAACGGTACCGACAACTCCCCCGTTTACCTTGCCGTCCGCGGAAAGGTGTACGACGTCTCTTCCGGCCGCAATTTCTACGGGCCGGGCGGTCCATACGAGAACTTTGCGGGACGAGATGCTACGAGGGGCTTGGCTTGTCAGAGCTTCGATGAGGAAATGTTAACTAAGGACCTGGATGGACCGCTCGATCCATGTGACGACTTGACTTCAGAGCAGGTGGATAATTTGAATGGATGGATTGAGAGATTTGATGAGAAGGTCAGTACTCACACTGTCATTTGTGAAATCAATTGTCTTGGAAGAGATTGGTCGAGAGACAGGATGCTGACGTTCCGCTTCAGTATTTGGTCGTAGGCAAGCTGCTACCTTTCCGGAAGACCGATTTCCATTGATTTCATGACGTATCGGACTCCCAAGGATGGAAGAGAAAGTAGAATAGCAAAGCAAAATATGTTCTGGTAAACAAGCATATCTTTTCATTCACGGTAATTGCTGTCGGGCTGTCGTAGCTAAAAAGCTCTAAAGGTACAATCTCGTAAGCTGTGCAGCAGCTAACCTCATGCCCATGGTCATCCGTTGATTAATCCCTCGCCAGACCAACTCCCCGGTGCCTGTGTCGCCACTAGATGAGAGCCACCACCATCTAAGGGTACCCATCACTCCCTCCATAAACACCCTACAGCTCATTTTTAGCGCTTGTGGCACTCTTGGAAGCAGCGCTGGCTGCAGAGCTGGCAGACTTGGAAGCAGATGCAGATGCAGCGGCACCAGTGCCTTGGGCTTGTCCAAGAACCCATTGCAATCCACTCTTAATTCGTTCAAAAATGGTTCCTGAGGGAGTCGATGTTCCGTACTTGAAGTAGTTGTATTGCTTCTTGGCTTCGGCGCGGAGTTCGTTGGCTGTTGTGCCTTGGTAGTTGGGAACGCCGTAGCTGTCAAGGTAAGACTTCAACTCGCTGTCGGACCAGGTATCAAAAGCAGTGTCCTTAGCAGCATCGGTTTGCTTGGCAAGGTAACTGGTGACCGATGCGTAGTTTGTCCCGCCGCTCTTGGAGGCAGAGGCATAGGAATCTTGGGCTTGTTTAATCAGGTCGTCGCGGCTTGCCTTGGCGTTCTTCTTGTATTTCTTGCCATGGGCTTCAAGATACTTCTGGAGATTCTCGAGGGTCCAAGTGTCAAATGTCCATGCCGACCAACCAGTGGCAGCCTTGTGCTTGTTTAGTCGGACTTGCTTCAAGAGCTCGTCTCGCTTGCTACCCTGAGGAACTGGAACCCCACGAGAGTCCAGGTAAGCCTTGAGGCGAGAATCAGACCACGCCTCGACGGCCTTGTTGAACGCATCATCAGCCATGAGAGAGGCATCATCAGTTGCCTTTGCATACTCATTGCCGGCCGACGAAGTAGCCGCGCCAAATGCGGAAGTAGCAGTGCTAGAGAGCGAGGACCCGCTCGCCTCGAGTTTCGCACGATGTTTGCGAGCCAAGGCGATGAGTTCGTTCTTCCTGCTGCCCTGTGGAACAGGAACTCCATGGCTGTCAAGGAACTCCTTCAATTGGCTGTCAGACCAAGCGTCGAACAGAGCATTACTAAGGCTGGCCTGTGCACTGGAGGCAGATTTGCTGGCTAAAGAACTGGCACTGTAGTAGGAAGCGCTCGCAGCAGATGCGGCTGACGACATGTTGAGAGAAGCCAATCGAGAATTGCGGCGGACATGGGCGATGAGCTTGTCACGGGTGGTGGGTTGTGGAACAGGAATACCACGCTCGTCGAGGAACTCCTTGAGGTCAGATTCGGACCAAGTCGTGTAGAGCCAGTCACCGGGGTAGGAAGCGTATTCTCCCAGCTGCTTTGCAATAGCATCGTAGTGCTGGCGGACGGTGGTCAAGAGGGTATCTCGAGTCCGTGGTTGAGGAGCGGGAATGTTGTGATGGTCAAGGAAGCTTTTCAGACGCGATTCAGACCAGCTAATGAATGTCAGCCAGGACAACAGCAGAAGGGAGCTTCATGCTCACCTATCAAAGATCCAGTCCTTAACACTGTGATAGCTCTCACCGGTCTTGTCCCCGGCTGTGGCGACAGGGTCAACCACTTTGGCGTGCCAATTCTCTTTGACAAGGTTCTCGAGGTCTTTCCTGTCCGCAGGGGTCGGATAAGGGACATCGTGGTCGGAGAGCCAGCGTTCGAGTTCGGTCTCATGCCACTTGTTGTAAGCTGCGAACGAGGTCAGCAGTGTCCCTGTGGGCATCGTCAGAGCTTTGGTCATACCAGCTTTGCTGAACCAGGTACTGGAAACAACGACCTCGGTCGAAGCTAAGGCGACGACAAGGAATTTGGAGAGGGAGAACCTCATGGTCGCAGGTCGATGTCGATCTTGGACTGTCTTCGGGTAGGCAGTAGGAGGAGGAGGAGAGTTAGAGATCAAGGATTATTTGTTCAGGAGATTTGAAAGGGTCGAGAGAAGAAATTTAGGCAAAGTTGACAGATTGAATGTTTGTGCCAACCTTGACGTCAGAATTTGTTCACCATTTACTGGAGCGATGGGTGGTGATGAAGGCAGGTGGTAGGTGAGGCAGAAGTGGCGCCACAGGCAGCTCGCGGTCAGGGCCAAGTCAGAGGAAGGGCAGCCAGACGCCCAAGCTTTACCTTCCTTAACCAAAATTCACACAGTAGACAGTGGTGGCTTCCCTCTGCTCCCTGCTCTCTGCTCTCTACTCGGTACACCAACTGCCTAGAAAAATCCCGTGAGAGCTACCAGCCGTTGCCAGTCAAATTGGCGGGACAGGAGTCCGACGAAACAAAACAGCTGCAGCGCCCAAGGTGCGTGACGGCAATGACTGACGCGATTCGTGATGCGGGGAAAGCAAGACACGCGCAAACCCAATGTGACGTCACTGCCACTTGGTCAAAAAGGGAGTCCGGATGAGTCTCGTCCTCATCCGCAATTGCCTGGCAAAGGGCCTTCTTAGTCTCTCCCGAGTAATATACAGGTAGAACAAAGAAACGCCTTGACATCAGCCTTGCGAGTTTCAAGTAAATAATTACGGGTAGTCTACATTTGTGGGGGACTAGGGTTGCGGTACCTTATGCTCCCTACCTAGTTCTCCGTACCCCGTACGAGGTACTATCAATGGTCTTGGTATTCAATGAAGTCATCGAAGCGACGTAATGTATCAGAGGATCATCAGTGGCACTCAGTCTCAAAGCTTCCAAAGGCTTTTTGACCATCTCTTTCAGTCTCGTCCCTAGGTAGAATCCTCGTATATCTTTGGCTCCTAAAAGTTTCTGCTCCCATCTAAACCGAGACTCACTGAATCACCCAAAATGCACCCCATTCTCCGTGTGGCCACAAGGCCAGTCCGAGTCCCTCACCGATTCCCAGCCCTGGCCTATCCTTCACAACCATTGAGGTCAGCACATCAATCATATGGGAATGAGCAGTCTGGGATGCAACAGGGCACCGAACAGAAAAACCCCAAAGCCAATATGGAGCATCCAGGCCCAGATGCTCCGGCAACTAGCAAAGGCGGCAGCTCTTCCACAAGCGGGGGTGGTAGCCCTAAAATCCAAAGCCCCAAATCTGCCGCCGAGAAGGACGACCCAGATGTGCGGAAGCACAATGAAGAGCTGGAACAACGACACGAGAGGACAGTGAATCAACTAAGTGAAGATGACAACAAGGTAGACAAGCAGTTTTGGAAAGGTCCGTCTTCTTCCCCCCAAATTGATCGCTGTGAACCAAACTAAACCTGATGGACAGGCGACGTGGGACGGCCCTCGGAAGATAAAAAATAGTGAGATTTAGGGCAGCTGAAGTGCTGTGAAACGGATAATGCATCTGCGACATAAATCATCGTGGGTGGCATTCAAATTCGCATCGGGCGTTCAGGGCCTTCAAAAGCAATATTGAAACCCTTGGTGATTTCTTGAGTGGACTGGAAGTGCGTCTGGGGAAGGCCCCGGAGACGCATTCAAGACGCTCCTGTACAGAGCGGCGAGATTTGCTCAAAGGTCCCAATCGATCATGGGAAGGGAAACACATCGGCACACACATGATGTGTTAGTCTCGTAGTGCGTTTTAGCGACCAATACAATCATGGAACCTGTTTCGCTTGACACGTCAAGAGAGCCTTTCTTTTCCCTTGGTGATTGAGCCAGATCATATGTGGTCTGACTTGCCTCAGCTGGCGCGCTCTATATTTTCCTCAGAGCGAGAATGTCTGCGAGACGTACTTGGCCTCGTTGTCCCCAGCCGGCTTGGCCTTGTTCGACATCTGGTCGAACCCGCGTGTACCAAGTCTGCGCCCTCTGGTCGAGCTCTTGCGGGTTCAAACTCGATTTCCAACTCTTGCAAACTGTGTCGATCGCTTTAAGAACCATAGCGGCAGCTTCCTCTCTCTTACTCGCCAATTCTTTCGGATTGGTCTTCTTCATGGCCGGTGCCTTTTCATTGGGAGCTCTTTCGGATTCTGCGTTGCTCGACTCAACAATAATCATGGATTTGAGAAGATAGTTTCGAGGTGAAAGAGGTTTGTGTATAGGAGGGCCGGCAGAGCTCTTAATGTCCTTACCCACAATCAATGGTCCATTTGATTTGCGAAGTGCATCGAGATCAAGTCCCCATAACGCTACGCTGGGGACACTGGTCTCATACCCAGCCGAGGGAGTGATGTGTCTTCGCATCACTGCCACCTCGCGGCCCATTATCTTGACTTTAGGCTGACCCTGTGCCCAGCCATCTTCTTCCGCAGTTGGCCCAGTTGTGAGGCCGAGATATTTGGCTTTGCTTTGCGCACCTGCGCTCACGACAGCTTGCGCCAGGCTCCACCGGCTTGAAAGAGGCTGCTCGGGATGCGTATATGCGAGGACCGCGATCGCGAAGGCCAGGAAAAGAGGTGCTCGGTTCGTCTCAATGGTGACATTCTCGAGCTCGGCAATGGACATCTCTGTTTGGGGTAGCGCAAGAGAAGTCTCATCATCGAGCGTGTCTCCATCTGCCTTTGTGCGCTTTGAGGTTAGAGAACCCGACTGCGCCGCTGCTCGTTTTTTGGGATTAGAAGCACGCTTGGCCGCGTTGATCACCTGCTTCAGCACCTTCTCATCAGCAAATATCGGTTTGAGGTCAGCCTCATCAGCCTTGGAGATGCTCTCGGGCGTATTGAGCTGCTGTTTCCGAAGAGCGTGGATCTTTGGCATGGCTTCTGCCAATGGAATGCGGGCATCTTTTGTCAGGAAACGCAGCAAGGTCTGCACCTCCGCCGCCGCCGCCATAATGGTCAGAGACTTTACGTTGAGAGACGGCACTTATGATTAGTACCTGACGCACAGCGAGGCACTCCGCATAACGTTGGCAGTAATCGCGCAGTGTCCCCGGTTAAACGATTGCAGATATCTCAGGACAATAGGGATCGACACCGATCAACTCCGGTGATGCTCGTCAAGTCAGCAGTTGCAGTGAGCGAGGCAGACAAAATTATTATGCGAGGCCTCATGCCACTAGTTTCAAATAGAGCGAGTTCGGTGGAGCTGCCAAGCTGCCTAAAATCACCCAGAGCACTATTGGGCGCTATTGGGCCGGCAGCCAAGACCAGAGCGGCATGGGCACGGCAAGTGCAGACCGAGTCTAATGAGACCTCCTGTTCCTGCCCTGTCGCTGCTCATGTTCCGCTCTCCCAATTCATGATCATCCGACAAGTCCAACATCGACCACCTTTACCTCACCCGCCCCCCGCCCTCCGATACGTCCCTCTCTACATAGAACCATCCTGTATACCACGTCTCAGTCCTCCTCCACTCTCCTGGTCCCCTCAATTGCCAGTCTTCGCGTATTCGGAGCCGGTCTCCTAAAAGGGTGGCGCAGCGCCCATGGCGCGACGACCTCCTTCAAGACGATCAATATCGATGGAGGGCGACCGCACGCCGCGAAGGTCATCAATCGACACCCCAAACCCCGATGTCTTCAGTGATGAATATGCGGTCGACCCTGCAGAGTCAATAGGCGCTTCAAGTCCGACGGACTCCATTGGCAGTCGACCCGAAGAGCTGAACCTAGACCAGCGCAACGACACAAACAATCATCCTCGAGAATACATACCTCCTGGACTTTCTGGAATCCCAATCGGCCTAAGCCGACTTTCTATCTCCAAGAGAACCCTTCCAGCCGAATCCTCCGCCCATCCCCACCGAGCCGTATCAACCTCGTCCCGTTCCATAGCAGATACCCGAAGAACCCTCAGCACCTCGTCTCGATTTTCCATCCCACGGGCTCAGAGTCCTTATCGGGGACCAACAGCCCCAAGTCAGCCATATGGACTATATCCTCAAGTTACAAGAGCCTCCAGTGTTATCAGCGACTCGACTATTCGGCCCCTAGAACTCCCCTTTGTACCACAAGGCGGTCCTGAACACCCATATTCTATGTACCCTCAAAACACAGTCCCTGAAGATGACAACTCGGATGCTAGTATCGGTTTGGGGTTTCCGGGAATGGGTCAATCATACCCGCCTGGTACAAGTTCTTCCAGTAATGAAGTGGGCGACATTGTTGGGAGCGATGGCCACATCGAGCAATTACCACCTTACAGCCGATATGCTGACAATGTAATCGCGAAGGGGGACATGGCGACGATAGACCCCCAGACGTCCTCCATCACTGAAGAATCAGCTACCGCCTCCACCATCCAACCTCCTGCCGCTTCTGATTCGGACCTTGAGTTAACGGCAGTTGGGACTGGCTCTTCTCAGGACGAAGTCGCCAAGAAAGAAGGGTTGGTTGAAAAGCGACGGAGAAGGACGTGCTGTGGACTACCGATTTGGACGGTCGTCATTGTCGCTGCGATCGTGGTGCTAGCAGCGGTAATTGGCGGTGTTATTGGCGGTGTCGTAGGCAACCAACATGGAACACACCAAGTCGAGGTGTAAGTTGACTAAAAGCAAACAGCTCATGTGGGCATTGCTAATCGTTTAACAGCGCTGCGACTACCACAGTTTGGCTCGACGCTGACCCCGCTCAAACCGGTCCATCAACACCATCATGCCCAACGGGCCACTATACAATCCCTCTGAACCAGACACAGCAGGTAGATTCGTGCGTCGTCGACGATGAATACTCTCATACATGGGAATGTCTAAACTTTGCTCTCCTTGGGATCAATGTCTTCCCAAGCGGGCCGAACTTTTCGGTAGTGTTCGATGACTACTCTGTCAGACCTCAATTATTCAGATATGGACCGCAACCTCCCGATTTTAACGGAACGCGTTTCGCAATGCAACCATACAAGGACAAGGATGACGATCAACTTGGTGTCGCCTTGTTCTTCAGTGTGCTGTTCGATAAGCTCATAATTGGTAAGTGCTCACCATGCTCTTCAACAATCAATCCCTGACTTAGTTGTCTAGTTCCTAACATTGAACTCTCTCCTGACTCTGATGATCATATGAAACGCTCAGTATCTGCACCAGAGTTGGCCCGAAGGGGGACGGGCAACTGGGGGGCCAGCTATCTCGGTGTTGGTGACAAACCCTGGTACTGTTTCTGGAACTCCACCATCAGCGAATTCTGGGTCTTTTTGGAACAGGATATGGATGACGCCTATCAGACGTATAAACCTAGCTCTACAATAACGTCTGCGACTAGCGGACCCACCAGCGCTGGCCCTTACAGCACGTCACATAACACGCCAGGACATGGGACTGGACCGACAACCACAAACCCGTCAACAACCACACCGTACCCAAGTGAACCGACTGACGAAGACTACTGGCCCGACACGAAACTCAAACGTCAAGCCACCGTAGGCTCACCGGACTTTCCCAAGCTTGTCAAGATGGTGGAGAAGCGGAAGCCTGACAACAATGTGCAGCCGTATTGCCAACAAATGCAAGTGCTCAACAATTGGCAAATCATGCCTATACCCGATGTGCCGACCATCTGTATCAAAGAGAGCGACTACGGCGCCCCTACTTCGGCCACCAGCAGAAGGAGAGTGATGCCCAGACGGTCACCCAATACAGTGGAGCAACTAGGGTCGAATTGTATTTGTGAATGGTTCAGTGTATAGACCCCAATGGAGGATATGGGAATTTGTCTCTGTGTCTTTATGTGTTACGAACTCATGAGTGTGCTGCTGGAAGGCCTGCTGTTTGATTTTCCCTTTTGGAAGGATGTTGTCAACGGACGAAGGGTATTTATTGGATCATTTCAGGTCTGTATATTTGGAGTGTGATTCTACTGTCTGCTCTTTAGGCATGGTGGACGGAGGACAGGCAAAAGCAGGAATTACTGGTAGAATCTTTCCTACTGTTACCGGCAACAGGAATTTCAAGGATCCAAATTCGTTTCACTGGATGCATACTGAGATCTGTCCAAGCCCTTCGGATTCAGATGTGTAGGAGAAGGAGATGGGCCACTGTTCCCCTTGTTCCCTTGTTCCCTTGTTCACACCCGTTCGTCTTACAGCCTCATGTCGTCATAATAAGGCTGATGACAAGCTTCATCCTTTCTAGCTATGCGCGTCTGACTGCCACCATGCTTACTTTTTGAACCTGTTCACGTTTTTCCACGACTAGGTGGGATAATGGCTCGGGTCTCACATGATGAATCAGTCAGCAGGAGCAGTCAAGGTTTTCGTTTTCCGGCGGCTAGTCAGCTTGTCACTCTGTTCGGCTAATGGCTTCGAATAACTCCTTCGGGCGTAAATTGCGAGCTGAGCTCGGCCGAACCATTTACCCATTCCCGTTCCCGCCGTGTGCATTTGCTTGTTTCTATTCTTGCGGGCTGAAATAGCGCCTGAGCTTTGTGGGATTTAAATCGCTCACGGTGATTTGAGGGTTGTCGTCTCACACAATCTCCCCTTATCGTTTCTCAAACAGCAAGGGAAAAAAAAGAGAGAAAATGGGCCGACGGAAAGCGCTGCTCATTGGCATCAACTACATTGGCTCGCAGCACCAGCTCCAAGGCTGCGTTGACGATGTCAACAACATGGCCGAGTTCCTCGCGTCGCGGGGCTTCTCCAATCATCCCGCCAACATGGTCGTTCTCACCGACATGAACGACCCGCGCGGACCTTATTACCCAACCGCGCACAATGTCCTCGCCGCGATGAATTGGCTGGTCAGTGAGCCCGGCTGTATGTGCTTCTTGCACTATTCGGGCCACGGCGGTCAGGTGCCGGATGAGGACGGGTCGCATTCGAGTGGGTTTGCGGACACGATCGTCCCCGTGGACTTTGAGAGGACGGGCCAGATTGATAGTTCGACGTTGCATCGTGCCCTGGTCAGCGCCCTGCCGCCGAGCTGCACCTTGTTCATCTTGTTCGATTGTTGTCATAGGTGAGAAGCCCGAATACTCCCCCATACTCCCCAGTACTTCCCCCTAATTGGGTATAAATGTAAGATACGTTATATCAGAATTACTAATTTGGGGCCGCCAGTGGTTCCGCGGTGGAGTTGCCCTTCGTATACCGTAAGTTCCCATTTATTGTTTGGCCCCCCTGCTGCATGAAGCCGACGGTTCCTTGTGCTAGCATTAGAGGAATTTTGTCCTAACAGCCCTGCCCCCAGTCTGCTGATAACGAGGCCATTTTTCGATGTTAACGTTCAATGCAGGGACTGATGATGACGGGAACGTCAATCTTATGGACAACCTGAGAGCTGGCGCCGAACTGATTGGCGAGGTGAGTAACACTGTTGCTTTGCACACCTTTCTGTCGCGACTCATCGGTCTCCGCGGCGTGAGTGCCCGACGAGATATCGGGGGAATGTATGCATGCATCGGCCATATCCCATTGATTGGGACTGCATGTCTTATGTGACGTCCTTTTGGAAAAGTGATGGCGGTGAACAAACGCTGATGGGCGCACGCCCCCTTTCTTTTTTTGGGTTTGAGCAGGCCTCACATCTCATCCGAGGAGACTTCGCATTCGACAGCGCGGGCGAGGCGCGCCATCTCCTTGCCGGGGCGACCTCGTTCTTCCGTGGTCTCAAGCACCAGTACGATGGCGACTATGAGGAAGGCCTGCACAGCGTGGGCGAGTTTGAAGAAGACTGGGGCCGCGAGAACAGATCGGTCTTTATGTTTTCGGGCTGCAAGGACGAACAGACGTCTGCGGACGCATTCATCAACGGTCGACATGTCGGTACGTTGTGTTTCTTCCCTACCCTCCTTGAACCCTTCCCACCCTTCGAAACCATTCTCTCTCATCCCCCCGCCATATGCACCGTCTTGGAAGTTGGAACCAGTCAATCCCTTGCTGACGATGGATGGGAATTTTAGGAGCCATGTCGTGGGCTTTTCTCGAGACCATGAAGACAGATGTCGATTGGAACATGTCCTACGTCCAGGTGAGTTGACACCCATCCTCCTCCATCCCGATCGATCACGATATTATGTCCCACCAGCACCGGCACCAGCAGAAGTGCCCGTAAAGAGACAGTTCTAATTTTCTTCTCTCCTCCCAGATCTTGCAAAACACCAGAGCCCTCCTCCAGCAGCGCTACTCCCAGGTCCCCCAGCTGTCGTGCGGATATCCGTTCGATTTGAACAATCCGTTCAAGATATGATATTATGTGCTACGGTACGGTACATGACGACGCGGAAGATGGACTTAAAACACTTGGGAGCGGGGACCAAAGGCGTTTCGGGTCTCAACTTGGCTGGGAGGTCAGGGGGTCCAGTGGCTAGAGGCCAGGGGCATGAAACAGAAGCTCGTGCTTCCCAAGATCTTGCGACGATCAAACCGCGAAGGGCCGAATCATTATACACTGTTTAATCTATCGAGGACACAGTTCTCTTGGTCGCGCACTTCCATCCCGGTCCATAGCGGTCTCGCTTTTTCCCAGCGTACGGGGGAGCCCACCCATACCTTCACCGGCCCTCAGCATGTTTTCTCGTAAACGTAAAAGCCATCTTTGATTGAAGCACAGGAGACAGCTGGGACTACGGAATTCGAGCAGCTTCTTCTATACATGAGCCTTTGATTCAACGGTCGTTCGTGTCTGGCTCGTGCTCAAGTCATCCAACTTCAACATTCACACAAGGCTGGCGTCGGGATTGTTGTTGTAATCCAACCTACTACTGAAGCATTAGACGGGCACGCTAACCCAAGTCCAAGCCGGCAGATGTTAAGAGAGACTTACCCCTCATCAAACCAAAATTGAAAATTGTCGAATGGACCAAAAGACGCGAAGAAATCGTCGAAAGCAGTCCCGCTCAATCCGCAGGAGTCCAGCACAGTGTTCATGGAGTTCATCTGATCGTCGCGAGGATGAGGAGTGCTTGCTCGCCCAGCCGGACCCTGGAGACCCGCCGCGTAGCCCGCATATTGCTTCGCGTCTCCTGTTTTGCCCGTGTTGAACGCCTTCAGGACCTCGCTGAAGAGGTTGCGATGCATGTCCGCGCTCCAAAATGTCTTGTTGAGATGGGAGAGGACCATCAAATACAGGTTTAAATTGTGCCCGGCATGCTGACGGATGAGGCCGTCGGATCGAGCAAGCTCGAACAAGTGGATCTGCATGACAGTCATGATGGCAGTCACGAGCATTGCAGGTGATGTCTCAATCATATCCTGGGCGATTAATTTGTTGAGGGTGCTCGTGGAATCAGCCGCGGCAGCCTTGGATCTCTGGGTCGCGACTGCTTGGAGACTGCTTCGCTCGGCCGGCGACAGGTGTTCGGGTGTGGAAAGAATGTAGGAGCGATGAAGCAGAATGATGGTTGCATCGCAATAGCATCTGAGATGGCTCATGTGCAGGCCCAAGATTCGAGATTGTTTTTCTATGTCTATGGAAAGGTTGTCGAGAAGATTTGATACGTCCGCATAGTCGGCTTCCAGCTGAGACAATGATAGCGGTGGCCTTCGCGGTCGGTAATGCAAAACCATGGCGTCTTCCAGCTTTATGGACAACCGGAGCAACTTGATCCAGAGCTCCGTCAGTTCCTCGAGATCACGGGGTAGGAATGCCTCGCGCAGCTCCGGAGATAGATCTTTGACATCATCCACGACATCGTGAACGGTCGGCAGGTTCAGGTCACAGTCATCCAGGTGGACGCGCATCGGCCTTCCAGTGCCCAACGAGAGCCAGGCATCGCGGTAATAGCTGCACCACCACAGCCGTCTCCAGAGTGCTCGTTGTGATGAGGGGAACGGACACCGCTGAAGCCGAGAGTAGCTTGGTTCACGATGGAGCCCAATACCAAAGGACAGGTGGATGGCTGTTCCAATCCAATAGGGGGCGCCGTCTAGATCCTCCAGGTCAACATACCAGTAACCTAGGAGTAAAGCCGACGCAATGATAGCGGACTTATCAGCCTCGAGCTGCGCATCATACGTCTTCTATGTGTCGTTAGCTCCCTCTGTTATATGATGTTCGACAAGTCCCCTTACCTTGGCATTCTGATAGCAAAATTGCTTCAAGATTTTGCGGGATTGGAACCCTATAGCTTTGAGAGTCTCCGCATCAATGTAGATCGCCGCAGCAAAAAATACCGACCACAACAACAGGCAGCTGACGCTGTTGGGATCATCGGAATACTTTGTAATAAATTCCCCGGCATTCACGACCGGTAAGAAAGGGTAGACGTAGCTAAAGAAGCAGCGAAGGAGCCGCGCGCAGACCGAAGGGGGAAATAGGGGTCTGGAACCAGGCGTTATCTCTGGTTCGAAGCGTTGTCGTTTGAGGACGTTGCGGCTGATGATATATGGGCTTCCTTTCACCGGCCGATTTGGCGAGCAGAGATCGAACACAAATTCGAGTCCCTCAGACTCTCCTAAGAGCCAAAGTCAGTCGTGTCGAGTTCCATCATAACAACTTTAGAGATACCGGCATAATAAGGCACTAAGATGTCCCGTGAATGGTCAGAGCTGCGAGGTCTTTCAGATATTGGGTCTGAAACCGTGGTGGGAGTTTGCTGAGTGCCGGTTGCGATCTCGCGGGATGTGTCTGGACCCCTTGGACAGTCCGGGGACGCCACCTGTGCCGGGCTCTTCTCCAGGTTTGCGCACTCCCGGGGGACTTCGACTTCATCCGATCCTTGGTGCGATACCTCGGCAGTGGGTATGGATCTTGGAGACGGCGTCAGAGGGTAGACTGGTGTCGATGAAGGTCGGCTGGCCTGGCCCGAGCGGCTGTTGTATTCATTCCAACGCAATGAGCGACCTGGTTCCTGATCGGGAGGATGGAAGATCACCTACGCGGCATGCTGCTGGCCATAGACCTTGCAGACGGTGCCATCCTGAGCACAGTTTGCACATGGGATGCCCTGGAAGGCCAGCGAGCAGCGGACTTTTCGATCGTGGCAGCGCGTGCAAGCGATGGCTGAGCGCTTCCTCTTGCGCGCGTGTTGCGCCTCCATGGATTCTTCTCCTTCTCCTCCTTTGTGCTGAATGAAGATGGTGGACGTCGCTCTTTGCAACTGGCCCATAGCTTTTGCAGGACTCTCCGCCTTATGTGTGAGTGGACGAGGGGAGGGACCTCGGATCTTGGTCTATTGGCGGGAGATTGCGGGGGAATGGCCAAGAATGGCCCACAAGGGGTTGGTACAAATTACTTACAAGTACTGTGGAGGTGGTGGTGGGCAAGTGGTGGGATGGAGGAGGAGGAGGAGAGGAGCGTTTGGTTTGGTGCGGAGTCGCGCTTCCTACCTAAACAGGAGGCAACTCTCCGTCCTACACATGCACAGCCTTGTTGCCTCACCTGCACCACCTTGACCACCCTCTCCCTTCTACCAATACCTCTATGTCGTTCACACGCCTCCCCTTATTGCCGTTGCATGCAATTGTGAGAGCATTCGCTCTATCAGGACCCTAGAAAGAAGAATTCCACTATTGCGGCACGATGGGCTGCAAATTACGCCTGGTCACACCATTTCCGCGCCTATCCCAAGCCGAAAAGGAAGCTACTAGGCTATTCCGCAATGCCCCCAGAATACTTCGTTCATGGTGGAACATCAATCGACAAATCATGGACGAAAGGTCTCATAGTGCTGCGAATGTCTCTTTCTACTTTCTCGTATCTGCCTCGCATCTTGCACCCCACGACATCCACAGAGCGAAACCGAGGCAGCATACCGAGGTAGCCTGTTGTTGGCTTCCAATGCAATTCAATGCAATAATTAAGCTGCCATTTCTTCATCCATTGTGCCAATCAGTTGGCTCTATACTGAGCTATTGGAACTAGCTCTCAGCCGGGTTCGCCAACGCTAGACTGCTAATTGTCCATGGAGCAGTGGCCTATGGGTCGAAAACTAGAGCAGGAAGAGGCGGGTCGTAGGTAAGTGAGCAGGTGAGCAGAGGAGGAAGGACAGTGAAAGGAGAGTGGAAGGAGAGTGGGAGGGAAGCCACGTTGAAAAGCGGCAGAGGGTCGAGGTGCGCTGGTGGTCGATTGACCTTGTCGTTCGGCCGTCACCTATCTACTTGCTTCGCTTCGACTGACGAATTGAAAAAAAGGAAACCAATCAATCAATCAATCAATCACGCTTTACTCTGCTCTCTATGTCAGGACCTTCCCGCAGATTCTCTCACCCTGGCTCACTCACTTGCGCCACCTGCGCTCCTATTTATGCCACAACGCCAGACTGCCGTAGCGATGCAATCTCCTTGTCCTCCATCTGGAGCAGGTCCCTCAAAACCACGTCGGTGTGTTCGCCCAGCGTGGGCGGCGCGCTCCTTACGCCCGCAGCGCTCTCAGAGTACTTGACTGGGTGGCTGACGACCTTGATGGTGCCGCAGGCGGCGTGGTCGAGCTCGGTGATCATGTTGCGGGCACGGACGTGCTCGTGGTCGAGGGTGTCCTTGACGTCGTTGATGGCGGCGTAGGGCATGCCGCTGCCCTCAAGGATCGCCAGCCACTGCTTCGTGGTCTTGGTCCTTGTGATCTGCTCGATCATGTCCTCAAGCAGGTCGCGGTTCTGGACACGAACGTCGTTGGTGACGAAACGCGCGTCGCTCTTCCACTCTGGCCGCTCCAGCTTGTCGCATATGATCCCAAAAAGTCGGTCGTTGCCGCCGCCCAGCATGATGTCGCCGTCCAGCGTCTTGAACCCCTTATAAGGAACGATGCTGGGGTGTGCCGTGCCCCATCGTCCGCCATCCCGTTCTCCGGATATCAGCACCGAGCTGGCGATATTTGCCAGTGTCGCGACCTGGCAGTCCGCCAGCGACACGTCGAGATGCTGTCCCTGGTTCGTCCTCTGTCTAGCCAACAGAGATGCCATAATCGCGTTGCAGGTATACAGGCCCGTTGTGAGGTCTGTCACCGCAACACCCACTTTTACAGGAGACCCGTTTCGTTCGCCTGTAATGTGCATGAGCCCCATTTCGGCCTCGACCATGACGTCGTAGCCGGCTCGGGGACTGTAGGGGCCATACTGGCCGTAGCCGGTTATGGAGGCATAGATTAGACTGTTGCGTCGAAGACGGTGTCAGTGGATTTGGCCACCGGGAGAGGCAGAGAGATAAGTTGGTGGCCAAAATGGTTAGGAGGGAGGCTCACCGAGGGTTAATCTTCCGTACTGATTCGTAGTCTAGTTGGTACTTTTTCAACGCTCCTACGGGCGTCACACAAGTGATGAGTTAAGACCACCCACCAGGAAGGGATTTCCATTCATCCATTTTTAACATCCATTTGCAGGAAGTGCGCAAGCATGCAGCATACGTACCAGGAATATAGTTTTCCACCAACACATCGGATGTCTTGGCCAACTCATGCAAGATCTTGATGCCCTCGGGGTGCTGGAACGAGAGACCGACTGATTTCTTGTTGCGGTTCACCTGGAAAGCAGCGACACACACCCCCAGCGTCAGCACCGAGCCCGCAACCAAACATGCCGCAGATGCATGTGTAAATGACCCGAGGACTCACGCCGATAAAGTACGCGCTTTCCCCAGGCCTGCCGCCTTTCACAACCGCTAAGGATGAGAGGCCGAGTCAGTGGCTGTCTCTCGTGTCGTACTCGGGGCGCAGGGTTGCTTCTGCTGTCTGAGGCTAATTACCATCGCTTTTGTACTTTGCGTACGGCGGGCCCCAGGCTCTCGTGTCGTCGCCCCGCGTAGGATGCTCGATCTTGATAATTTCTGCCCTGGAGGACGTTCAAAAAAAAAAAACACTGTCAGTTGATGTATTGTTTCAACACCACAGCTTCCGGTCAGACCCTTGCCATTCTGGGCAGAAAGCCTGGTGTGGACAGGTTGGGGACATAATGCGTACCCACCCTAAATCGCCCAGAATCTGCGTGCAATAAGGCTACCACATTTCGAGTTCCAGTTAGTCGCTCTTCGATTCCTCGCTGACACAGCTTGGCCGAAACCCAAGCGGATACGCAACTTCCATTCACTTTCTCCAGGGGCCGATTGCTCAAGTACTCGGAGGAATAAACAGGTACTCACGCCGGCCAATACTCGAGTCATATCCAGCACTCGGACACCTTCTAGCGGCGCTACCTTCCCGCTCTTCGTACTCGTTGACGAGCTGGTGACAGACGCGAAACCTCTACGCGACCTGAACGACGTCTGAGACCGAAGAAGGGACGTGCAACCCTGTTGGCCCGGTAGGGCTCGTCGAAGAGCTCTGCTGGGAGCCATCGCGGGGTCAGAATATTTGGGGTATTAAAATGAGAGATGCGCGCAGAGGGTGGTCAAGAGAAGGGCACGTAATAGCAGGTTGTTAGAAATCCCTGGGTCCTTTTGGGAGGAGTCGAGACCTGACAGCACCGTCGCCGAAACAAGCCGCCAAGCGCCGAGGCGATATCTCCCAACAGCCCATCGTCGCCGAGGTGGACATAGGGGGCCACACACCGTCTCCAATTCTTTCAGTCGAAGGATGGCAGATCGGTCAGAACTGGTCTTCAAAACCCACGGTATATGCGGGTCCAGTGAGAAGTGCATCATCAATGTTTGCCAAAGATTCCTCTCTAAATCTGACTCTAATCTCTTTATATCATCAGACGGTCGTCATCGACTCCCTTCATTCCTGTCTCATCCCCTTAACGTACAAGCTATAGTTACACAGATTGCGAAACCTGCCACCAAAACGGTTCGCGACATTTCCCAATCGATAAAGACAGACATTTCAAAGTTGCCAGGCGAAAGCCCGCAAGGTATCTTGGACAAAAGACCTCCCAGTATTTTTTTTCGTAAAATAATGAAATGAGAGTACCAAAAAAAGAATCAAAAGCACAAATAACAAAGCCGAAAAGCGTTGCGTAGATGAAAAGGTGCAAAGGCAGAAAGAACAAACGCGCCGTCCCAAACAAAGGTCCTCCCAATGATACCCCATTGATTCCTTCGCTGTCCAGCACTTTCTAATTGATTCCATGTAAAAGGTGTCGCGGCTCGCGCCGCTTTGAAAGCCAGTCTTTTGTTACCGTAAATCCAGATCATCAGTAGGGGAAAAAAAAAGGCATTTCACACATTTGAGCAAGCCGGCGGCAGTTGATGAGCCTCCAGATGTTGAACTCCAGACTCAGTAAAAAGTGTCGAATGTGGTGAGCGAAGTGGTTGCTGAGCCTCTAAGATTGTGTGAAACAGGATATCCCAAAGCCAGTTTAGTCCTTTTGTGGAGTCGGGTTCATGCTTTCTCCGGTGTGGTCTCTGCAAGATCCAGGTTGTCGATGAAAGCCAACCGCTCACTGCGAGGTGAGACGCATTCATCGTTTGCTTCGACCACAGAAGGGTGCAGTAACGGTTCGCAGGTGCGCTCTTCCCCTTCACTCGAAGGACGATCCAGACGTCCATCGGGATCTTCCATCCAGTAGCTCTCCAGAGCTCCAGCGGCGCAAACCAGGCCGCCCGCCCACCAAGCCAACCCGCTGCAACCAAGATACAGTCCATAGGTGTGCACGAATCCCGTCACAACGGGTCCAAAGGCGCGGGCCAAGCACGCCATCGATGCAGCAAAGCCATTAACTTTCCCGAGCACACTCTTGGAGGGCACGGCATTAGCAAGAAGAATTGCGTTCGAGGGAAATGATATGGCTTGAAACGTGATTTTGGTCAGAAGAGAGATGTAGATGCCCGTTTTCTGCAGCTGCTCGGGAAGGAGAACCAGATATGGTACTGCAAAATACAGCAGTGGCCAAATAGTCATCGCCAGCCGAGACGCATAGAGAGGTCCAAGCCGTCTGGCCAGAAAAGGGAAGATGAAGAATTGGGCGAATATCGAATAGGCGCCCTGCACTGCCATCATGAAACCGATAGCTCGAGTGCTGAGGCCAAAACCTCCTGAGAATTTGAAGGGAAGAACAAGTTCTGTCTGCATTCGTTCTTCGCTAAGAAAGGTGGGCATCAGGGCATCGAATGAAACGCTATGGCTAAAAGAAACATGTCAGTCAGCGCCAACGGACTCCGAGGTTGGTCAAGAAACATTTCACGTACTAGGCGAGAATTGCGTATGCGACAATGATCAAATTCACCTGCTTATTGAAGGCATTGACCGCGCCGCGCGACTCCTTCTCCCGCAGAATCTCCGAGTCCATTTCTACCGTTGAGGCGGAGCGCAGCAATGGCGAGTTCTCCGTACTTTGGTAACCCGGAGGCGGATCGTCATGGTCAAAAAAGTCCATTTGGTCTCCGATTGCAAAGCCAGTTTCACCGTGCTGTGACGGATGCTTTTCCGTCCTGCATCGTTTGAAGAGCGTCTTCGCCAACTCACGGCCGAAATCTGGGCGACCCTTTTTCTCTGCATGTGTTTCTTCGAGAAACAGAATGCCCACAGTAATACCGCAAAGGAGCACTGCAACACAGACAAGGTTGGGCAACAAGAAGGGGAATTTGTCGAAGAGGCCGCCTCGAGGGAATCCCAGAGTGTCACATGGCATGGCCAAGGCTCCGCCTATCGACGGTCCAATGATGGAACCAATGCTCCATACCACCGGCATAATGGAATACGCACGAGGCTGATGCTCCTTTTTTGTCACGAGCTCTGCTACAGTGGTCTGAAGTACCCCCACGTTGCCGTTCAAGAGGCCGCCGAGGGCTCTAGCGAGAACCGCACACGGCAAATTGGGCGCAAACCCAAAGCATATCATGCTCAGCGCTGTCCCCGCAAGACCCATGATCAAGACAGGTTTGCGGCCGAAGCGGTCGCTGGCTTGACCCCAAAGCATTCCGGTCGAAAACTCGGCAAAAGCAAACGCGGTAATGAGCATGCCTGAATAAACAGATATTCGTGATTCATCTTGGGTGATATTGAAGGATTCAATCATGCGGTATGCATAGGGGAATATTGACATGAAGGCGATTGGTTCGCATAGGCGACATATTGCTGTAGGAGATATTGTTAGTTGATTCGCAACAGCTTGCCAATTTGGGAGAGCCTGCGAGATGACGTACCCAGGACGCCCAATTGTCTGTACGGAAAACCATCGTCGACCTCTTTGGGCCTGCGTTCACCCAGGAACAGTTTGGTGAGACAGTTCGGCATCGTCACCAGAGAGGAAAGCGACTCGTCGTGGCAGGGCGGGAAGGGAGGTGAACGAAGAAGAGGGTCATATGGCACTCGGCGCGAGGAGGGCAGTCCATAATAAGGGAAAGGAAATTTCCAGGAGACAAAGGATCGAGCAACGATAGACAGGGCGAGCGGGGCGCTCTCATCTCTTTCTTTTCTGACGGGATGGCGCATCCGCCGCCGCGTGGAAGAGGCGGTGGACTGCCTTGGAGCGTTGGGATAGCACAGAGCGCGGCAACGAGCAGGACCTCGCGATGGAGACATTTCTTCGCATAGCCAGTGGCCAAAAGACGGCCACGGTAACACGGACGAGGAGCGCGGAAGGAAAAGGTAATCAGGCAAAGTCTCTGACATCCGCGCCGGGTTGTCCACAGAAGGCGGTGTTGGGCAGCTCCAGTCAGAGCGCTAGAGCCTGAAGCCGTATGTGCCGCCAGACCAGTTTGTAGTCACCCGAAATAAAATGTCCGCGCGGACTGGGGGGGGGGGGGGGGGGAGGGGATGGGAGATGATGTTCTTCAAATCGGACGGTTCAAGCAAGTTGGGCAACTCAGGTTGCCCGTCAGGAAGGGCCGGAAAGTGGTGCGTGATACTCGGGGAAGGTGCGACTTGTGCCCAGGTGGGATGTTGTTAGATCCTGGACAGGTGGGCACAGGAGGGGGAACGGCGCTGATGGAGTCAAGGCCAGGATGGTAAAAAAATGGAGAAAAGGCCAGATGCTCCCCTTTGGCACTTTGGCTTTTCGCTGCCGTTTGGGCTCCAGAAAGTGGGTTTCAGGGCTGCCATGCGATGGTGGCGATGTGGATCCGGGATTGGTATCGGGACAAGGAGCCCAAAGGTTCAGCGGGCTTCAGGATGCTCTGGAGGGAAACGGGAAGGGCGGGAAGAAAAAAAAAAAAAGGACACCCACGCTCGTGTGAAGTAGCCAAGGGTACTGGGTACTGGGTACTGGGTACTGGGTAGAGCTCCCCAGTTCATCCAGTGTGTACCGAGTACTGTAAGTACGGCCAATTGAACGGCGGAACCGCCCAGTATCCAGAAAATATTCGGTATCATGTCCCAGGCCAGTAGAATTAAAAGCGCATCTGAGCGCAGGAACCGCGACAGCGGTACCTCAAGGGCCCTTACTTATGATTCGGAGGATCGATAGGCATGGGCTTCACTTAGGCCAGAGTGGAATTTACCCCTGACCAGAGCTCGAGTGGACCGAGGTGAGCCGGGCTAGGAACATGATCCTGGTCTTCCGCTGGCCGGGGCACTAGGGGAGGGTGCTTACCGAAGAGCATATTACCTCTAGCGTTGGCCCTTCCACCACTCGGCTAGCACTGGGGCTTCCCGCTAGACTGCCCCCAGAAGCTTTTGCTTCTTCGCTCCTCCAGTGGCGAACAAGCCGGCTGGGAATCCTGCTCAGGATCCAGTGCCCTGTACTGGGTACTGGGTACTGGGTACTGGGTACTGGGTACTGGGTACCGGGTACCGATTTGACTTAATCTGTGACGAGGGGGCGCCACCACTACGCACCAGCTGCTGCATCAGCAGCATGTCATCCTTCTCGTTTCACAGCACCCTCGTGACCTGCGCGCCGTACAGGCCTGATCTCAGTAGGTCAACAATATACTTGACTTTTTGAGCCCTTGAGTCATCCAGTCCTTGGTTTTCTCACCGATCGTCCCTTCAAAGGCGTGGGATTTGGAGGCGGTGAAAAAGGCGGTCATGCCCGACGGAGGCGCGGATAATCGATCAGTTTGGGTTGTAAGGAGAGCCAGAGCTGTCAGGACACGCCGAGGTGGTGATTGGCGATGAAACAGTGCTCCCGTGGGGTTTAGAGGACAGAATACCGATCGGTGCGTGTCATAGACTGGGGTCAGCTTTCAGGAGTAGCGAGTGAAAGGCGCACAAAAGCGGATAGTTGGGGGTGGTTGCCTTGGAATAACTAAAATGTTCGAGTCGGTAGGAGGAGTGACTGCGCTTGCCGCTCGCCCCACTGCTTGTGCTCGTACCCGAGTTCCTTGATGACGACGATCCTGCCTCGTACGAGCTACATATTTACGGATTACACACTCGGTTCTGCTCGTGCTGGTGGTTCGGGCCCACGGCCAACACGGGAACGTGTCTCAAGATGGGCGACATGCAGCAGACGGCACCGCTGCAGCAGGTGGGGAGCCTCAAACGACTCGTTGTCTTTTGCCAAAAAGACTGGGAGAAGAAGCAAGGGCCGCAAAAGGATTCGGAAGATGAGCGGGCCAGGTTTTGTTCGTTTTTGTGAACAATGGAGAGGGGGAGTGGATGGGGATAGGATGGAAAAAGCAACATGTCTGACATGTCCCAATGCACCAGGGCGGGTATATACCTAAGAGAGACATGGATCATAAGGTTCACTGTGATGGGCTTTCTGGCACAGTGATTCGACTACATTGACCAGGGCCAACGCACAGTCCAAGGCAGACTTCGCCTGGGTCCACGCGCGGGTGAAAGGCAAGTCGGAAGGTGAAATGAAAGTGAAAAAGGAGACAGCGCGAGTGCGAGAGCATGAGCAGGGAGCAAGGAGAAGGGACCAAGGGAGGAGGCAAGGGAGGGCTTCCGTCTCCTTTCTGTCGGTCGCTTAGCATGTTCGAATCGAATGAGCACTGGCCGGACAAGCATCTCCATTGGAGCAGCGACCCGGTACCGTCTCACTGGAGAATAAAGTTGGAACTGCAACTGGAGCTGGGAACGGGGGGAGCAAGCATAGCGAGGAAGTTAACGACTCGTAGCCAAAACTCATCACACAATTGACTTTGGAGGTGAAATTCGCGAGTTTCACCGGAAGCTGAAGCCAGAATTCCGCCACCGGGGAATATTCAACCTGTCCAGCTCGGGTGGACTTGGCCTCTTGTTACCCCTGATTCATTTTCCAGAACAACGCCACCGGGACTCCGGCCATGCTGCTACAGAGTTACGTCGACCTACTTAGTATGAGATGCTCGGTACCTGCGACTTTTGTCAGGAGCCGGCGAATATGTATGAGAGAGAACAGAAATATGAGACTTCAAGCCCCCCCCCCCCCTCCCCAATGGAATATTCCCGAGTTTCCGGGGAAGTGGTTCGCCCTACGTAGGTACCTAGATCCATAGTGACCTAAGTACCTAAGGTTAGGTACTCTGTACAAGCAAGGGTGATTACGGAGTCCCTCGAGTCCCTACCTAAGTAAGGTAGGTGAAAGAGCTTGCTGGGCCCCTAACTAGTCACCCTACTTAGCCGCGGAAACCCAGGCTGCGGCTGGAGGCTGCAGAGCTTTTAGGCATTTTTCTAGGCATACCACGCCCAGCTCGCCAGGTGCCCCGTTTTCTCTCCTCTCCAACGAGCCAAGCCGCGTCCCTTGTCACTTGCCCCATTCTAACCCTTCATGAGCAGAATGACCTGCCGCAGATGGCGCGGAAAATCTTGCACCGTCCTTGCACGCCTCTCTTGGTCGCCCCTGTTGGTCCATTCCTCTATTTTTGGGGTCATGCTGCATGGAATTTGTCGTTTGTGTTACGGTATGCAAGGCAGTTGAAGAGGCTACAATGGCTCCTCCGCGAACACCCTCTGCCCTTCGTCTGTCTGATTCTCTGAGTAGCCAGCATATTCGGGCAACCATGTCGATCGAGAGAAACCACCAGAGTTTCATTAGACCATCTGCAAGTGACTCGTTATGTACAAATGTTGCAACGTGTGTGTGCGGTCGACCTGTCACTGAGCAATCGACACCTTCTGTCACTCGCCCAAAAGAGCCAGATCCCTTTGGAAGACGACCGAGTTTGTTGGTTGCTGCATCATCCCTGTGCCCCGGAAAAATAAGACCTAAGAGCAGAAGGGCTGTTGTCATGACAAAGAATTCTTCCAAGCTAAACTAGCTCTGCCTCACTATGTGACGAGGTTGTACGATTGCCCACATGAAGATGCCGGAGAAACATCCTCCTCAGATTATGCACCCTGCAGACTACGGCGGCAGCGGCGGCGGCGTGGGCAGGTGCCCTAGAGCATGCACAATGTCGTATATGATTGTCGCGTTGCACAAAGGACCGCACAGAGAGCTGCGTGCCTCGCCTGCGTTTTGGAGCCTCGTTCACACCCCAGGCTCGACATGCAAGGCGCCACCTGACATCTCATCCTCCCTTGCAGAGTTGGGCAATAACATCATCAACCACCAAACAACCGTCGCTTTCCGGTCGCACAATGCATCCTCCATCTGGTGCCAACACATGCCCTGCCTGTCAATCAACCCCTCCAACCGGTGAGGGGATTACTCTTTCTGGTCGACCACAGTCAAAGGACCAGGTTCGGGGGCGGGTCAACGGCTTTTCAACGTCCTAGCTGGCCTCACCGTCCGAGATGCATCTCCCTTGGTGTGACCTGTCACCTCGCCTCCGACCATCAGTGAGAATTGTTCAAGTCTATCGAGAATAAACCTTACGGCATCTGCCCAGGAGGGCAAAGTGATCCGAATGTCAGTCAAGTAGCGGTCAGATAAAGTTGCATCGTCTCCGATGGACACGAAATTTGCATCCGTCAAGACCCTCTCCATCCCAAATCTAGACCATCGGATTCTGCATCGGATGATTCCACCGAGGCTGTCAGGTTGGGAATAGTGCCTTGGAAGTGTTTCATGCATTCTTCTATGACTGCAGGTGGTCGATGGTATGTGTCACACTGCCATTCGGTCTCTCACCTCTTTCGCCGTTCTTTTGTCTTACACCTTGCAAGTTGCAACGTCAACCACGCCCGGAACAGCCGAGTTCTTGAATGCTGATCGCCTAGTCTGCGCTGACCCGCTTGTGCCCAACGTCCTTGCTTGAACGGATACAATTCGACAACTCGGCCAGTTTCGAAACGACGTCGTCCATCCATGCACTACCGGAAAGGATGGGAATCGCCGGACTTTGGGGGAAACTGTGGCCCCTTAGGTGGCATGCCAGTTCAGTGGAGGGACCACCCTCACCCTTCATAAACAGGGCGTCTGGTGGCGATCTCTCTGAGAAAGGACCGGTCATCTGCATCATTTCTGGACGAGTTCCTTGTTTTTGGCGGTAGGCAGCACTTGGCCTCCATGATCCTCGGGGTACGATGAGTGGCTGCAAATTGGAAGTAGTTCTGACGTCTAAGCCATGACTGCGCCTTGCAACGGTGGAAAGTCCGGCGTGGAGATGCAACCCCGGAACCCGTAGGAGCTGAGGCGGACACGGTTGTCGCAGGCGACCAGATTGCAGGTATCAGGTAGGAAGAGGACCCTTGGAACGGCAGACCAAGAAGTGTCAATCGATGGCAATCGCACGAGAGCTGGACCGCTAAGTCCTACTCTCTGTGAGCAACTAGGGAAATTATCCCTTCAGTCCCGAATGTCATGAACGAGACTGAGGATGCAACTGCTTATCCGATTCCATTCACGGTTTTAAGGTTGAGGATGATGGCTATGAAGGTTGTCAAAATGTCTGGATCTGTGCGACGCTCAGGCTCAAGGGTTAGTTCCTTGACCTTTTTGACCTTTTCAACAGGAATGAGGCTTGTATAAGATGGATTAACGGTTGACGCGTGTCCACAACCCTATGTCTGCGGTCCCACGTCTTGAGCGTGGTCATGGCCAGACGCTCGACACTTTGCGCAATATGTTTTGGTCACCTACCACGGTATGCACTTACCCATGACTGACATACGGATGATCGCTTTCCAGAACAGCCGCCGGCACCGAACCCCAGAACAAGTTCGTAACGTCGAGAGTGCTTCCTGGAGCGAATGCACGGAAGACCAATGTCTGACCCTGAGATCGAGGCTGTCCGCCTAGTTTCCATGACCCAGCTTGCACAGTGATGCACAGTCAACAAAGGAGACGTGAGTTTTTCCACGGCCTTCCACAAGGGTTCGTCTCCTAGAGGCCAGTATCAGCGAAGGAATATGTGATCCTGGCGCAGCCCAGTCTTTCTCGTCCCGGGTCATCACAGGCTTCTCGGCCAAGAACGGGATGTGCCTTCGGTGTTCAAAATGTATACGATGTCTCTCTTCCTATCCTGGCCTTTCTTGGGGTTCTTTGATCAGCCAAGAATACAAAAGGAGATCTGTTGCTCATGTCGTTGGCGCTGAACTTGTGTTTGGAAACGTGGACCAGAGGCCAAGGCAATCTCACTGGTGATACTGGGAGATGTCCATTTGAATCTCTTCTCGTTGGTGCTGCCGCGATCGAAACAATTGCTCGTAGGAATCTTTACACTCGTTGTCTTGGGGTTATTCCGCTTGAACTTGTTACTTTGAGGTGAGATTGAATTCACTACAAAACTGGCACGTAGCAGGGTTGGACATGGTCATCATTGTGGACGGGTTCCCCAGCAGCACAGACCCACCAGCTCCTTCACCGAATACTTTGTACATACCTCTGCTCCGACCTTTGACTGTCCCATCTTTCATGAAGCTGGCGCCGCGAAAGAGGTCTTCTTATATTTACTCGATTGCCTCGTTTACTCTGGCGATTGGCGAATGTAACCGCGGCAGTTTATCTGCCAAGGCGTGGGCAAAGCGTCAACGTGATTTGCTGGGGGCGCATCTCGAGATAAGGCTACTCAGTCTTTCCCGTACTATGGGGGGAGGGGGGGGGACACAGCAAAACGCAGTCTCCGCCATGGCCATCCACACGCCGCACCGCACGAGGCTGACAGGCCCTGCTGCAGTCTCCTTTGCATGCCGCCTCAGTAGCTCTGGATAGTGCACTCTCTCCATTCCTGGCAGAAGATGTCAGTGTCGTTCTCTGGTTCATGACATGACATGCCCTCATCCGCCACCTCTCCTCAGACCGCCGGCCAGAAGCGAGCGTATCCCGCCGACGAACCCCTCGTCCCACCGCAACCACAGGATGTTGCAGGTGCCGCATCCTCGACCAACTCTCCTCCTCTCACCTCTGCTGCGTCGGCCACCTCGGCCTTCAGGAATGTCTCTGCCTGCAACCGCTGTCGCATTAGGAAGAACCGTTGTGATCAACGTCTGCCTGTATGCTCCGCTTGCGAAAAGGCCAATGTCCGCTGTGTAGGCTACGACCCGATCACCAAGAGAGAGATTCCTCGAAGCTATGTCTACTATCTCGAGACACGACTGGCATACTTCGAGCAGCAGCTCAAGGCCCATGCAATTCCTTATAACGCCGCCGAGGTGTACAATGCTGAGTCCAAAGAGTTGAGTGATCCGATTCAATCCCCAGGGAGCGCAAAGAGTTCTTGGATAGGACCACAATCTCCGAGTAATGGCTCGCCGCGGCCCATCAAAAATGAAGACTGGGACAAGAAGCAAGAAGATGCCGATAAGCTCAACAAGCTAGTCTCAAACATTGGCATGGTCTCTGTGCAGGGCGCTTCCGACGCCCGATACCTGGGCTCTACATCTGGGATATCGTTTGCTCGGGTTGTGTTGGCTGCGGTCAAGAGCTCCGTGTCCTGCAACAACTCGGAGCGTGCGGGTGTCCGGCCCAGTCGTCCCTTGCCCAACATAGCCAGTTCAGGAGGTAGTTCCATGAGAGATTCATACTTTGGCCTCCAGACCAAACCCACCATCAAAGAAGCCCCATTCCCGGATCGACCGTTGGGGGAGAAACTGGTCAATTTGTACTTTGAGCATGCCAACCCGCAGATCCCGATCCTCCATCGAGGCGAGTTCATGGATTTGTTTGACCGTACGTACTCGATCGACCCTTCGAAGCGTACCTGCCGTGAACTGTACTTGCTCAACATCGTGTTTGCAATTGGCGCGGGCATTATATGGGGTTCGTCTGACCCCCAGCCAAACTCTCAACCGAGTGATTATGCCCACAAACGAGCAAGACTGGCTATGCAGCAAGCGCAGCCCGAGGAATACCATGCCTCCGCTATTGTCAACCTTGGGTCATTTTTGGCTGCCAGTTCATCCATGGAAGCAGCTGAACGTCCCAATGGTGATTTGGAAGAGCTCCAGGCTGTCCTGCTCCTATGCAGTTTTGCCTTGCTTAGGCCCGTGGCTCCAGGGCTCTGGTACATTGTGGGCGTCGCCATGAGACTGGCCGTGGATCTCGGTCTGCACTATGAAGATGGGACAGGCATTGACGACAACATCGAAGGCCACCAGGGTCCGGCGACCACTATGGAGATGAAGCCACCGGGACAGGTGGACGCGAAAGAAAAAGGGCGACGAGAATGGATTCGCGACTTACGCAGACGACTTTGGTGGTGTACCTACACCTTCGACCGTCTGGTCAGCACTTGCGTAGGGAGACCGTTTGGCATCACAGATCAAGTCGTCACCACTGAATTCCCCTCCTTACTCGACGACAAGTACATCACGAGAGCTGGCTTTTTGCAGCCAGCCTCACCAGATGAACCCACGTACAAATGGGTCTCCCACCACTATTTCCGCTTGCGACTGTTACAATCTGAGATCCTTCAAGTCCTTCAACATCAACAAGCGCGGCAAGCCCGTCTGAACGGCACCAATCGCCGCAATCAGTTCATGCACACCAAGCTGCCCTCACCTTTCCTGATCAAATTCGACTCGTTTCGTTCCTGGCGACGAGACATTGATCAGCGACTATATGAATGGAAAGAATCGGCGCCGGAGCCGTCGGAGACCGGGGTCAGTTTCTCGGTACAATTCCTGGAGCTCAATTACTGGCAAGCCGTCATTATGCTTTACCGGCAGAGCCTCAGTGTTCCAGCACCTCTGGCAAACGAGTTCAGCCCGACCGAGGACGTATCCAGCCCGTCAAGCATAAGATTGGAAGAGAAAGAGGACGAAGATCTGGTGTTTTTGAAATGTGCAGAGGCTGGTCAGAAGACGTTGAAACTCTACAGGCAACTTCATCGACTGCGGCTTGTGAATTATACGTACCTCGCCACGCACCATCTATTCATGGCCGGCATCTCCTTCTTGTATGCTGTTTGGCATTCACCAGCTGTTAGAGCTCGCTTGGTAAGACTCCTGTCTCTTTTCCAGTGTTTTCGCTAAACATTTGCCTCCTAGACACTAGATGATTTCGACTTCACAGTCCTCGCTGCAACATCCGTCCTAGGCGACCTCATGGAGAAATGCCCACCCGCAGAAGCCTGCCGAGACGCCTTCGAGCGAATGAGCAAAGCAACCGTCCAAATGTGCATGTCCACACCTGGATTTGGCTTCTCGATGGAACGGCGCGCAGAATACCAACCAAGACAACATCTCGCCCGACAGTCCAGCATGCAGAGCCAGTCTGGACAACCTCAAACGCAACCTATACCCATGCAAATTGACTCTTACCCTCCTGCGACGACTAGCACCACGACTCGCATCGCTCCAAAACCAATGCCCAAACGACCACCGCCCAAATTCGACATGGATTTGCGCGAGCTGTTTCCAGATGATCTCGAACCAAGTTCTCGACCCTCTTACTCTTTTCCTCAACCACTGCACGGCCTCCAACAGCAGCAACAAAGATCACCGCAAGGATCCATGGCAATGGGGCTGCCGCCGCTACAACAACACCCGCAGCATTCTCCTCGCCAACAACAAATGTCCCCTGCCTCAAGTATCAACTCGCAAATCAACAACGGTCTCGGCATGGGCACATCCAACAACCCCTTGCTCTTCAACCAGACTTCTGCCCAACAGCAAACCCAAACGCAGCAACAACAACAAACACCGTTCTACATGCAGAACACATACAACCCCGACTTCATGTCCAGCCTGCCAGGCATGGACTTCCTTAGCACCACCATAACCGGAGGTGGCGAGGGAGAATTCAACTTGGACGTCGGCGGTGGATTGGATCTGGGCTTTGGCATGACGGGACTGGATTTCCAACACGATTGGAGCGATGGACAGGGTCAGTATGATCTGTTCGAGGGCTTTTTCTTCGGGAATGGATACGGCGGCAACGGGTTCGGCGGTGGGAACGGGAGTAGTGGTGGTGCTGCCGGTGGCGCGGCGGGAAGTTGATTCCTGCGCTTTACTGTAAGTGAGATTTGTCTGTGAAGCAATATCATATGGTTTTAGTAGGTCCTTTATCGCCATGAAGATGCAATGCTCGACATAAGGTGTTTGCCCAGAAAGAAATGTTCTTGTGGTTTGCGACAATCATTTTATCTCGTTTCGTTTCTTTTCATTTCATTCTCTACCCGCCCCTTTCCTCATGTTTATGTCCATAGCCACATCCCGAGCCATCGCCTGACTCCCCCTTATCCTCCCGCGTATCGGCGGCCCTTTCGTTCCTCTACCTACATACTGCGAATTTCAAGATCGAATCGTCTCTCGCAAATAGCTAGCCTGGCCAGCTGACTGGTTGGCTGGATGGGTGGTCGTTGGGCCGTTCTTTCCTGCGCCGGACCCAAATGATTGCGAGCGAGCAAGCAGACGCCGTTTCTACGACTTGGACGGCCTTGTGATGGACGAGATAGCATAATATACATCGCATAGCACGACGCAGGGACGGGGCATTTCGGTCTTGTTTTTGTCTGGCAAAAACATCTCCTCGGAGATCGGTGCGTCGTGGCCAGGCCCCCGGCCGTGGCCGTATATTCGCCTGTAATGAAGAGTGTCTTTAGACGTCTGCACGCGGCGTTGTCGTGGAGGTGGATGGGTACAGGACAACAAGTGCCCAGATAGGCTTAGGCTCAGGCTCAGGCTCATTGAGCATTATCGAAGGTCCGCCTGGTGTGGCAGAGGTTGTTGGCTGCAAAGAGCGGCTTGTTGGAATCAATCGATTTTGTCACGGGTTAGCTTCATGACAGCTTTGCAAGGATCTGAGCCACCTGTCGTTGGCAAACAGTGTCGTCTATTGTGAGTACTAGCTCTTCTCATCCAAAGCCTTCGAAGACGTCCTCTTGGTTACTACCCGCCTTGGTTTGCTGTCGTTGAATCTGCTGAATCATCCGCGCAGTCTCAGCTTCATATGCCTTCTCGTCTTCCGTCATCTTCGCGATTCTGTCGTGCTGTCTTTTCGCTTCCTTTTTAGATCGCCTGACTTCTTTGTTGGCTTTGCGCTCGAGCTTTTCAGACCACGCCACGGTAGTGCCCTTCCGCTTCTTGGACGCAGTCGCCTTGAGACCCCTGGACTCATCTTTCAGACCCAGCTCGAGCATCTGTTTTCGATGTTTTTCACGCTGCTTATCCTTGTACCCATATTTGTTCCAATCGACATCCTGCGCCTGGTACGGCTGTAGCTTGGTATTCTTGAGCTCAGCAATTTTTGGCATCTTCAATAAACCCCATGCAGCAGCGTGATCGTGCCAGTCAACCCCACTCAGGTTGAAGATAGATTTTGCTTCGTGCTTCGAATAGCTTCTGACCCAGCTGACAAATGCCCTCTGCCCCTTGTCGTGCAGTGCCCGATCTGTGAGGACAATCTTGCGGAACTTCTCTTCAGTCGCAAGATAGTCCTCGTTTATCTCGGAAGTAGCGGGTTCGGTCAAGGGCTCAATGGGAGTATGTCGCACTTTCAGAAATTCCACATAGTCTTCCTCGTGAGGGAGGAGGAAGACGACGCTAAGGCCTTTACGACCCGCGCGACCTGCTCGCCCACATCGATGCAAAAATACTTTCGGGTCCGCCGGGGGATCAATCTGCACCACCAAGTCCACTGAAGGGATATCCAACCCCCTTGCTGCAACATCGGTAGTCAAAAGTACAGAAGGAGACACTGAGTTGGAGAAGCGCATAAAGTTCTTCTCCCGGACATTGGCTGGATGCTTACCATGCAGAGGCACAAGCACGGCGTCGGAGGGCATAATTGATGGTAGCAGGGTCTGAAAGTAGTCCACAGCGGCACAGGTGGACAAATACACGATTGTCCGAAGCGGCATTGGATCGAGCTGTTTCAGCAGAGCTGTCAAGAAGGGAAATCTTTCAGAAGCTCTGGTCACCGCATATGTCATCTTCAAACTCGCTGGCGTCCGCTTGTCTTCCACTCCGTTTGCCCCTTTTACTTTGACTTCAACCTTTACAGGATTCCGCAGACCAACACGAATCAATTGGTCCAATGCTTCGCTCACACTGGCACTGAAGAGACCTGTCCTCCTCTCTTTTGGTAGGAGATTGAGAATCTTAGTGAGCTCGTCCTTGAACCCATGATCAAGCAATCTGTCAGCTTCGTCAAGCACGAGGATTTCGAACGAGGATTTCGGATAGTGGACATCTCTTGAGGTCATGATGTCGACAAGTCGACCTGGTGTCGCGACCAGCACATTTGGAGAGGCCGTGAGAAATTTACTCAGGTCCTGCGCTGGTGTGGTATAGCCGCCTACGAGCAGCTGCGGGAGAACTTTCAGCGTTGAAGGGGGAAAACACTCTACTTCATTGTGTGCGTGCGAATCAGCGTGTGCATCCAATGGTTCGAGCCCCGCGGCGGAAGGGGGGTGAAACCTCAGCAGTGAAACCAGAACGTTGTATATTTGTGTGGCCAATTCTCTGGTGGGAGAGATGATGACAGCACCAACATGGTGTCTCTTGATCGGCTCTTCCAGTCTCAACAACTTTTCCACTACTGGTATGAGGTATGCCAACGTCTTTCCACTACCCGTGACAGCTTCGACCACGACGTCTTTGTAGGCCATGAAGAGGGGGATGGTCGAGGCTTGGACTGGGGTCATGCGGGTGAAATTCATGGCTGACATTGCTTCGAGGATCCATGGTGATAGCGGAGGGTTGAGAGCTTCCCATGTTCTAGAGGTCTTCCCCCTGGAGAGGACTGTCCCCCTATCTGGCGCCATGAAAGATGGACGAGACTGCAGACGGCGACAACGAGGTACGCGGAAGGGAAAATAGAGCACAAGATTCTTGGGGGAAAGAAAGAAATCGGTATTTCCTCGGCACATTATTTTTCATCCATATCGATAAGCGAAATCTTGCCGTTTTAGAAGACCTGGGCAAGCCCTTGAGTGGCCTTGGCCTCTGTCGCTCTATTTACACCGCAGCCAAAATTTCCTTTTCAATCGCCTCTCCAAAGGTCTTTGTATTTCCCTTTCCTCCCATATCCGCCGTAATGACATCTTCTTCTGCTCGAGCGAGCACGTTTTCGACCGCCTTCAGCATCGCCGCCGCAGCCTCCTTAAATCCAAAGTGTTCCAGCATCATCTGACCGGCCCAGATCATCCCAACAGGATTGGCGATCCCCTTTCCAGCGATGTCAGGCGCGCTCCCATGTACCGGCTCGAATAAGCTTGGGAATTCACCAGTTGGGTTAATGTTTCCCGAAGGGGCTATGCCTATTGTCCCCGTGCAAGCTGGACCAAGGTCTGAAAGGATGTCTCCAAAGAGATTGCTGCCAACTATCACATCAAAGATTTGGGGCCTTTGGACAAAGTGTGCCGTCAAGATGTCGATGTGGTATTTGTCGACCCTCACTTCCGGATATGATTTGGCCATGTTCTCAACTCTGGTGTCCCAATAAGGCATTGTAATGCTTATGCCGTTACTCTTGGTTGCGCTCGTCAGATGTTTCTTCGGCCGGCTCTGGGCCAATTCAAAGGCGTACTTCAACACTCTGTCGACTCCAGTTCTGGTCATTACTGTCTCTTGAATGACTGTCTCTCTGTCTGTGCCCTCAAAGATCTTGCCCCCAATACTACTGTATTCTCCCTCGGTGTTCTCTCGCACGATCCAGAAATCGATATCTCCGGGATTCCGCCCTGCAAGCGGACAGCGCACTCCCGGCATTAACCGTGCAGGCCGCAAGTTGATATATTGATCAAACTCGCGGCGAAACTTCAAGAGGCTGCCCCACAGACTAACGTGGTCGGGCACTTGGTCGGGCATACCTACTGCGCCGAAGTAGATTGCATCAAATTTTGATAATGTGGCATTCCAGTCCTTTGGAAGCATGTCACCATGTTTCTTGTAATATTCACAGCTTGCGAAGTCGAATTCCTCGAACTCAAGTTCAAACGCAAAAACTTTTGCGGCTGCTTGGAGACATCGTACGCCATAGGGCATCACTTCTGTGCCGATTCCATCTCCAGGAATGACTGCGATTTTCAGTTTCTTTTGTTGAATCATGGTGATAATGGACAGGCCAAACAAGGCTTCTGACAAAATGAACAGCACGCCTGGGGAGTGAGGAGACGTGGATCCGAAGGATATATAACATCAATTGTCGGGCTAATTTTTGGCCGACTATCTTTTGGCCGACGCTGGTAGCTATTGCGAAATCGGAGTCCCTGGCAAGGGAAATATCACCGTAATTGCACCAATTAACAACAGAAGTGACTTATGATTCATGGCTTCGAGGATAAGTAATTACCTGGATTGTGCTGCTTGCCTCTGTGAGCACGCTGGTCGCCTCTTTCACGTTTGACCCTAGTGGAGTGTTACAGCCTGGCTGTTGCCTGGCGAGCAGGATGCTATTGCCTCTCTTACATAAGCAAGGCTGAACCCCCTGGTGCCCCTTGATCGGTTCTCCACGCCTGGCTGGCTGGCTACCTCAGTCTCAACCGCTGGGGAAAATGACCCAATATATCGTCGGATAGCACTACTGCCCTGAGCAGCACGTTCTAAGTGAACATTCTCTTCAAAGGTTGAGCCTAGGATCGTAGCAAAGAGAAGGCATTCAGGTCATCCCTCCCATCATGTTCTCTTGAACAAGCCACAAGTCTTGTGGACACAGGGCTCATTTCAACAGGAATTTTTATTTTCTCCAAGACTGGTGACAGCGAATTGAATGTTGTGGAGGCTTAGAGTACAAGGCGCAGAATATATGGTCTTTCTGTCCCCGGCATTTTGAGTGGTGCGGGGAGTAGCAATCTGGACATTGAGCGAAAGGGGGACGTATTGCCGGAGCAGGAGACATAGGACACCAGAAAGGACTGATGTGGCTCACGTGGCATTACCAATACTGCTTGAGAGACGTCGGTGAAGACTCAGATCTCAGACTAACTAGAACGTTTTCGGAAGTTTATGATCAACTCGGCGAAGAGCAGGGACAGGACTAATGGAAGATTTGAAGGCGAGTTGAGAAAAGCTTGGTCTGGTTCTATACGCGGGCCCCAGGACTAGCTAATACGATCAGCGCACTGTCAACCACAATGTTCCGCATCGCACCTTTTACAATGTCAATGCTTCTCTCAAGCCAGGTCAACATCCCTGACTTTTGCCCACTCTCCTCTCATCTTTGAGCTTCCTTCACTCGCCATCCATCGGGTATTGACCGTGCAAGACGCGCCTCACAACATTGTGGATATTTGTCTCAGTCTCGACGACGACGACGTGACTTGTCCACTGGTACTTGCTTCCCTGGACCCCAAAGCCTGGAGTGCGCTGAGGACACATCTGGCTCTTTAAATCTTGAAGAGCTACTGATATATCCTCAGCAGCGCAAATGAGCTTGATCAGCAGGTCGGTGACGTCTCTGAATGCAGATAAGGAGGATGGTGCTGGTTGTTCGATGGCGTTCTTGGCCGGGCTGCTAAAGGTGTCCTGTGTCTGGCTACTGGTTATTTGGTCGTCTTCTTTTCCGAGGTTATTAAGGTGCCTTCTGTCTAGCTGCTGGAATTTTTGCAGACTGCTTGTGTCTGCTAGTTGAAGATTCGGACTTCGCGACGTGGCTCGTAGCAGCTGTAGATTCCGTGGTCGGGCGACCAGCGGAAGAACAGCTTCCAGGGCAATCCCTCGGGTCCTGTGGCACCCGCATCTCAGTAATATCGCCGCATTCTCCCGGCTTCATCTCGGGATCTTGCGTGACGACAATACATTGCTCAATATAAGCTGCGAAAGCTTCCAACTCCTTCCCGCATTCGCAGTATCTCCCGACGAAGACCGTGTTACACATAGTGTCTCTTTTCCTTCTTATAGTGGAGGGGTTTGGGTATGATGCCAGGTAAATATTTTAACTTGGCTAGTGTGGTAGGAGATGAGACATAGCTGCCGAGATATGGCCAAAAGCCCAATTGCAAGCTCTGCACTGCTGACCCTAGCTTTGTCGTGTGCGAAGATGAACTTTTGATAAATAATAAGATGAAGCCGAGGGAGTCATTTTAATCGTTACAGGAAGCGCTTCCGCCTGGGCTCATGTGGCCTGTGTACCCTTTGTTGATCAGAGTTGGCGCTCAAGAATGTTGTTTCGGAGGGTTGCTTCATACATTCTCATTCTCCCTTGTTCTGCCTCACCGGCTCTTGTAGGGAGGGGCAACCTTCGAGGTAAAGGGGGGCTGTTGTTGGTAACCTACCACAGCTTTTACTTCAAAGGCTCTGCCTTACCATCTGGACGACGTTGAATCAGGATCGGTTCACCTTGAGCCTCAGTCAGGGCACATCAACGCGGCTTAGGTGGCCCCCCCAGCAAGATGATTGAGTCAGGGACGGACCAATCCCTGATGTCTAAGATACATGATTGACATTGGCTCTTGGGAACTCACTTGAGTTTTTCTTTTTGGGTTTCAGTTTTGAATGGGCAACAGCAGGCACCGGGACTTTACCTGTTGGCGTGAAAATAATGGATCGTTGATGCTCATTTGACCATAGACGTTCGCGGGAGTCGATTGATGACAGCCTGGATTTTGCTGCTTTGCCGACAAGGTCGAGGATCTGACCATAGCCATTCAATCTTTTGTCTTCAAACTCTTCGGGGCGCGTAACAGCGACAAGTGTGACGAACAGAGACCAGACATCCACTTTGGACGTTTGATGATACCCTCCATAGCATATCTCCGGAGCCTGGAATATCGGAGCACCAGCTTGCGTCTTGGCCCACGCTTGTTCATTAGCAAGACCGAGATCCGCAAGCTGAAATATGCATTCATTGCGGTTCACCGGGGTGTAGAGGATGTTGTCGGGTTTAACATCTCGGTGAAATAGTCCTTGATATGCAAGGTTTTCAAGAGCCTCCAGCATTTGTTTTATTAGGCGGTCGAGAACGACTCCGTTGGAACGTAGATTGGGGTGCATTCGGAGTAAATCGTTGACGTTCCCGGCCTTGAGGGCCATATCAATCCGCCGAGTTCCTCTCTCCTGCTCAGAGTAGCCGACGTACTCGACAATGTATTTCTGTCGTGAAATGTTAGTATCTCAAAGATTAGTCTGATTTAATGACAGACACGCAAAATTCTAGAGAGGATTCTAACTTCGCGATATAACCTTGTTCGTAGCTCAGACAATGTGCCATTGGTATGTGGAGAAAGGTTGATATTTTTGATAGCAACAAAGCGCCCCGAATCAAGGTCCACCGCCTTAAAGACCGTGCCAAATTGGCCTCTTCCCAAAGCCTCTCCTTTCGTCGTTCTTTGTGCTCCGCCGCTGGAAGGCGTGCGTAGTCGCGTGTTGTACCACGATGGAAGTTCTGTCGGCCCGTTATCGACAGTCCGCGCTCAGCGAGGATTCTGTGCCCTTTCCTCCGCCAGTTGGTAGTCGCACTTGATGACCTCCATAGATTTTCCATTTTCACCCACCAGCGATCGAAGGAGTATTGATCTTTTTTCTCGTCTCCGGCGCCGATGTGGTACTCTATGTCAGGAATTGGAACAATCTGACGGAAATTTCCGTCCGCTCGGAAGCATTCTGGCTTGATTATGGTCGTATGATATCGAGACCGGTTGTGAAACATAATTTCCTTCGATTCAGGATGCACTTCGAAGATTGGACCTTTGAGATAGACGATCCTGACAGAATAAGATCGGCATTTCGTCCTATTTCCACAATGGCCTCCGAACAGGGCATCACACGAACATGATAGCCAATTTCAAGGCCGAGGTTTCGCTCGGTCACAGCATCCTGATCGCGCCACTCGGTCCCTCTCCACCTGCATTGGTCGCACGGCTTCCCACATCGCATGTTGATGCACAATCGCTGGGCCTTCAATATCAAAGATGCTAGGTTCGGGAACCAGCATCAGCGCCAAGTCTCGGACCGTTACGTCGTTCAACAGGCTCAGTTGCGCCTCACTTCGTCGACCGAGGTTCGTTTACAATATTTCGAGCGGGATGCCACCTCCTCGGAGCTAAAAGTCAAGTCAATTGTCGAATCGCCGTCCTTCCACCAATGCGTGATACTACCGGGAACCGTACGCAATTGGAGGTGGAAATCTTCGATGATGATGAGTAGAGGTTGAGCGGCGGAGATTCCACGGTTGGCATGTCGATATGTTGTCGACCAAAGTGGGTGGTATAGGTTGAAGTCCCCGAGCCCCAGGAGTTCGTCGTCGGGATTTGACCTGCTGATCGCTGCTCTCAGGTCTGCGAGTATGCTGGTTCCTACCTCATTGTAGACGTTGATGCTGCGGAGCTTATTGCCGAGAGTAGAAATGCTGATTTCCAGCATGGTAATGTCTTTCGTGGGGTGTGTTGTGTTCCATTTGCCTGGATCAACGCGTTTGTTAATGTAGAATCATACCCTCGTGGCGTCATCGTTGAGGTATACTAGTTGAAAGTCGGTTTTGAGTGGGTGGTAGGATGTTAGAACGAATGGGTTCCTCCAGGGCTCTTACATCGCGAGTACGTCGTATTCGCGGATCCATCGGTCCTGGAACAGGCTCGCAAAGACGGCGTCTCTTGACTTCTGGACGTTGTACTATAAGATGCGAAGCTCCTGGTGTCCTACCATAAACGTGGTGTCGTCTGGGCACTGTTTGCGAGAGACTGACTCCGGCTTGTCCAGGGATTAGGTGGACGGGCTGGAGGTTCAGAACCCGTTCGACGGGCTTGGGTGCCTGTGTGAGGCATAGAGGTCCATCCTAGAGTAGCGTTACCCCATCTACCACGTGGCTCAGAGTATATGCTGACATTTCTTTGCGTATATCTATTCTTCTTTAGGTGTCTGCCTAGCTCCGATGCATTTATAAAGTCGTCACCGCAGCTACACACACACTTTTATGCATCGGGCGATTTTCAGCTCCGCATCTTTTGTTGGCCAACTGCTATTAATGCCCTGTGGTTCTGAGCATTGGCAGCCTTTGTAAACCACCCATTGGGCCAGACGGGGATCAGCGGCCTTTGAGGTCGGAATGGATGTTTCGTCTTCCATGATGTGAGGTAACCACTCGTTGTCGATGTCGATCATGTTGTCTAGCCAGTCATCGGCGTCCTGGAAGCCAAATGTTTCGTCTATTTCGTCCATCGGCTGCGATTGAGGTTGGCTGTCTCCGGCGCTCGAGCAGGTGCAAAGGACTCTTCCGTCACTCTTGCCTGTACCTCTATAGGCGGGTCAAGTTGCTGTTGTGTGGGTGCGCGCTGCGTCGCTGGTGTTGCTCAATCCGCTTCGATCGATCGAGGAACGAGTGCCTGTGTAGTTATTCCTTCCGTCGTCGTGCCCTCGGCAGGTGCCTAAGCCGTTGAGGGTGTCGACACTTGTGATGTCATCTCCACGATTGGAGGTGCAGCTGATTGATTTATCGGTAGAAATGTTTGTCGCCCGGCTTATAAAAGAGTGTCGATATCTGGTTCTGTGAGTCTCATCGTCTCTTTTAATCTCCGGGTTGTCGTTCGAGCCAGGAGTAGATTTTACTGGGAGGCGTGCTTGCGTCGTAGCATCGTTGTTATTATTGTCACATTCTTTTGGTCGTGTGGCGTTGTCTTTGGAAGGTACGTGCCAGTAGATGCTTCGGATCTGTTTGGTCCGTTCGACATGTCCCATCTCCTTCTTCCTGGCCGGGTAGGCATTGCTCCATGAGCTTGAACTGGCCCTCTCTTCTCAGAATCATCCATGCATACGGGTCCGTGGCGCATTCTCCTAAAAATGTTTCGATGTTTTCAGATGCTGTCTCAATCCTGAGAAGACTACAGCATGACAAGCATCGGAGAGGTCGATATTCAAGCCGGGGTGCTCATTGAGGATGTGAAGAAGGCGTTCGAAAGCAAGGGCAAAGCAAGGGGCGTCGATCACATGTTTCTGTGGGTGTCCTCAAGGATTGTCAGGGTCTTTTCTCCCGGCGAGTTTCGCATGGCTTCGTGAAGAAAAAGGTCTAATAGACGGTTTCGACCATTGCTTCCTCGCTGACGCGCTCTTGGCGCTCTGGGCACGCTATCCCCAAAATGGTGAATGATGACTTTTTGGACAACTGAAAGAAAACACAACTCGTAATACTCGTCGAACACCGACACCAACTTCTTCGATCGCAAACTTAACGACAGTCAGGGAGTCTTTTGCGCCTGTGCTGACACCGTGGAACTGTCTGCTTATACAGCATCAAATTCAGTATTGTAGAAATGGGTATGGCGTCGCATTTGTTCGCGTCGTCTTTTCCAGTGCTCCAGCCGCCACTTTCCTTCCCATTGTCCCCCGAATCCTCAACTCTCGGGCTCGGTCATCGCATCATGGCAATCTTATTTGAACCTCTTCAATGTTTCTCTCCAACTCTACAAACTCCTTCAACTGCACCTGGCCTTGACCCAACTTGCCATCTGCGCGACATACAATCGGCCCCGACGTTGCTTCGAGACTCCCACACACATTTATGATACCTGGGATGGTTGGCTGTTATGACGGATCTTAGGGAAACTTGAAAACTTTGGATGACAGCTCAAGGGGTCTGTGGTGTCCCCTACAGTATAGCTCCGCCCAAAGGCTATTTGGACGTGTTGGCGAAAGCGACTTGCTTGAACGAAAATTCCACGGTCACTGGCGAGGCGCAAGACTTCGTAGGTTGTACTGCGTGGATTTTCCTGCACTTTCCCAAGTTGTCTGAGCAACCATGCCTCCTCCCACCTCCTCCCAAGAACACCACCTCAGGCCACAAACGAGAACGAGTGGGCGAGGACCTTGGCATCCCCGACAGGTGTGAAGACAATGACGACGACGCTGAGTTTAACAGTGAGACTATCGTCCTAAACAGACCTACTAACGTCCGAACTCCCTCTAAGAGCCGACGGCTTGATCCTGTCCCAGTACGACGAACGATCAGGAGGGAGAAGTGTCCGTCGCCTAGGGCGCCTGCGACGCGGTGGTCAATTAGCTCGAGACCCGAGACTGCTCACCGGGATGAGAGGTCACGAAGCCCAGAAGGGCAGTGTCCACAATGCGGTAACACTGGCCACTGTCGCTATCCGCGATGCCCTTCCCACGTTGGTCGCGTCTGCCGACATTACGAGAGCCTCGGCATTGAGGTACGTACATGACCGATGTCTCACACGAGATGAACTTCAGATTGACCGTACGAAACCGTGCTTTGGAACTCGGCCCTGCTTGGCATGCGCCCATAATCCCGAAGGTTGTTCCTATGACGGGCCCGACTCCGAGGCGGATGACCACCGAGGGAAAACGCTGTTGCAACTGGAAGCACCGCTTGAAGTGTCGGTAGATGATCGCTTGGTTCCTGTCAGACATACAGGCACAGAGGAGGAAGGGGAAACACCATATATTGACGACTTAGTGAAATGAACCCAGCATGTAAGTTGGAGGACGAAAAGAACTCGCTCCAGAGCCGGGGCAAAACAGCCGGAACAATTTTTAGATACGTCCCAACGAATGTAGATCCACCACGTTCTACATAGCTTTGAATCTAACTAAAGTGCGGGAGCAAACTTGAAAGTCGGTACCCTGACCAGCCACGTCGGCGCCCTTCTCGATCAAGACCTGTAAAACCTTTTCATGGCCTCCCTCCGCTGCCGCCTGTACTGCGCTCCCATGAAATCCACCCTGGGCGTTAACATTTGCGCCTTTGTCCAGTAGGATTTGTATCACTTTCTCGTCCACACGGTATGATACCGCTTGTAACACAATGCTACAATATCCTCCTTGAACATTGACCTCCGCCCCTCTGTCGAGGAGTATCTGCACAACCCCCTCATAGCCACTGCGTGATGCTCCTTGTAGGGCATTGCCATACTTTCGTCCTTGGGCACTCACCTCTGCTCCTCTGTCCAAGAGTATCCCCACCACTCTCTCGTGACTACCTCCTGATGCTGCTTGTAGCATGTTGCCACAGAATCCTCCTTGAGCATTCATATCTGCTCCACCGTCGAGAAGTATATGAACTATCTTTTCGTGACCGCCTTTTGATGCCGCTTGTAGCGCGTTGCCGTACTTTCCTCCTTGAGCATTGATGGCTTGATCTTTCGACTCCAGATCGGCGCGCTTCTTCAAGTAATCTTTCGACCATTGCGTCATGTCCAGTCTCTGCTGCGTAACATAACGGTGTTTGGCCGTTGTTGCTTGTCGATTCCAGAATGGCACCTTTTCCGAGTATTACTTCGATTGCCGCCTCGTGTTCTGGAATTTTTTTTCCCCTTGATGTTCGAGGGCGGTGTGCCTGGAAGAGTGCCTGGAAGAGTAGCTCAAATTTAGTCAACGCCGCAAGCGCTGATTAGGATACGAGGTAGAAAGGAAACGAACATGCAAAAGCGTAGTAGGTGAAGCCTGACCTCCCTTCATAACAATTCTGAAAATTTCTCCATCCGTTCAAAAAGGTTACAGATGCTGCTTTTGCCCTCCACCTTCCACGTAATCTACCTTGGATACCCTTGGAACAATTCGTGCCGACATCTTCTCGATCGTGAATGTAGCTACCGCATGCGTTTTCCACGCTTCTCTTCGCCGTGGAGTTGCTTTTGTGGAGCAAAACTTGGTGGTGGGCGAATGCTGCTTGGCGGCGACCGACTAGGCAGACGCCGAAGATGATTTGACCAGTTGCAAAGTTAAACTCCCACTACCTACCCTTGGTGCCTAAGTAGGGCAGGCGTTAGAGTTTCTCTTTGGCGGTGATGGTGAAACAGTTCTGGTGGTCGAGGGCTTACCAGGGTACCGATAGTCGGGCGGGGTTGGGGGTCCATCAGCGTCAAACTTCGACATCACGAAGCCAAAATGATCCCGAGAATTAGCGTACGGAGCATTCTGTTAGACCTGGAGTATTTGATTCCCCCGCCCACTTCCCCATACCCCATCTGTTGTGCCTCCCGGTATCCTCACACAATTGATCTCCATGTTTTCCGGGCAATCTACGGGGCCTGCCCCTAAACTCCACTACAAGACTCCTCGCCGGCAGAATCGAAGCTGTGACCAATGTTGACGCTCTAAACGGGCTTGCGATGCTGCTTTCATGCAATGGACTGGCTGTTCAAATTGTATCAGAACAAGGAAGACTTGCACTTTTGGGAGCCTGCAAAAGGAGGAGGTAAGCAATGCAAAACCCCGACCTCTCCAGAGGGGACATATACTCGGAACAAGAAGCGGCATTGAGCTCCCAGACGGAACAACAAATAGAGAAAGAAGTGCAAGTCTCAGTACTGCATCAGGCGTGGCTTACCACCGCCAGAGCAAGTCAACTGGTTCTGGGTTTCCCCTAGCTTCATATTTCGGCCGGGTGGATAACATCAACGGCTCGCACTGCCTACCCCCGGCTGGGCGTCCCGAGGACAATTTCTATCCACACGAACCGTTGTCCAATTTTGCCGATGCTTCGACATGGAGCTGCGTTCAAGACACTGGTACATCACATCACATGAGCGAAACGATCTACGGGAGTGGACATTCGGATTCACTAGGCGAGGGCGACTCTCTACACCGTAATTTCAATAACGACGACAGCGAGGGCCATCCAATCTACGAGTTCGAAGAAGGAAGCGCGGCCGAGGACAGAAACGCGTGGATGGGGACATCGGGACAGACTCATCCACGCGTTAATCTACCAACGCACTATTTGGCCGAGAAAACCAATAAATCTCTCATATCTTCAAGCCTAAAACATATCTATTGCGACACTCTGGAAAACGCATTGGTGTGTTGGGTTACCGAGCAGAACTGCCCTTATAACAATGAAGGCATCGACCGACATAGAGGGCGCGTCCAGGACTTTGGGGTACACAACGAAGGCACCGTCAGAAAGTACGGTATGATTCGTCGAATTCAGAGGCTGGATCGCCCCTCTTGCGTTCTCAGCGAGCGGCCCCTGACACCCAGAGAATGCCAACTCGCATCGCATGCCCTGCAAGCGTCAATCATGGCCTTCGCAGCCCAATGGTCACAGCTCAGTGGTGCTAGCGCATTTGACTTATTCAATGGCCGGGGGGTTGGAGATAGCAATCAATTCTCCAAAGAATTCCAGAAGTTGATCGAGGCATCCCTGTTCGATTTCGCGGAGGCAAAGTTGGCAAGTTTCGACAGATCTCTTCAAGAAACATTATGGAATGAGGCTCGCCGGGCCTTGCAGCAGACCAGCGGCATTGATTCCTTCCAAGTCGCCTTCGCTCAGGTACTTTTTGCCTTCACGCAAAAGCCGCTCTCGAACGAGGACTTTCAGCGCATGAAGGACCACGGCAAAGGAAGGACGGATTATTATGGTTCCAGCATAGCTGCGGAGGTGGCCTCACGTGGCCTCGTGTGGAGCGACGATGAATCCGATTCCCAGGGCCGTGCCCGTGTTGGCGGTGAATCATCCACCCGTGTCCGTCCAGGCAGTGTGCCAAACTCTACCGAGACGCAGGAACTTTTAGACATGGACAAGGATTCACTTCATATACGGGAGTCACTCATGCGGCTATCTGCGAGGAGAGTCAAGCTCAGTGGGATGAATCCAAGGCATGACAAATACGCTGGAAGCGCAGGGGTGTTTTACTCTCCACCATACGAAGTCGATGCTGAGGTCTGGCTGGATCGAATGACGTTCAATCAGCTGTTTTGGCTGGTAATGTTGTGCGATACACTTTCAGCGACCATCAATAATCGTTTGCCGGTGGTGTCGGACGAAGACTCCGTGATCCTATCCGAGGACCAAATGAAATCGATGGTCATCTCAGAGACCCTGAGTGAAACAGATTTATCCTTATCATCAGCAGATACTCACACCAACGTGCCCATGAATCCGTGGGGAATGTATTTCCTCGGGCGCAACGTTCGCCCCACAGGGCCAGTCAATTACTCGCTTGAGAAGGAAGCTGCAACTGCACTTCTTCGGGAAGCAGCGCCGGTCAAGGCGGTGTTGTTTCGCAAGATCAAACAAATACAGAATGCGCGTTTTCGGCGAACGCATCCTCAAAGATTAGAACAGACAATATTGGACGCCCTAAAAGTTTACGAGTATTGGAACGAACACTACGGCAATTTCATCAGCACCTGCATCGACCGCCATGACGAGCTGGCCGTACAAATCCAGTCATGGTACTCAGTTCTCACCAGCCACTGGAATCTAGCCTGCTTTCTATTGTCCGATCTCATCGAGGACCTCGACAAAACTGGCGAAAGCGACGAACGTCACTGCGCGATACGACGGTCATGCGGACTTTTATTCCATATAAGGAAACAAAGCGCATTCGAAATGGCCGAACTCGGTAAGGTTGGCAAGGTGAGGGAGGGATGTAGCTTTGGTCAATCCGACGACTTCCACCCTACTGTCAACGACGGGGCACTCCTTACCGAACCATGGACCGAGATAATGATCCGTTCCTTTGCAAGAGTCTCCGAGCAGTTTTTGACTTGGCTTGGTGAGATTGATCCTACATCGGGAGAGCCTGCCACACAAAGGTGGACTCCAGGCGATTTTGGACAACTTTACTTAAGTTTGGGCCACTGTGTGGAAGCCCTTCTGGACCTTGGTCGGAAATCAGATATGGCGTTTCTATTGGCAATATCCTTGAAGCGAAGGATGAGTCGGTTCACCAACACAGACTGAAGGCTGTCGCTGGCAAGTTTGTGGATTTAAGTTGATTAGCATTAGGTAGCTAGCATTTATCTTAATTTGACCCGTTATCCCACCAAGAATTGGTGATGATCACGATGCACGCGTTAAATACTTAGCTACGTATCAAGGAAAGCCAACCTCCAGATTGAACTATCCATACCAACCAGCCGGCCATTAGGCATCATTAAGTAACAAGTAAGAATATCCTTCCTATACTAGGCGTATACTGTAACAGAGCATTTTAGGGTTTAGCATGCACGTGCAACAACGCACAGAGGCCTGTCCAGCAGGTCGGGAATCGAGAACGCGTTTCTAGTCGGCGCTGACAGGGCAACACCACCAACACCACCCCCAGAGAGGTAGGGGCTAGGGCAACGAGCGCCTAGCACGGCGGCGGCATTGAAGAGTAGGAAAGGACCGATAAAACACTTAGGAAATAGGTAGACGGCACCAAAAAACCATGGAATGATACTCTGTTTCAAACTGTAAAGAATGGCACACTGTCAGCACTGTAAACTGTCCTGCCCTTCTAGTCCATTTTGGTTTGACCTGTGGGCAGCCAAATCTCCTCCCTGCTACCCCTCTACCAGCACAACACAGCCACTTTGCCTTGTTACAGTACTAAGACGGGCGAGAAATGGTAACGTAAATAACTAGGAAGCCTAACGTTCATGATGTTCCCTTTGACTCGTAATTATTAACTTTTCAAACAGAGTTACCTTGCCAGCGTTTTATTTAATCGCCCGTTGCTTCCACAGGACCGCATTTTCCGCCATGTGATGCGTTGGGTGTTTTCTAGAATCATTTAGATAGTTACTACCCGGGTGGTGCTGCATATACTGTACTAAGTGCAGGCACTAGAGATTTTGTAAACGCTGACACTCACCCTCGCAATGTTCAGACTTGTTTACTCCCTGAGGACATCTCGGCCAGTCAAGGCTGAAGGTCGTTAGTAACCTTGGTGAATGAGTTTCCGGGCACGCTGTCTCATAGAGCAGAATTCGAAAGGCGGCCACGACTGCGCGTAACTCAACAGCATCTCAAGCGTAACTCTCATTCAGTCACGCCTTCTCAGCCTCGAGTTTTCGTCGTAATTCTTCTCAAACCTGCTCTGAGGCGTCGCCCCACATGGAGATGCGGATGAGCAAGTCGAGATAAGAAACATGAAGCAGGAGTTAGGCGTGCGTGAAGACCAAGAAATCGAATTTAGCATTCTACCTTGCTGTGATGTGACAGACTAGGCTTTCACAACCTCAAACCCCTTGAATCCTGTCAAACAGGCCCGAATTTCTGCGCTGTAATTGCCCAAGCCGCCAGCATAGCTGACGAATTCGCGTTTTTTCCCAGGAATACTACCTCCCATGTAAGTGCTTCGCTTTGCTTTGGGAAATAGTGTTGCGCTCGCGAGGCTATCGATTCTTTCCCTCCACTGCTTAGTTGCCTCGTCAGTCGGGTTGATGTACTTGATATCTTGTCTGGTAATCATATTAATCGCATCGCGAATCCATCGACCCTGGACCTCCACACATGATGGACCATTAGATAGAAGCGTAGGACCATGCGCCGCATAAAGATAAAAGAAATTAGGGTATCCTTCAATGGTGACTCCGAGGAATGAGTTGATGCCCGTCTTCCATTCGTCATCAAGAGTTGTATCACGGATAGACTTGAGTCCCATCTGAGTTAGCCCGCCAGTGGCGACGTCGAAGCCGGTCGCAAGGGCGACAACCTCAAATTCGTATTCGTCACCGTTCGTCATCTTAATTCCCTTCTCTGTGAACTCTGCAATATTATTTCCAGATTCGTCGCTAATGTCGACGATTGTGACGTTCTTTTGGTCCATAACTTCGTAGTAGTTCTGCTCTAAGCAAGGTCGCTTTACACCCCACGGATGCGGTGGTTCAAGAGGGCAAAGGAGGTCCTGTTTGACAGGATCCGTAAGTCGCGCCCGTTGCTTCTTGAGCCAAAAGTTGTAAGTCTCGCGATTTGCTTTGTCGTCAAACAAGAAGTCCTTGTAGTTGGCAAGCCAAAGGCGGAAACCACCTATCTTCCAGAGATTCTCAAAAAATGCCTCGCGCTCTTCCGGAGTATCGTCAAAGGTATTGCGCTCGCAGAAATCATAATGAAAGCCTGCGAAGCATCGATCGCGAAATTCGTGCACCATTGAATAGATGCTTTTAAGCTGATCTTGTCCCTCCTTCGTGAGGTCTCGTCTTCTCATGGGTATAGTAAGATTTGGTGTCCTCTGAAAGACGTGCATACTCTTGACAGTCGGACCCCATTCTTGGGCAACTTGAACCCCCGAGGCGCCGGTACCGATCACCGCAACATTTTTGTTTTGAACATCGACGTCTTCATTAGGCCAGAAGGAAGTATGATTGATCACACCTTTATATTTTTCGAGGCCTTTGAATTGAGGAATATAGCGTTTGGCGGCCATTCCAGAGGCCGCGATGAAGAACCGGGCTTTACAGTTGCGTCCGTCTGAAGTTCTCACTGTCCATTTGCCGGAATCAACGTCGAACTCTGCCGAGGTTACCACGGTTTGGAAAGCAACGTCCTTAGAGAGGTTTAGGACCTTATCAACGTGGGCAAAATACGCTTGTAGCTCCTTCCAGTCTGGATAGTTAGTTGTCCAGTGCCAGGTCTCGTAAACCTCGGGGATGGCAAGCTCGTATATCGGAACTTCGCTGTCAACTCGGGCGCCAGCTACAAAAGGGTCAGATTGAAGTCCTAGTATAGTAAAAGGTCTAAATTCTCGTACGATAAACGTTCCACCTCCAAGTGCCCCCGAAGGAGGTGCCTGCATCATATACAGTGGTCCGATAGCCGGCCTTGCGCAGTTCGTAGAGAAGGTACGTGCCTCCTAGGAAACGGTTAGTTGAGTGCGTTGCCGGTGGGCCGCCCACAAAAGCTGGACCTACCGAAACCGGCTCCAACGATTAGAACATCCACGTCCAAATTATCCGCATAGGGCCCCTCATTGCTACGGCGGTGAGCAAATTCTGTTAACTCTGTCCTTAGAGCATTTCCGGGATGAGGGGTGTATTCGCCCATTGTTGTGGCAGAAATACTGGCTAGTTGGATTTGCCGCGTGTGAAGCTATTGTCGTCGTTGTCCACGACTTTCAGTTCTCATTTTTGCCCCAGGGACGCGTCCCTGGAGTATTTATCCTCCAGGTCGTTAGCATCCCTCAAACATTCCGCATTGGGTAACGCCAAGTTGGAAAAAGCAGCCTTGTCTCCGTGAAAACAAAGATGCCATTGAAATCTCCGCTCCACCCCCACCTCCTGGGGACTCGGAGTCCTAGAGCCCTGTCATCGATGCGGAGCAGCCGGTCTTTGGAACTCAAAAAATGTCTCCTCTGACTTCGAATCGTCCATCATTCTTTGAGGCTTTGAAGTCTACGGGGACTCCAGTCAATGCCAAGTATCTATCTCTTACAAATGATTGGACAAGGGATTCGAGTCCGATATGTTTTCGCAATCTGATAGTCACTTTTGCGGGCAGTTCGAATCTGAGTTCAAGCGCCCGCCCTGAAACCATGCTCCCCCAGCCGATTGTGGTTCGCCGAGTCCAAATCTCCTTGATGCCCAAGGTTCCATCTGCTGATCTAGATATAATCACCTTCTTGCTTAGAGCAATGATCTTCGGCTCCTGGCGGAAGATTTCGGCAGACAATCTTCCTCTTTCGTGGGGCTTCATTTTGGGCCCATCCATCAGAAAACGCGGTTTGTTGTCCCCAAACCATGGTGACAAGCTCCCGTAACGTCAAATCGTCGCACAAGCACTTGTGGAGCAAATTATACGATGCCCGCTTTTTTCTTCAATATCAGATTTTGAGTACACTAGAGAATTTCAACATTCGTGTCCAAACTGCGATGACCGGCTTACGTGTAAGAAAGCAATGGATGTATCTGATGCTAGCATTGTGTATCTTCTAATTCCAATTCAACAATAAATAGGAAGCGGAGAGGTGGGCCTTGCTGTCTGCCTGACGGGTTCTTGATAGTGTGGTGATGCGCCACCCTCTTGCAACGTATACATTTCCCATGTATCCTCCCTGCATGTGTCGCAGGGTGTTACAGCCAGATGGAGGATTCTGTGAAACTTAGGGAGCGTCAGGCCATCGACCTTGTCAAAGATCAGTGTGACCTCCATGGTGTAGCCTCTCGATACAAGGCCCCATTGACTAGACGGCTGTTGGATAAAATTGGGTGCCAGGAGATCAAGTTGAGATATTGCGGTACATGAATGAGATGGCGCTACCTCCGCATCTGTAACCTTTGTGTCCTGGGAGTTAAGCACCGGGCGGAAATATATCGAGGAACTTTGAATTGGTGAAGTCTCAACCTATTTGAGGATAACTCGATCTGTGTCGAACTTCGCACCGGAGTTGTCCCGAGTCGTCGAAAAAGAGACCTTCATACTCCACTTGACTTTGACACGGCATCTGAGGGGCTGCCTGGTATCCCAGGGGAGAATTTCCTTGGCGAAGCTCCGAGTATTCATTGCGAGTGTTAGTGGGAAGGATATGTATCGATTGCCCATTTTATGGTCCCGGGCGATAGGCTCTGACTCTCCAAAGGTCATTGAAAGGTTGACAGTCCTTTGATAAAAAAACAAATTCGCGAAATAACCAGAATTGATAGGGATAGACAGATGAGACGGCCGTCCGATCGCAATTTGTAAGCAAGGATATAGATCAGAAATCCGTACATGCTTGATTAAGAAACCAACTTGTTGTTCCTCAAGCCGAAATTCTGCCTCGACCCAATATGAGGTTTCGCAGACTCCCTGGGTCACTTTCTGATCATTCAAGCCGCTGGAGTTTGGGAACCTTGGAGCAAATCTAGTAAGGACTGCTGAATGTGGGAGGTATCTTGTTCCACCCCATAGCCTCGGTGCATGGGTAGGTAAGCTGAAACCAAAGCTCACATTGCTGTTGCCATTCGCCTCATCAGGCTGGAATTGAGCAAGCGATTTGGCATCGGTCAATGTGACGAGATCTTCGATGGATGTGTCTTCTCCCTCAGATACTAGAATAATGCCTGTAGTCAAGAGTTAGATCTCATCGTAGCGGGTGTCTCCCACGCCTGACAAACCTCTCAGTCTCAACAGCAATGTGTCAAAAGAACTGTTTCGGACTGCTTCACCTGAGACCACAACTCGACCCCCAAGACATCGTATGGTGCTTTCTTTTCGATCCTTGGCATTTGGACGCCCCAATTGTCTCCATGACCAGCTAGATTCTAGTTCTATTGTAGCATCTATCATGGTGAGAGCAGACATTCGGTCACAACTTAGTCCCGCTCAAGGCTGCCATATCGGCAGTATTCGGTCAGCAAGTCTACGTATATCATACTCTTCACACCTACTCCTGAGGGCTGATGCTGCCACAGATTCTTGCAAGGCACCCGGATTTCGTACAGCGGAGAACTAGTATAGAGGCGCCTGTAATAGTGTGGAGCAATATGGCGGAGCCGTCTCCATAGTGTGGGGCTGCGGAGCCGACTCTATAGTGCCAAAGTAAATTAAAAGCACCACACAAGCCTATTTATCTTGGATGTCCGAGGATTCCTTCCTAGCGTCAAACCGGGTCCTGTATCATCAATCCTGGCTTGGTGCTAGACGAGCAAATGGTCACAATCACTGGGGAACAAAAACCCCCGGACGCTTCATGAGAGCAGCGATCGTCGAGGGACTTTGTTTTGATAGGCTCTGGGGCCACATCCTCGCCATTCCTACTTTTGATTGTTGGAATTATTAGTATTGCACTTGGTAAATTCGTCTTGACTCCTTTTGGCCGCTCTTGACAAGGTTTTATTCAGCTCTCCGTAACAAATCACCGCTTGTTCGTCCCGAAAATCCTGGAAGAGGAGGAACTCTGTTTCTAATGGCTTCCACAGACAGTCTGCTGACAATCTTCCACTTCCAGATTCCCCGCTTGAACGACCGCTCTCTCCCCAGATTAAAGGCTGATTAGCAAGCCCCAGCATCTAGCGTGAAGTCAATGCCTCCACCAGAAGTGATCGTGGTCATTTTAGAAAGGTTTGTGCTTGGTCTCATTTGCTGGATAGTCTGAGCTGAAATCGGCACCGTCAAGTAATTCCATTCACCCGGATAGACTGGATATCAGCCAACGTATTTGACGTCCAGAAGAAAGTATAGAAAGCGACCTGAGTCACCGGCTGAGTCTACAGCAACTCCGTCTTGCAACCTTACCTGTCTCTATCTCTTGGGACCTAAACTTTCTGACATGTTGAGCAACCCACGAAGGCTATCTGCAGACATCGAGAGGGCAGAACTCCCCAAGATGGATTCCCAACTTCCTAATGGCAGCCGTCCTCAACACGTTGAGGTGAACACCAATCCTTTCAACAGTGTTCAATCCTCTCTGGGAAATCCCATGCCGCTGTAGGACACCATCACACTCGCTGAAATCATACCTACTCACGACCTCTATAGTGCGCTTGCCGGCTTTCTGCTTTCACTTACACCCGTTTCAAACGTATTGATGGGCTGGCGAGGTGCCGGCGGACTCGGTGCTGCCGAAATGTAAGTGCATCCCCGGTTCCCGGACGCAAGTCCTGTACTGATTCCTGACAGCGGCGTCTTCTATTTCTTCGGCGGTCTGCTCATGGTGATTGCGTCCTTTTTCGAATTTTTCCTTGGCCACACCTTCCAGCTCGCTGTGTTTGGATCCTTCGGCGCTTTCTGGCTCTCATTCGCAGCGACACTTACACCCTACTTCAATGCAGCTACTGCATACCAGCCTCAGAAACCAGAGACGGCTCTCGCAAACCCTACCTTCAACGCCACGTTCGCTTACTTTCCGCTTTACATGGGCCTCTTGTGTTTTATATACTTCATTGCTTCCCTGAAAACCAACCTTGTACTCATGTTGACATTCCTGCTCCTGGTTCCCGGGTTGGGTTGCCTCTCCGGTGTCTTTTTCAAGGCTGCTGAGGGCGTCGCTGCAACATCACTACAGACCGCCGCCGGTGGCTGCTTCTTCGCGGTCTGCATTCTATGTTGGTATCTACTGGTGGCGCAGATCCTGGCCTCGGTTGCATTCCCTGTGCAGCTTCCAGTTGGAGATCTAAGCCAGTTATCGACGATATTCCGTGGTCGGTTGAATAAAAAGCGGAACTGAAGAGATCACATGGAGGTTGTAGGGAGGGAATGTAACCTTGTCAACGGACGACAAACTTTCGGGGAAGGGGGAGGGGTTCAATCTTTCCGCGGAGAGTTCAATATGGATCTTTGAGACTCTAAATCATCAATCACTACGGAAGTGGAAACGTACTGGATGTCGAAAGAATGTATGGTTTAGCAGAAGCTTTAATGCGTGGAATCGGATAGCACTTACCAACTGGATGAAATGATGTTGGTGAAAATTGAGCTCATCACTGTTCATGTTCCACTGTCGTGCAGCCAACTCTGAATTGGAGTACTCAAATCAGCATGCCAAGCGAAGTCTTGACATCTAGGCACTCCTGAAATAGAAATCTCTTGACCTAGGGGTTTGAGATGTCGCTTCGATTCCTCGGGGGAGATTGTTAACTGGGCGCGAGCCAGTGCTGAAGACATGGCTGTAGCCGTCGGCTATTCAAAGCCTTCAAACCCGCGCCACCTTGGCCTCGAGTTCGCGAAGGTATACCATCGTGCGCGATCCCACCGCTTCGTCCCTCAAGGAGCCCCGACCTGTCTGACACCTGAGTTGAAGCGAGTCGTAATATAGTGATAGGGGGTATCTTGGATGACCTAACATCCAGCGGGACATTAATGACTTGTTCAGTGATATGGGTTCTGATGTTACTAACGGGCTAGATTTGCCTGGTTTCTTCCCAATATATCGTATGGTATTTCATGAAGAGCATATAGCCCATGAGATTTGCGGTGATGAGTCGCCTCTTTTTATACCTCCCCAGGCTAGACAGCATCAGCCACACCTCGAACAAGCTTCAGTTTCTCATTCATGTCGTTCCACGTCATTTTATTTCCAATACTCGCGCTGGCGAACCCCACACTGAGGACTGAGACTGATCCTCTTCAAGGCGTTTATTTCATTCTGCCCACTGCCTTCCGCCATAAACCTTGCAGCTTCCCAAACTCTTCTCTTCAACACATCGGAATGCTCAAGCTGAGGAAACTTGGTCGTTACGAGTCCCAGGACAAGGTGTTTGTTACTAGGCAATTCCATCAATGGTTCGAGCCCGCCAGACCGGTCCGTGTCGAATTCAAGAAGGAATGTATCGACCTTGGCCTGCTTGAAGATCTTCTTTGCAATTCGCTCGTAAACACCAGTGGCCCAGTGCCTGCTCATGAAGTTGCCGCGGCACAGATGGAGTCCGACATGAACGTCAGCAGGCAGCAGGTTAATACAATCATTTACCAGTGCGATATATTCGTCGATCACTTCGTCGACTGTTTTCTTGTTCATCGGGTCGTTGTGCCAGCCATCGACAAATTTCTCATCGCAGAAGTCCGTATATTAGTGTGGGTTGCGGTACTGATCGGGCAAAACTTACACGCAAAAGTTGGATCATCGATCTGAAGATTCCGCATGCCCACAGCATAGACTGCTTCCAATTCCGCTTGATAAGCTGCTGCGACATCGTGGTAGTATTCAGTATCACAGGAGTAGACGTCGGAAGGGTACGCACAACCCGGCCGATATCGAAAATGAAACCAGTGAGGTGAGCCCATGGCCATGTTGATGTTCTTGACCTGTTCCGGCCGGACCAGGCCCTTGAGATATTCGAATGATTCAACAAATGTGCTACGGACGTGCTTGATCTTGCCCGAACACAACGTTGTTTTGGCACCCTTTGCGCCTGCATCGGTAAACAGCTTGAAATCAGGCACATAGTCTCGTAGAATGTGGATGGACTGCTCGTTGACTGTGACGTCCTGGAGCCCGTCTAGATTGGTGAAAAAGTCTCCCCAATAAACTGTCAACGGAAAGTGAGTAATAACACTTTGGACACCCTGATGGGGTAATTCACCCTGTCGACGATATTCACCGTCAGTTATAGCTTGAAAGCGAAGATCCTGCTGGAGCCTCACAATATCCTTAATGTACCTATTCTCCGCATCCGTTAGATCCTGTTGTGCTCTTTCGCCTGCAGCGACAGATTCACGAAGCTGTAATAATTCTGCTGGTCTCAGCAGGGAGCCAATGTCTTCGGCTCGGAAAGGCAGAGACTGATGCATTTCGTTCTGAACACGTTCGTTCAATTAATCCTGGCATAGCAGCAATCCCTCTAAACTGGCAGTTTCCTTGCGAGGCGTATTTAGAGCTCGATATTTCCAATTGTGAGACAATACGAAGCAGTGACTGGTGGCTGTGCTTGATTGTCAAACGAGCGAGTTACAGCACGCGGTTTCAGCATGTGACAATACGCTTGGTTAGTGCTCAGGGTGCAGAAAGTCGACAAAGCTTTCTGGCGAGGCGTCCAATTCAAGGGATCTTCTGGGTCATCAGTCGGCGTAGGGATCAAGATGACATCGGTGTTCCCGGCGTGTTTAACGTTGATTCTACCATCAGCATCGGTCAATTGGACGGTGCCAGGAATCCTCATATCTTCAGGCGATAGCATTGTTTTAGACGCTTAAGTTAAGAATGGAACTGGGGAAAGGGAGGGAATTTGCACATGTCTGTGGCGCCTTATATACTTCTCTACCCAGTCTTTCAACTTCAACTGTAGGGATTATCTTGTTTGGTTGCTGGGCAGTTTCTAACAGTCTTCTATGTGCATTTTCGGAAGATGTACTCTTAGTGAAGCTTCATTGGTTAACGCGAAAGCCCTGGCAGTGCCGGAGCAGGGCCGATACTTTTAGGAAAGGCCGGACATCTCGGACGATGAGTTAGAGTCAGTTTCTCCGTTGCGAAGTTGAGTTCACCGTCTTGGAATCATATTATATCCTCAGCTGTGACCTAGTGCGAACTTGCAGAGCTATTCTCGAGGCACGTTTTCTACGGGTCACTTGCTATTCGGCAGCAGTCAGGATCGTCACGTCGGGCAACTCTCCAGCATTATCTTTCGCGATGTTTGATTTTCCTGACTACCGTTTACATTTCTTCAATCTACTGGCAGTTATATCGTCATTGTACCTCCGATTATACACTTAATATTTCCTGCGATGGGTGCGTTCAGTGCCCTAGTGCTAGGAAAGTATGTTAGCAGACAACCGCTTCTGACATGTTGTATAGATGCCGTGGGGTCGTGGTCTCCTTAGATCAATCTTCATCAGCTTTGCGATATATGCGATTAGTTTCGGCTACCACGTTATTTTACGACTCAAGCGCTCTGGTCATGCTCCAAATATTTTCACTTTCAGACGCAGCGGCACGAAGGTGGCTTCGGCGCTCCTCCTTGGATCGTTTGAAGCAGGATGGCCTCTTATAACAGTCCTCTCGGCTTGCCTCAATCTTTTGTGCTTCTTTTGTGTTGTTGACTTCATCTATCGAGCCCAAATATTTCACACCAGTTCTGACTTGTCCTTTGAACGAATTGGTTATGTGAATGCCAGTAGTGCACGTGTTTCCATCCGGTCACCAAAAGAATCAATAATACAGTTGTGGTACAAACCACAATCAACAAGCGTCGTGGAAGAGCAAGGAAGGGAACCGTGGCAAGCAGGTCCGGTCGTTTCTACGACGCCAGAAACCGACTACATGGCTACCTTCGTTCTTGAGAACTTGCGCTCCGACACACAGTATGTGTATTACACCAACGCTAGTCACAAAGGAAGGTTTCACACGCATCCTGAGCGTCCTAAAAGGTGGTCTATGGTCTCCAGTAGCTGCATCAAAGCCTTTTGGACATACAACCCTTTGGACCACCAACTTAGCATCCGGGGCCTAGATTTCCTGTTAAAGGTCGCGGAGTCTAGGGAGCTCTCTTTCATGCTGTTCCTTGGCGACTTCATCTACATTGACTTGCCAAAAAGGTTCGGTTGGAATACGGAGGACTATCAACAAGCTTACAGGCAAGTATACGCGTCTCCAAGTTGGTCACAAGCTTGGACAGAGCTACCATGGTTGCATCTATATGACGACCACGAGATCAACAATAATTGGTCGTCAAATGGGACAGGAATCTATCAGCAGGCTATCAAGGCCTTCATGACTTACCATGACGCTGCAAATCCGCCTCCATTTCGAGATGCTCAAACATACTTCACCTTCCGCCACGGTGATGTGTCATTCTTCATTGCGGACACAAGACGCTACGGGTCAGTTGCGAAGATGAAGGACGGCCCGGAGAAGACTATTCTCGGCGCACAGCATCGGCGCACAGCAACGGCGCGATTTAGAAAGCTGGTTGACCGATGCTTCTGGATGGAAGGTCGTCGTAAGCAGTGTCCCCTTCACGCGGAATTGGAGGGGTCCCGACGTCGAGGATAGCTGGGGTGGCTACTTATGGGAGCGAGAGAGACTGATGCAGACAATGTGGCAGACTGACGGTGTTCTGATCATCAGCGGTGTGAGTGTCTCCATTTTTTCCGTTCACGGCCTGCCGCTTACCCTGGTAACTTTGTTTTCAGGATCGACTCGAGCATGCTACCACTTGTTTTCGGCCCCCAGGCAGCAACGATTCGAAAATTATCGAGTTCTCGACGTCTCCCCTGAATTAATTCTACGAGCCATTTCAGAGAACTTATGCACAAATTGAAGATACAGATGTCGCATTGTATCACCATTACCCGGGCCACTCCAAATTGGGGATCTTCACGCTCGATACCGAGCAGGAAGACGCCTGGACAATGAAATTTGAGTTGATTGTCGATGGCCGAAAGACATGGTCGCAAGTTGTGCGTCAGTCCCACCACAATGGAGAGGCAATGGCCGTGGTTTGAGATTGGGTATGATTAAACAATCCTTCTATAACGTATGATTCCGATAGGAAAGAGGGTGTGCGAGATGCAACTATCAAACAAGCTATCATTCGGCATTGTTTCATGAATCGTTGCATTTCCCCCCGCCTTGAGCCTCTGTCTGTCTCTCTTCAGGGCTTGCGTGCTTGTTTTGTCGAAGTCCTTCACACGATAAGTAAATATATCGATTCACCAATGGCAACTTCGGCACGATGGCGGTACCATGTACAAATCTGGCTGGTATTGATTCCATAAATCAGACGCAGGATATAGCATCTGATCTCAAATTACGTTGAAGTAGTCACCTCACCTCCAGGAAACCTTTCAGTTCTCGTCGCCGATTTCTCAAAATAATGAAATCCATACGTCAACATCCCAGCACTATAGTATTCCCCTGGTTTTCTGTCTTAGTCTTGAAGTTAGCCATAGGCCGCTTGATCCTCTTAGAAAACATCGTACTTACTATAATGTGGAGGGAATGTCACTCTCCTATCCGCGTAATACCTTTCCCTCAAGTCCGTCCCATCTTGCTTGCAAGAGTAGGTTGCATAGACACTTGGGCGGCCGTGATCCGTCTTATTCGGTGCACTTCGGTGGGCCAGGTGACTTCCAAATAGCACGATGTCGCCTGGCTCAAGTGGGAGACAGACCCAATCTGCGCTGGCCTCCCAGTCTGCAGCAATGCGACCCCCCTCACCGGGACCCAGCTTGACATTCATATTATGGCTGCCCCGAGCCACTTCCAGGCAGCCGTTTGCAATGGTAGCTTCGTCGACTGCGATGTTGACGGTAACGTGGTTGACCCCGCCGATGTGATCATAGGCGGGCGCGTCAAGATGCGCTTTGAAGCCATTGCTGTTGGGGAGCTTGTAATTGATTTTTTCTTTGAAAAGGAGCATTTCCTGCGACTCCGTAGCTGTTAGAAATGGATCTCATGGACGGAAAGATGTGGAGGGGTATGGTCTCCTCCCCAAGCAAGGCTAATGAGGGACGCAAGACAGAATGCTGGTGCTAGAGAAAAAGGCCATCAAGAAGTTGAACTCACATCGCCAGATAATTGTTTCAGGACGTTGCAAAGGACTTCACCGCGCAAGAGTTGAACAAACTCGGGATGATATTCGACGAATGCTTCCGTTCGGAACAACTACTGTTTGCCATCAAGGCTAGGCTCCCTGTAGCAAAGCCATTTTCCTGATTCATATGGCCAGCTTTTGTCTTCTTGGTCCAGGCTTGAAGCTCATTAGTTCGACGATTTGATGCTCTTCGAATGGGATATGTAGATAACAGTCCCGATGATACTGTTCAATATGGCTGTGGGAGAGCTTGTAAGTTCTCGGCATTTTGCTTGCAGCGGGGTCAAAAAGTCCTCTGCTGTGTGCACGGATCCTCGAGGCTACACTATCGCTTCTTTGTGAGTGCGTTATGTTTAAGGCTCTAAGAACATTGATGTCATCACATATGTGCTTCGGACTGGACCATGCGGATTCGGTGCCGACCCGCGCGCTACCTCCAAGGTGGGTGTGCTCCGCCATTTCACAACTGTCGGCGATGGTCCCGCAGCATACCCTCTCAGTCTCCGGGATTCTTCGAACATGATAAGATATCTCGGCAGTAAAGCCGAGGCCTTTTTAGGAGATACCAGAGGCAGGCGCACCTCCGAGTGATGGCATGTGAACCCCCCTAGGAGACTTCCAGCATACTATTCACCTTGCTCTTTTGACTGGCCAAGTTGGAAACTATTTTTTATTTGTTCGCGAGAAGGGTCGGCCAATGCGATTGGCGCAAGAATAGGTGGAGTACGTCTGTCATGTCAAATTCAAGTGGGAATATTGACTCTGTCCCCAGAAGCAACTTGCAGGATCAGAGAGACTTATATATCTTTGAAAGGTACAAAAATGAGTGTCGAGAGGAGTCCATCGCGTTCCATTGTCCATCCCAGCTTGGACGGGCAGCTGAGACTATTCTAGGCTGCAGTGCCACCGGAACGCTTAACTATGAGTCAGATGAGCGAACAAGGCTGCACGAGGCTGACTCTTGTACAGGACGACAGCGAGGTCCATGGTGTTGATGTCATAACCAGATCTGGTGCCTGCTGTCCAACACTCTTAGGTCTCTTACATCAACAAGATTGACCCAATCTTGGGTACTTTGATTGTGTCAGCTCTTTAGAGATCTCATCGAATTGGTTGAGACTTTTTAGTAGACTGTTTCAGCGATGAGTGTCAATTGCGATGAAAACAAAACTTTCATAAAGCAGCTGCCTCCACTTCCGAGGGACAGCGTGATAGAACGAGCTCTTGGCCACTCCAAAACTGACCGCGTTGGCTCTACGCCTTTGGCTGACATTACACAATGGTTACTTTGACATGTCCAAAACATATCGGCCTAGAACCTGGCCCTTTTCCATCAAGGCGTAGACCTCCTGAAGCTGGCCGAGTCCAATAAGCTTATATGGAGCCTTGATCAACCCACGTGCGAAGAAATCGAGAGCTTCTGCTGTGTCACGGCGTGTGCCCACATATGAGCACTTAATTCGCAACATCTTCAAGACGCCCCAAAATACAGAAGCCTTAATATTGGCGTCCGGCGGTAGACCAATTGGGACGACGGTTCCGTTTGGGCGAACATATTCAGATGCCTGCTCGAACGGCTTTGGACTAGTTGATACTAGGATAACACCGTGAGGGCCAAGTCCGTCCGCAGTGGCTTTCTTGACGTCATTCACTATGTCTTTGCTCTTCAGGAAGTCGATGTAGGTATCGGCACCCAACTCCTCAAGCGACACTAGACGCGGAACTGTCAGCCATCCAGACGGCCCAACATTTCGCAAAATAACTCAGAGCATATAGGAGAGCGGCGCCCAAGAACTCACTCTTTCCCTTTTCCTCTCCTCCGTCAATGGCGATGACCCTGAGGCCCATCGCCTTTGCGTATTGTTGAGCCAAGCTACCGAGTCCGCCACCTGCACCCACAATAGCAACAGTCTGGCCGGGCTTGCATTCGGATGTCTTCAGGCCTTTGTAAACCGTGATTCCGGCGCAGAGGATGGGCGCGACTGCGGCCATGTTACACCCATCTGGAATCCTGGCGACTGTGGCAGCTTGGGCGAGACAGTATTCTGTTCCCATTCTATTAGCCAAAGAAGGGTCTGAAAGAACAGAGCTTGCACCGACGCTGGAATGTCCCGTTCCTGTGCGAACATTAGCCAAGTATTTAACCAAATAAAGATTGAGCGTACGTGGTATAGCCAGAGAATTTCGCCGTGGGACACAGTATGTCGTTTCCTTCTTCACAGAATTCACAGGCATGTTTCATCAGTTAGCCATGGGCACTCACAGACGTAACCATTTCTCTAGTTTCATTTTGGGGGACAAACCAAGCATATGTTGTTGATCCACTAACACACAAGGTCAGTATCCAGTTTGTTCTAGAACTAAGCAGCTACCAACCTTGACACCCACTTTGTCTCCAATCTCGATACCTTCTGTTAACTCGCCTTTGCTCACAACAACGCCAGCACCCTCGTGGCCTCCAATCAACGGGTCATTTGGGGGAACTACTAGGGGTCAGATCCCCCCACAGGCTCGCAATTTGTTTCAAATTGGCGACATACAAGGCCAATCGCCATTGAGAGCGTGAAAATCTGTGTGACAGACACCGCTGTAGAGGATGTTTACCAGCACCTCTCCTTTGCCTGGTTTGGGAACCGGAATCTGCTTGAAATGGAGCCCTAGGAGCCGTCGAGTAGCATCCATCAGTTTTGGAACTGAGCCACAGTCGCAAAGGCGGAGGGAATACATACTTCCACCCTCATTGACCTGGGCCCACTGTAGCTCTGGAATGGCCATGTTTTGGATACTTATTTAGGTGACAATCGATTTTTTGATTATAGAAGTCCGTAGCGTCGAGTGACTCTTCTTGTGAGGGAACTTGCATTTGCGAGCTGGGGTTAGCTATATATCTGCGTTTACTTTGGGTACCTTTGTCTCCTACTCATGCTGAATTAAGTCATCCCCCCATGTCTTTCAACAACGCTAGCAAGGCGCTGAGTTCATTTAGGCGAAACACGGTCGGAACAATTTTTTCTTCTGCCCCGCAGGATGTAAGTTAACGCGTGACTCTTCCGCTATACCAATTGGCCGTATTTAATTTCACTAATGCTATCACTTGGAAGATCATCCAGCTTGGTGTATGTCCGAGTCGCACGCTCGAGAACCCATCATCGCGATGCTCACCATACACTAGGCGTTGGCACCCTGGATGTCCCTCCGGATGTCCAGACCTCCCGATTTTAAAAAGGTCGGGAGGCTGGGGCATGGAGAAGATGGTGCCTGTGTGATCGACTCTCACTGCACTATCCATTCATGGAGTTGGCGTTCGTATCCTTGGCCTATCGCGTCCCCCTTGAAAATGGACGGTGTCTTGAACGGTTGCGATACTTTCGGGAGAACTTGTGTGTGTCCTGCCGTGTTGGTCTTCATAACGAAATGGTCAGGGAATTGTCCTGATGCTGCAGATAGGCAGATGTCGAGCTCATTACCTGGACCCCCCTCTCTCGGGGTGCCCAGGACATTCCCATCCATAGATAGCGTTTCAGCCCCTAGAGCATACGGCATTTCAGCCGAAGAGGCATGAGAATGTTAAACGGGATCGGCAGAAGCACAGCTAGGAATAGCGACAATCCGATTATAACCGCTCGAGTAGATTATGGCGCCCTTACCACTTTTCCGCAAGAAATTATCTAAGCACATGGTCTAACTGCACCAGTCTCAATGGGAATTAGTGTTGGCGGCTCCGCCTCTTAGCTATCGGAGCCGCGGTGGCACCGATCTAAGTTTACTTAGCTACATCTCACCAAATTCTAACCCACCATAGGGAATATCGGCTACTAAAGAAATCGCAGTGAGTTTCATGTGCCTTCCCGGGCTAAAGATGAATCTTATCGTGGAGGAGAGCGAAGTACTGATGTAGAGCAGTCTTTCTCTTCTTCGTACTACTGTAACAGAGCAATTCAGGGTTTGGCATGCACGTGCAACAACGCACAGATGCCTGTCCAGCAGGTCGGGAATCGAGACCGCGGTTCTGGTTGGCGCTGACAGGACAACTCCACCACCAACACCACCCAGAGAGGCAGCGGCTAGGGCAACGTACGCCTAGCACAGCGGCAGTATCGAGGAACAGGGCAGGACTGATAAAACACTCAGGAATTAGGTAGACGGCACCAAAAGGCCATAAAATTCATGATACTCTGCTCAAACTGTAAAGAATGGCACTCTGCCAGCACTGTAAACTGTTCCGCACTCCCTCTGCCAGCCCATTTTGGTTTGACATGTGACTGGACAACTTTCTCCCCCCTGCTACCATCTTGCCAGCCCAGCCCAGCCCAGCACAGCCACTTTGCCTTGTTACAGTATAAGAGGGCTCATTCGGGCTCCTCGATTAGCCGTGGCTCTGGCTTATGTCATCGAACAAAGTTGAAGGTGACCCTCGACTACAGTACTGGTAGTCGACTTCTTCCAATACACTAGCCAACTCGAGTACCCTGGTCGACTCCCCCCTAAATACACTGGTCAACCCCAAAACCACCACGCGACTCTATCCCAGGCGGCATCGTATTTCAGAGAACTACACTTATTCACTAAAGTGCGTGGCTGGGAGCATTAATAGTGGCAAGAAATTCCTTGCGAATTGACCGTATCGGTTCCCCGGAGATCGCTGGCCTTGAATCTCAGCGCCTCGGCGCTTGTCACAGTGTTACTGGAGATCCACCGTTCAAGATAATCTTTAACTTCCCGCTTCACCAACACAGTGAGACAGGTACAACCCGAATTGCGATCCGAGCTTTATCGCTAACGCCACCTCGACGTCGAAATCCACTGACCTCCACGCCTATTTGACCGATCGAGAGAGGACCAGGTGGGCTTCACTTGCGCCCTTCCAAAAAGCTGACTGCGGGCAAAAATCCGTGAGCTACCAGAAATATGTTGGTTCCAAAAGACAATTAACAAGATTTCGAGGTTCATTCCTAGATACCAAAACAATGTCCACAACATGGTCCCTAACAAGGTTAAGCTTCCAGTACTCACGGCCTATACGTGAGCACAGTGCCTCGCACGCTCTCTTGTCATTCAACGTTCACAACCAGCATCATCTTCCGATATCCTTCTATTCTGGAATTAAAAGGTCTCGCTGACCGTTCGCTCCGTCGAAAACCCGGGTTCTTGTTTCTTTCCAGTGACGCTGGAATCCAATCCTTTTCGTTAATATAACTCTCTGGCTTCCAGCACACTTTCCACCGCGTCAAGAACTGGGCCTCGTTGCCGATGTTGCATTTATCGATGATGCTATGCACGTGTGAGAACAGAGTGCCGTAGCATCCTGCCCAGCAATGGTGTGAATACGGATCGAACTCGGAAGGAGTGTCCTTGTGCTGTTGAAGCATGGCTTCCAGTGTAGCCTCTGCATCCGGCATGTCAAAATTCCCAGCAAACATCTATCGATTAGCGATCCCAAGCACGAACTCTATCTCCCCGTGGTCGGAACAGCACCACAGGTCATAAGCTTCGCTTTGATTCCAGAGCTCATCGGAAGAGCTGGCCCACGACCTGGAGGCTGCGCGTAAAGAAGTGGATCAGGTTGACCATCTACGTTGCCGTATCTGCATGGTCAGCATTCCAAAGGCGGTGATCAAATATGGCCACGTCTTTTGCAAACCGTGCCTGACCGAACGGCTTCGGAAACCGTCACATAACTGCCCGATCTGCAGAATGGAGGTGGAAAAAAAGTGATATCCGGGATATCTACCTCGAGCCCCATGATAGGAACTCTACTATACTTGATGATGAAGGGGCAACAGAAGTGTATATGCCCATGAAGGGAAGCTCGACATTCAGGATCCAGACAAGAAGGTCATCACTTTTCTTAAGCTGTTTTAGATGGGGTTCGACGTGATTTCGAGTTTTGTATACCGTGGAGAAATGATGGAGTCGAACTTCGTATGGTGCCAAAGTATTCAAGAAGCAGAACATACACTGAGTTGTTGTTGGAGCCTTGGGAAAAGGCTCGCAGTCTGGCGACCCACTTTCATGTCGAATTCCCCACGTTCGATCCGGTTTGTGTTGCAGCGGAACGTCTTTTCTTACGGCATAAGGCAACAAGCGCAAATTTAAGGGGACCTCCGCATACTCATCTTCTCCACTCCATTCCACTCAAGCGATCAGGAGGCCGTAGGATGGAGGGGGCTTGCGATCCTGCGACCCGATGGCCCGAGGAACGCAGAGCTGGAGCGGGCTACTCGAAAAAGTCCTCAAAGCTCCAACGGCAATCATACATACAGCATGGCCGGCCTGAATTAGGACGTCAGCATCTCACGGAGCTTACGCCATCAAGGTATTAAACCCAAACACTTTATAAACTGCTCTTCCTAAATTTGAGAGATATTGGTACGTTCCGATTTTGTATCAGTAAGAACAATTGCATTCTCATCCGTCCAGTGGACCCTTAAGGCGTGAAGAAAAAAGCGGTCGAGAGAACCAACCGGTATCTCAATGATAATCGCTGCTCACAACATAGAAACGCCATGTCACCGGCAGTACTTTTACGTTGGCGGAGTCTACGAGGAGGACAAAAGCACGAGCTTTGGTGGACATGTCATGAGAGACCAGACATACGTCGAATGCCTGACACCACTTGGCGGAGCCATACGGGAACACCCTTTGGTTTTCGTCCATGGAGGCGGTCAAAGTGGGTTGGTATGGCATAACACTGGGCCGTGGGAGTTACCAAAGGAGCGGGCTAACACAAGCTTAGAACTGGCTGCATACGCTGGACGGCCGAAAGGGATGGGCCTCCTACTTTCTCGACCAGGGTTACACCGTCTACCTGATAGACACGGCGTCAAGGGGCAGATCCGCACCGGCCCTTCAACGAAAGCACGTCCATTATCCGACAGGCTTCGTGGAAGACATGTTCACCGCACCGAAGGCGGCGGGAAAGTGGCCACAGGCAGAATTGCACATGCAATGGCCTGGTGTGAGTCTGGCAACCATTTGCTACCGGAGCCTCATGTCCCTGCTCTACTGACTTCCGTGTAATAGAGAGGGAAGCGTGGTGATCTGATATTTGACCAGTTTTACGCCTCGACTTTACCGAGTATGTCTGACCTGGTTGCATACCAGCAGACTCAGAAGGCAGGGATAACTGCTCTGCTCGAACGGATCGGCCGTCCAAGTATTTTGATCATACATTCGCAGGGTGCTCCCGGTGGATGGCTGGCCGCAGACGCATGTCCCCATTTCGTCAAAGCCATCATCGCTGTCGAGCCAAACGGGCCCCCTTTTGCAGGCACACATCCACACAATGGCTCAAAAGCGCGGGTGTGGGGTCTCGCTGACGTCCCCATGGCATTTTCGCCGCCGATAACAGATCCTTCAGAGCTTCGCCTTATCACCATTCCAGCGACCCAAGGTGGCCGGTCCCCAGTAGTGCTACAGGATCAAAGTGAAGGGCGGGTGATACACAAGCTGAAGAACCTCCAGAACATGCCAGTGCTGGTGGAAGTTGGCGAGGCCAGCTACCATGCCGAGTACGAACATGCTACGGTAGCGTTTTTGCGACAAGCCGGAGTCTCCTGTGATTTAATCCGGCTAGAAGAACTCGGAATCAAGGGCAACGGACACATGCAAATGCTGGAGTTGAACAACCTGGACATTGCGGCAGTGTTGCAGAAGTGGATAGAAGACAGGTTTCCTCACAGCAAAGCCGCACTGTAGGCTGGTAGATTTCTTCCCGCACCGCTTGTCATCCTGCTACCGAGACCATGCGCGCGAGCAAGCCTGCCTGCACTCTATTTCGGATCCAGCTGTGTGATCGTATTTGTCGCAGCCCAAGTCATCATCCGCATGCATGACAAAGAAGAGTAGCGGGAGAGACCCGAAGATGGGAAGAGCCTTTGAAGGCATGGTTTCGGCGATCTTGTTCGCGTATGCTGAGCCATAAAGGAGGTGGAAGTGACAAATCGATGAAAAGAAGGACAGAACGACCATTGCGGACTTGCCAATTTGCCCGGGAGGCTGGGTGCTTGCGTGGGCTTGAACCGTGGCAGATCTCGCGCGAAGGGCGCAGAGTGCGAGAGATCGACATCCGCCGTCTTTGTAAAGTGTTTTGGAAATAAGACTGAACACAGAGCACCGAGCACCGAGCACCGGTGGTAAAGAAAAAAGGTCCTGCAGAGTACCGGAGGAAGAGGTACTGTCAAGCGACAGGCCCGCGATCCTGTCGGAGACAACGCCGAGCCCGATTCGCCATGACTCAGCAAGGCTCCAGTTTCGACTTGAGATTTTAACATTCTCAAGACTTCGTGATAAGCCATGTCCGAGTCCGTCACGTTTAGCCCATCAACGGCTCACCTAAGGGTTGACACAATCGCTCGCTTCCTTTCCATCGCTCTACATCGCCTCTGCATCTGATTGGGTGGCTACGTCTTTGAGCTTCTGAAGACAAGGCTCCAGCCTGAGGTAAAATGTCGGCCAGGTTCAGAACCTGGTTGACATTTTTAGACTGTCTTGAGCTTTTTCTTTCCTCGCTCTGAGTGGTGAAGTCCTAAGGACCTGTGGAATCCTTGAGAGATACCTGGACTCGACACTCGTCCTCAGAATCTAAACGCCAAAATGCTGGAATGCCAGACATGCAACCCTCAAAAGACCATACCAAACATGTACGGGCGTTTTTCAGAAAAGCTCAACAGTTGCAGCCCGAAACTAGAATCCGGCAAAACAGAGATTCTGAAGTCCTGGAAGCAGTTCACACAGCTATCGAAAGTCTGAAATTGTGCCCTAATCGACTCTGGGCAGTGACCAGGAATCTCCCTGATGGCTTGGAGAATATACCGCGCGGCTCTTTCCGCCCGGGCAAAAAGTGCGATTATTTCCGCGAACAAGAACGAGTCATGACCAATGTAGCTTTCAATTCTGTGAGCTGTCTCAGCTTGATTTCACTTCCGTCGACCAGCGCCACGAATGCAATTCCAATTCTTATGGATGTGAACAACTCAAACAGCATTTTCCGAGTCAGGTTCTGAATGAAGCTGCGCGACTGGGAGAATGTACCGCATGGAACTTCACCGGGCAGTCTTTGGTGAGACAGCCTGCCGGCTATATGGCCATCTCTCACGTATGGTCTGATGGAACTGGAACCGGAGCATGGCCAGAGAAAGGGGTGAACCGCTGCCTCTGGCATTTCTTTATACGGGTTGCAAAAACACTGCAAGTCTCCGGAATCTGGTGGGATACAGCTAGCCTCCCCAGAGACAAAACAGCACGTGCCAAAGCTATCAGCCGAATGCACCGCAATTACGAAGACGCGCGTGTCACATTTGTCCATGACTGTTTTCTTCGGGAGATAGATTGGGACGACAGTGACCCTCGAGCTGCTGCGGAAGGCGCCAGCCTCGCCATCATTATGTCACCCTGGTTTGGTCGAGGCTGGACAGCTTTAGAGCTGGCAAAATCATCAAAGGTCAAAATAATGTTCAGAAAAGGGAAAAGGTATATCTTGAAGGATCTGGACAACGACATTCTCAGTGCGTCAACGGATCAGACACCTGCTTACCACATAGCGACTCAAGCCATTCAAAATCTGAGACGGGGTACGATCACAAGTATCGACGATCTTTTGGCAATCCTTGGCCCTCGTTCTACGTCTTGGAGTAGGGATCTAGCCGTCATCGCAGCGTTGCTTACTGGAATTGAATTCACCAGTACCGACTCCCAACAAGAAATATATCAAACTATTCTACGAAAAATTGGCAGAGTATCCCACAGACACCTCTTCCAGAACTCTGCTACAATGTCGAAAGGCTTTAATTGGTGTCCTGCCAACATACCCAATATGCCTTTCGCTTCACGCCCTGCCTCGCTGCTTGTGGAAGACAACGGCAATCTGGTCGGCACCTGGAAAGTGTTTCAGATTGGCAGCATTTCCAAACGCGTGCTGGCTTGGATTGGTGTTCCTCCCCTGACTGGAGTGGCGATACGTTCAGCTTTGGAAAATCCCAATCAGCATGTCTTCATGGTAGAGCCGGACGGGAAAGACTTCGCTGGGGCCCTGCTTGTAAAAGTCCTGGGTCGTCACAGAATGTTTCAAAGACTCTGTAGCAGAGATGTAGGATTTTTACCATTTCACCCTGCCCAAAATCTGCAGGCCAAAACTACGATCAACTTGGAAGTGGGCTTGGGTGATACAGATATGATAGAGCAAGGTGAAGTTAAGGCTTGGAGAACAGTGACATCATGTCTCCTGGATTTCAGAGGGAAGTCTATGCCCATCAGAGCTTCACGGAGCCTCATAAGCTATCCGTTGAAACCTCTTGGACTCCAACGCAGTATTTTTCGTGTACCGACAAAGAGTCCACCACTGAGTGTACGAAAGGCACACAGTTCTACGGTTGCGGATGCCATTGGATGTCTTTCCGAGAGGAGCAATGCTCTTGACACTCAAGATGTTTCTAAAGGAGTAGCTTTGCATCGAGCTGCTTGGAAAGGCAAAGAAGAGGTGGTTAGCAATCTCCTCACCTAGGAGGTTGATCAGGACGCAGCGGACAAATATGTTCAGCTGCCAATACACCTGGCGGCAGAGCGGGGGCATGTCAATGTAGTCAAAGCATTGATGGCTAAGTCAACGAACATCAATCAGAGAAGCATCGGTGATGAACAGACCGCACTACATATCGCGGCTTGGAGCGGCTCACTGGCAGTTTTCCGTCTGCTTGCTGCAAAGTCTGCTCTCGACCTAATGGACAACCGTGGACAAACAGCGTTACACATTGCAGCCGCGCTTTCCTATTTGCCCGTGGTAAGCCTCCTGTTACAACGGGGCGCGAAAGTCTACGCCAAAGACGAGCGCGGCTGGACTCCAATGGCATGGGCGGCCCGCAACTGAGATGAAGAGATTCTGAAGGCGTTTCTCCAACATAGCAATATCGAGATCAACTCAATGGATGAGCTTGGACGGACTCCACTATACTTAGCATCATGGTACGGACATACCAGTGCTGTAAAGTTGTTGCTCAAGCATCCAGCCATCGATCGTGATGCAACCGACAGTTTTGGACGAACGCCGGTCTTTCACGCAGGCTTGTATGGCCATCTCGACGTAGTGCTGGCACTCTCTGATCACAGAGTAAATGGCACCGTTCGCCTACTTGACTTGCCACAGGCCTCCCATTCCGAAGCCGGGAATAAGTGTCTTGCAGTTGTCGACTACCTCCTTCGATATCAATGTCCTCAGAAGCGGCGCAGAGAATTTCCTGGGAAAGGTTCAACCGATAGACGGGATGAGAACAGCAATCCTTTACTGTGGGCAGCCTCTTGGGGCCACTACGAGATAGTTGAATATCTTCTCCACTGTGGTGTGTACCCGGATCCAAAAGCTGAGTCACTGCACCCGGGCACAAAGGCTGAGATATACGTCCCACCTGAAAGCCCACTCCAACTAGCTGCTAGAAACGGGGATGACAGATTGTTGAAGCTGCTCCTCCGAACTGGTGAAGTTAATATCAATTATTGGAAAGATGACCTCCAGCCAGCTCTATTTTCGGCTATCAGGAGTGGTAATCAGGCTGCAATTGGACTCTTGCTTAGAGAAGATGAAGTTGACCTTGGTTATGACGATTTCAATAATTCATCAGCCTTGATACACGCTGCGAACACCGGGAATCCCGCAATTTTTAAGCAAGTGCTTGCAACAGGGCGAGCCGCCATCAACTTTGGCGGATTTACGGATCCTTTAGCAATTGCTGCGCTGCGCGGACACGAGGACATAGCGAGATTGCTACTGTCCATACCAGAAATCGAAGTCGACAGTGATGAGGCACTTCGCTGCGCCGCCGAGAGTGGTCATGCGGGCGTGGTTGAAATCTTACTCGAAACAGGCAAAGCTAACATCAACGCACAAGCAAGGTACAGACTCATGACACCACTAATGAGCGCTGCTGATAATGGCCATCATGCCGTAGTCAGTCTGTTGCTTAGTACGGGAAAGGCCGATCTCTCTGTTCAGGAAAAGAATGGCGAAACAGCTCTTTCTTTGGCTGGCAAAAGGGGCCACGACAGAATTGTGAAGCTTTTGTTGCAGCACATCCGCGACGTCAATGTCCGTAACCAGAAAGTGGCCTTGGAAGCGGTGATCTTTGAAGGTGCCTGGTATGGTCTTGCTGCTGTCGTCAAAGGACTGCTCGAGATCGCTGAGAACGTCCAGCTCGATCCCAGGGATAGCTGCTTGCGCACACCGTTGATCTACGCCGCCATGTTTGGGGCCCTGGATTTCGTCAAAGCACTCCTTTCATCGGGCAGAACGGTTGACATTAACGCACAGGATGAATGCCTCAGGACTCCACTTTCATATGCTGCAGAACGAGGCCACGAAAGCGTAGTTGTGGAGCTGCTGACACTCGGTGAAAAGCTGGATATCAACCTCAAAGACTCGGCTGGGTATACACCGCTCTGCTATGCGACGTTGCTGGATCATACGCGCGTGGCAAATCGGCTGTGCTCAACAGGTAGAGCAGACCTCGGCGGAGTGGACTTGACGTCCACTCATTCGCTAAATATTGGACAGCCACCAATTCGCGGCAGCATCTCTCTGGAGCCCTGGTTCTGACCATGCTTGTAATCTCAACGAACCATCAGTACGCTTGCATACTTCCGCCAAAAGAAGAAGATGCCAGACCCGGAAACCTCTCGACACGGGAGCGTAAGCCTCAGGATTCTTGAGGGATCAAGCTTTGTATAGGATTCATTGAGCATGATCCGACCTGGTTGCAGCCTGGGCGCACTGCCTCCTTTGGCAAGAAACCTTCAAGATGTTGCAATTTGATCAACTACGTACAAGCTTCGAAGCAATTGGCGCTATCAGATGGAATTGCTAGCTCTTTGTCTAGAAGTCTGAAAGCCATTGTCACAGTTCCCTTTCAATCGTCTTCCTTCCACGTCTCTTGAAGAAACCCAGCCATGTTGTATCAAAGATCATCGATCATCCCCTTGACTTTCACCACTTTTCCAGTCACATGCTCAATGCTCTCCCAGATCTGTTCGCTTTCCTCCCATAACTCGAGGTACTTCGCGTCCTGAGTTGTGATCTTGGATTTCAGCTCCTCGTTCTCCCTTTCCAGCGCTTCAATCCGCCTTTGCATTTCTTCGATCCTGCAATTCAATTGCTTCTCCAGATCCGCGCTGCTCTTCTGCTCATCAGCCTGTCTCCTCACCCTGCTCTGGATCGCTGGTTCCAGTGAATCCGCATGCTGTCTCAACGCGGCCAATTTTTGAACCCGGAGGGTTGTTTGTTGGCGGAGCTCGTCGCCCGAATGCTTTGACGAGGGGTCTGACTTATATGCGCCGTCTTGGGGCTGTGGCCACGTCATTTTCGAATTCTGCCAGTCATCCTCGCTCCCTCCAGCTCTGCGGGAGTCCCTCTTGGTGGACCTGCTCGTCATCCCGGTCGTCCCGAGGGCTTTGTTTGTTTGTTTTGCCTTAGTCACTTGTGTCAGGGGTTGGGTAGGAAATCCTAGCCCTGGAGTGAAGTATTAAATTTCTTCGACTTCGGGCCTTCAACAAACCTATGGCTCGATGCAGCTGTCTCTAGAAGGAAAATTGGAGAGTCGGCGGATTCACCAGTAGACTCTCCGGGGGCATGCCGGTGTACATACAGTATTCTCACACAACACCAGCTCTTCAAGGCTACAGACTTACGGAATCCGTCGTTTCCACTAGACACTGGCAAGGACAACTCGTCTGTGAGAATTGATAGTTCAGCAGGAGGATGTCAGGTCAAATGGTCCAATGGCAGGTTGTATTACTTGCTTTTGCGGCTTGTCTGATGGGATGCGACCGGTGTGGTGCATTGGTGCCCAAACGGCGCAATACAGGGCGTGCACAAAGGCCAAAATGGGTAATCGTAGGCAACCGAATGTACGTGAATGAAAGTGAGGCATTCATGCGAAGGCAAGGCAGAGTGTCTCTGCTGAGCAAAATTGGAGATCCCACCTGAGATTAACTTGGGCACCAGAAGACTCGAGACGATGGCCCCTATCTACAACCTGGAATACGGGAGTGGTGGGATATCAGCCTAGCAGGCATTCAAGGCCAGCCCAAAAGTGCCTGTCACGGAAGGGGCGAGGTGCATGCTCCAGTAGCTCCAACAGCTGCAGATTGCTAGACAGCAGACAGCATAGCAAGAATACGAATAACCAAAAAAAAAAACATACCAATGCGTCTCCAACGATCCGGTACAGGTGCGATCTGAATTACGACGGGAATCGAGCCATCCTCGGTTGAGTGATTCATTTACACCGGTTGCCTGGTCTCGTTCGTTTGTAGTCTCCTCGGTGGTTAGTATGCGCGCTACTGTATGAAGACCCCCATCTTCGTCGTCATCGTCACTCATCGAGACGCTACTGTTCAGCTTGGTTATGTAGGGCAACCCGCGTCGCAGGTGAGGAGCCGATTTGACTCTGCCCTGATGTTTGGTGGGGGCTGGATTACGTACAAGAGGTGCCGCTGGGCTAAAATCTCAACCTTGCATACTGTCGGACTGGGAATGGGTCAAGATTACCAGGCGGTTATTGGCACAGGGTTTTGCTGCAATATCGATTGGGGTTGCGAAGCTACAGTACGAACGATTTGGAAGGGGCGTCACGGGTTGCAGTGAATAACGGCCCCCTTTCCGCCTTCGAGAGCCAACTCATACCTATCTGCCAAGGGTGATTCCAATGGCTAAAAGAAAGGCTGCAACCACAGCGACCAGAACCTGCATGACCAGCTCGCATTTCCTCTCCACCTCTGCGAGCTTTACATCGAGCTTTGCGTTAGCATCTTTCAACCGCCGTGTTTCATCCTCAGCCTTTCTCTTCGACATCTCGAGAGCGGCAATCGGCTCTGTCTCCTTTCCGACACAGGAGCCTTTACCATCCGAATCCTCTGGGGTCTGTGCCTGCCATTTTATGTTGCGTTGATCTGCCCCCCTGAGTCGCGACGCCAATATTGTGTTTTGTTCAGCCAGATCAATGACAGCCTTGTACATCAGCTTCATACGCATGCGAATCTCATCCAAATGATTGGGACCCATCCCTCCAACACCAATCTCCTTTCCGCTGCCGGTTTCTTGCGGGCTCAAGGGCCTTTCCAAGGCCTTGTCTTCTTTGAGAGCATGGTTTTGTTCGAAACTATCAGGTTTCGACAGTTTTGCCTTCAAAGACTTCAGAATCGAATCATCTCTCTCTTTATAGGTGTCTGCTCGATGCGAGCCCTCGTTATGCGTCTCTGTCATCTCTCTCCTCTGGTTTTTCGCAGAGTATTCCACCCATGAACCGGGAATTGATTCTATTGAGCCTGTCGCACCCGTAAATCTATCCCCATTGTCATGCATGGTAGCCATCGTGTTGGCCTCTAACGTCGTGATCGATTGTCTGCTGACTAGTGCTGAAGGGAGATGCTGAAACTCCAGATCTCGCATCCGTGAGTTGTGAGCGTCTGGGTTCGTAGGCAGACCGGCTGGTAGATCCAGATTCAGATGGTCCCGTAGACATGATGCTGGTTTAAAATTTTATTGGAATTGAAACGGGTAATACATATTACGCAGTAGATTCATTCTCTTCTTGGCAGCGCCCCGAGAGCCACCTCAAATGGGCCTGCAAAAATGGGGGGATTCTAGGGGGCAGCGGCCCGGTTTGTTGGTCTCTCTGTGTAGAGATGACACCACTTTACCCATGAAGTCGGCTCTGGTAAGAGTATCCCGTAGGTAGGAAATAAAAGAATACCTCTTGCGTCAGCCCAATCGAATGGGCGCTCTCCCAGCAAGGCGTGGCTTTGGGGCGTTGATTTCTGCCTTGCAAGCGGTTGGCGGACACATCGTCCACGTTGCATTGCGGCTGAGTCAAAGAGCAATAACGCTGGCCGTCAGTGACAAAGGATCCAGTGCACATTCTCCCTGGCTGGGCGGAGAATCAGCTGGGTGGTGGATTAATCATCGCCGTCGCTGGAGGTAGGGAGACTGATTTTGCAAAGGCTTTTCATAATATGGAGTATATTTGTGTTCGGCCACAATATTACCGGCACTGCTTTCTCCGGGCCAAGATTTCGAATCGCATCCAAACTCTGACTACCGAGTACCGAGTACCTAGCGTGCTATGTAGGTACCGAGCCTGTCTCAACAAAAAGTGCCTAGTGCCACAGGCTTCCTATCAGGCAGCTAACCCAGTGGCATGTGATCTGGGATCCAACTAGATATATCATTTACCGTTGTTTCATCTTCTTGGGAGCAGCATCACTACCCATATACTTAGTAAGATCCGACACATGATAGAACTTGCGCGTAAGCACCATGACACTCTTCCAGGCCCGGCGACCGGTAAGGGGGGCATTCTGGGCGTCTAGGAAGCCGTCAACCTTGGCCTCAAGCTGAGCTAAGTCGCTCAGGTCATAACGGGCGCGCAGGAAGCCAGTGTAGACCACGATCATGATCCACGACTGGCGCTGGAAGGTGATGGCTGAGAACAGGAGACTAAACCAGATGAAAATCTCGAGTTTAGTCACAACTGACATAGAAATGTTGTAATACGTCTTGATAAAGACACCGATATTGTCGGCGATAGAGTCGAGTGTTGGCGTCTTTGCACCTGAAGTGCCAATAGGAAGAGCGGTAAACCTGGTGACTAGATAAAAGATGGGATAGATCCACTGGGGCACAAAGAACGATATAATGGTCGGAGCAAGCACTGACATAGACATATCATAGCATTTCTTGACGAAGACGCTAATCTTGTCAGCGATAAAGTCGGATGCGGGCACCATCTCCGGAACTAGAGCGGCCGCAGCAGGAGCGACAGGTATGGTCTTGAGTGTGGCCTGGAGCTCAAGGTTCAGATTGGTCTGGAGTGCTGTCTGGAGCGGGTTGAGATTTGTCTGCATTTTGGATTGGAGCGGGCTGATCACATTGGTCTCAATTTCGGTTTGGATTGTGGAGACTACATTGGTCTGGATTGTGGAGACCACATTCGTCTGGAGTGTGCGGATATCTTGGATGAGATTGGCTTGGATTGTGGGGATCAGATCGGAGCGGATATAGACAGCGACATGGAAGATGGAGTAGATGCAATAAGGGAGCAGAGCACTATGCCGCTGAGGCATAAAGAGCCAGACTAGGGCCAGAGCTGAGAAAGATGTCAGCATCCAAAGTCCGGATTATTCTGGGGAGGAGCGCGACACACTGAGATACTGGACAGTCTCGTAGGCAGCAACGCTAAGAGCACCACCCGGGACCTTTTGGCTGCTTCGGGCGCGGAAACACAAAATCTTATAGACGGCAATGCCATAAGTAGTGGCAGCGGAGATGAATGCGGTACGGTAGCAGAACCGGGCCATGTCGTCGTAACATTTCATGCGGATCCATAAGGAGGTGTATTTTAGGACACAAAGGATGAGGCACAGATGTCTACATTGCTTGTTAGTTATTAAAGCAATCAATTGTGGTAATAGTAGCGGTAGGTGAGGAGCCCTTGGGAAGACAGAACGTACCCAATAAACCAAGCGACTAGGCCAGAGTTAGTAAGGCGTAAAATTAGGGTCTCAATCAATGCCATTCAGGATGCAAAAGTTTGACACCGGGGGGGAACATACATTGGAGTGACTTGACCAGGAGGATCAGACGCTGGAAGATCGTCAGATCAAGGGACGCTTGGGCCCTCATGGGAAGGAGATTTGAAAGAAGACTATGGCAAAGATTTCCAGGGTATTTCTTATGGATGTAATCAAGAAGGCTTTTAGGGCGAAAGTTCTAAAAGTGTTACGGGTAAAGCTGAGGCAGGAGGAAGAGGAGGCGCTCTTGAAGAGAAAAACCAGAGAGGCATTCCAGTTGGGGCCTGCGAGCGCTGACTCTAATTCAGAGCACACCTGGAAAAAGTTTCAGAGCATCTACGTGTCCCGATTTGATTTGACCTGACGTGATTAGGAATAAAGGGCTGGTCGAATGAGGTATTGCTGGGTTTTGGGAGAATCTGTAGGTCGAAAAATTGCGGTGCAAAACTTATGCGAGAATTGCAGTAGTGGCTGCCTTGAGCTAACACGAGCCTGGTTCGCTCGCCCGTCTGCCTAGGTAGGCCGGTTGCAGAGCCTCGTTCTCAGTGCTCAGCTCCAGAAGGGAAAGGAGCTTCCTAGCCCAGCTGCTGTATCCGGGCTGAGAAATTACCGCTATTGTCAGCTCAAAAGCTAATTCAACCTTACCAAACCTGCCTCTCCACCGTCGTACTGCTATAACTCGAATCCGGCAAATTCCGCACGTGCTTCATCAGGTCATTAGTATCTGCCGGTCAAGCTAGAACAGTGGCCCCTCAGTTTTCAACCCAGGTAATATTTCGACCTCGTCTAGGACCATCCCGCAATACAAAATCCACGAGTTTCAAATGTATCGATGGAAGTGCCTGGAGAAAATAGCCGGAGGCCACCATACATGCAACTTAACTTGCATGGTGGATGATGATGAGGAGAACAGCAAAAGGGCTACTGCGATCGAGGTGCAGGTACACCAGCTTTATGATATACTTTTTCACCTCGCAGATAATCTAGAATCCTCCGATAGAACGTTTGCTGTTCCAGCGAAAGGGTTTGAAAGCCTCGCAGCACTATTGGGGCAGATTTCCCAGGCCGTCAAGGAAGCAGAAAGAAACGCTCCATCCTCTGCACAAGCTGAGGGTGAAAGAGAGCGAGAGCTCAGACTCACTTCGGAAGCTACAGATATTGCCGCAGTTGCCGCGAACGCAGCAGTGGGCGCAGTAGGGGCAGCGGCAGCGGCTGCATCTGGGGCTGCGGACCAGCGCGTCGCAAAGAGAGCCGTGATTGCAGCTGTCTGGGCTGCTGGGTCTGCGTATCGAGCAGCTGGGGTGGCACGGGGTGTGACGGCAGCGGAAGCGTCTCTACCACCCGAGGCCCAGCTCGAATACCATGGCGAGGTAAGATGAGGTCTCGATCTCAGAATCCTGAAAATGTAATGGAGTATCCCGACTAACACTCCTGCTTTCCACCAATCAAGTTTGCCGAGGATTATGTGGAAGAATTTGAGCAGTGGAACAATTTCTGTCGACTCCTCTTTCGCGATCAAGAGCTAGAGTTGCAAACATCCCTGTATCTCCAGTTGTCCGTTCTTGGCCGAGGAGCAATTGCACAAGCGGCTTCTGCCCAATGGGACAGTATCTTGGAATTTCTACGCAAGATCAAGGATCAAGAGATTGGCAGCCCACCACTCGATACTCTTCTCAAACTGATTCAATCTGGCAACCGGAGCCTGAAGGATCTGGTAAGACAGTATGTGCTGGAATCGGTACCTTTTAGGGATCTGGCAGTCCTGGAACGAGTTTCCAGGAGTGACGCTGCCGTTGCACTGGGTCTTGGTGATGATGCCGATCTTCGAGCAAGAAATCTTCGCTTACGGGTGAATATCCTTCCCATCTTTTTGTCATTAGGAGAACGGCTCACATCGTTATCAGCCCGATCTGTTCCAAGGGGACCGAGATGCCGGTGGTGGCGGTGGGCCTCAATGTTCCATTTGTTGTTCGGAAGAAGACAGCGAGCTGGTCTCCGGCAAAATCGATCAGAGTGCGAATGACGACTTTCTCACATTCCCGGGAAAGTTCAATGGCAAGGCCATCAAGCCCCTCATCGACACTGGCGGGGGATGTAACCTGATCAAAGCGGAGTGGCTGAGGAAGCAAAACATTCAGGTCAATGAATCTTCGCGCCGCTTTCAGACGCTATTGATGGCGGATGGGTCCACGTCAACGAAATGTCCCTGCGTTGAGGTGAGGTGGAGCTTTGATGGGAGGAAGAAAATCTGGACGGATGTGGAGTTTGTTGTTGTCGAAGGATACAAATATGATGCCCTGATAGGGCTGCCTTTCTTGAAACACACTGAGACTCTTCACAATAGCGCGGGTCGCTTGGTTTTCCCCGAATTCAAGGGAGTCCATGCGAAGAAGGATTCCATCCCACTGTACAATTTTGGAGTCAAGGCCAGCACATAGGCAGCAATCATTTACCATGTGGTTCCTCCGCTTTGACAATTCTATACCTCACTTTCGACAATAGGTGTAATATCTAGCAGGAAAAGTGTCACAATGATGGGCCTGGGCTGCAATGTCTTCGATTCAACGTATGTAAAGTCCCTTGACGAAAAAGCCTTCAACAGACTCCTCAAGACTCCTCAAATCATGGCCTCCCACTCATCCACCCACCCACTCGAAGTCTCTGCATCAAATCACAACATCAACTCCAAAAAGCTCCATAGATCCACAGGCCGAAGAACCCACAGGCCAAAGAGCCCTAAGGCAAGAAACACCTGGAATATCTGTATCCAGTTTGAGACTTTGCTTTGGGGGAACACTTCCTTCTTGTCATCCGTTGCTGCAAGGGTCCAAGGGTGCGCACTTCCGAGTGTTGTCTCCAGTCCAAGGATCGCAGTGGAGTAAAGACGCTTCGCTTCCTCATGGTGGCCCGGACCACTTGCACCCAACACACCAGCTAACCTCGCCTGCGCTCTGTATGTCCAGGGATGGTCGTCGCTAAGCTTCAGATGGTATCCATCTATCGCTTTCTTGTAAGAGTTGATTGCCCGATCAGATTCCCCGAGACCCTTGTACGCGTTGCCGATGTCCTCCAAGCACATACATATATAAGGGTGGGTTTCCCCAAAGACGGTTTTCCACCCGTCCATCGCCCTCTGGATAGCCCCCAGCCCTGTTGCATTTTCTCCTTTGCTAACACAGGCACTGCCATACCGGTAAACGGCCATTAATGTTTGCGGATGCTTCTCGCCAAGGATGACCCCCAGAGTTTTCTGGATGTGCTCACACAATTCCAAAACTTGATCATAGTCGCCGAGTTGCTGGAGGACATCGGCTCGTCCCTGAACAGCCACCAGCGTTTGATGATGATCTGCCCCAATTGCCGCCGTGAGCCCTGATACTGCTTGCTCAAACTGCTCCAAAGCTTCCTGATATTGCCCTTGACAATTGAGAACACTGCCAAGTCTGCATCTCGTTTTGAGAGTTTCGGCATGATTCTCGCCGTACTTCTTCCCGTAAGCCTCAACCAACTGCTGGCTCATTCCAAGTGCTTCACCATACATTCCTCGAAGCTCAGCTATATGGGCGGTGCAGACCCTCGCAGCCAGCATATGTTCGTCATTTTCGCCTAGCTTTTGGAGCCCTTTCCGCGCAATCTCACACCATTTCACTGCGTCCTGATACTGCCCTTTGTCGCGCAGCACTCTCGCTATATTGGTGGCGGTTGGAAACTCCCCACGTACTCCCATATCCAGTCTCTTGAAGGAGGAATGCGCCGTCTTGTATGTTGTTTCAGCCTCATCGTATTTGGCCTGGCGCAGTAAAATGTCTGCTATGCCCGAGTATTCGCTGGCAATCCAAGGATGATCTTGTCCTTCTCCAAAAATATCTTCGAGACCTTTCAGCACTTCCCGGTATGATGCCAAAGCATTATCATATTGTCCCAGTCTTTCCTGTATGCTAGCAATGCTGTCCATGGTGTCAAGTGTTGAATAATGACCTACGCCTAGAGACTTCTTCTGCTCTTTCAAAACTAAGGCATGGTGTTCCAGAGCCTCCTTATATTTGCCTTGCTTTTCGAGAACCGTAGCAATGGCGTGAAGTGTGTCAAGTGTGTTCGGGTGATCTTCCCCTAGACTCTTCTTTCTGTCCTTGTACACCTGCTCCAGTTGTACTAGAGCTTCTGGATACTCTCCTGAGTCTCTAAGGACACAGGCGAGTTGATGCTGTGTCTCGAGAGCTGAGGAGGGCTCTTGCTGCCTCAAAACCTCCTTATATTGCGCAATAGCCTCAGTGTACTTGCCCTGTTCTTTGTATATAAAAGCGACATTGTATGCCACGGTAAGTGCCTCAAAGCTTTCCTTACCATGTTGGGACTCAATACCATCCTGCGCTCGCCGGCACCAGCTCAGCGCCTCGTCGTATTTACCTTGCAATCTCAGATTCACTCCGAAAGAATCCATCATCTCCAAAACTAGGGGATGGTCAGGGTCACCTATACCCATGAGACTCCGTTCGTAGAGGAGACTGGACTTCTGCACGTAACCAAGATCTGTGTACACTCTGGCGAGATCATAGGCGGCCTTCTGATTCCAATAATCCAAGTGACTATTACCGGAAGATAGCTGCGAATTGAAAAGTTCCAAACATCTGTTGATATGCGGCAAGATCCGACGCTCGTAGGCACACTTGTCAGCACTCCTCCTGTCACCAAAAGCGAACGTAGACCTGATGATATCTATCACCAACCTAGAATTTTCGAGTTTTGCATTCTCTGTGTGATTACGAGCCCATTCATGAAGAAGCTGGTGCACGTACAAACTGTCATCCTGCTTCTGACCGACAAGAGAGAGGGAAGTAAGTTCTCCAAGAGCCTTATATATGGCTCGGTCGGCTGTTGATAATTTGGTACGTTAGTCACACGAGCGCCTGTTGTTTGATTGAATAGAAGCATACAGGTCATCCAGGCTATAATGCCCTTTCCTCCCAACAGAAATTCCTTTGGGATATCTTCATTGCCCATTAACGAAATTAGCCAAAATAAATGTTTTGCATAAGCAGTGAGTTTCTGGATTGACATCTGCCAGACAGTTTGGAGTGGCTTCAGTGATTCGTCGAGATTCTCCAGGTCTTGTGCATATATATTAAGTGGCATTGGAGCCTTGCACAAGAATGCTCCAATAAGAGTGACGGCGAATGGATGTCGGCCAACTGCCTCAACTAAATTCACTGCATCCTCATTTTCTAGGTATGTTAGACATGCATCGATGGCAGCACAAATTCAGCGAGACGTACCATTTGGCCCAATGTCCTTCCCCAGTATTCGGACTAACAGATCCACCGCGTCGTGCTGTTTGATGCCTGTCGGGACTTCGATTCTATTGCAGCCGGGGTAGGAATTTGGACTGCAGCTTGTAATAAGCACATGACCAAAATCTTGAGTTGGCAAAAGCTTCTCGAGATCGCAACTTGCTGGGTCATCATAATTGTCCAACACAAGCAACCATCTGTTATTACACTCTTGACCCAACCAATTCCTGAGACACTGAGCACACGATGATTCATCCACAGCCTTCAGCAGGCTGTCTTTGCATGTAATATTAAGCACCTCGAGGCCGAGTGACCGAGCAATACGCCGATAAGTTTTGGTCGAAGGGTTTCTAGAGCGATACCGAATGATTGACTCCACTGCTTTGCGAGTGCTGACGTCCATCTCAGACTCATTTTTGGTGTTGATCCAAAAAATTGCTGAATACTCCTCGGTGTATCTGTACGCATATTCCAGTGCAATTTGTGATTTTCCAGTCCCTGAAGAACCCGAGAGCGCTATTTGTTGACGATCCAGACGGTGTCCCGTAGGCCCTTTGGCCCAAAACAGCCTCGAAACTTGTTGAAGTGGTTCCTCTCTTCCTTTGAAATACCGGTTCCTGTGATACGGGAGTTCAACCGGAATTCGATATTTATCACCTAGTCCAAGGGAATTGTCAGAAGTTATTACCGTTCAGGAACGAATATATTTTACCTGCTGGTATGACAGACAGAATTTCCCTGTCCAAGTGGTGGCGGGTATGCTGAAAGTACCGGGTGTCGGCGTTGTACTGGTCGCCAGAGCCAATGGTGTTATTTTGAAGTCCGGAGCCAGCATTGACGTTTCGGGAACCACTGCTCCTTTGATTGGCATGGATTGCAGGAACGAGGAGCAAGATCTCTTTGGCGCACGCAGCCGCCGTGGCAGCAGCGTATTTCTGCCAGTTCTTGTTCTTGTGGGAATCTGCATAGTCGCTGATTCCTCGGATCACGAGACCTTGGTAGTGGCTCAATACACCGGCTGATTCCATTTCAAAGCAAATCATCCCGTAATCTTGGTATAGGCTGTTGCGTTTTTCACTTGAGATCACCAGCGTATTAGCCGAGCCGATTGTGCCATAATGGATAAGTGGTGTATCTTCTTTTCGTGCCGCTTTGCTGCCTCGATCCTTCCGTTGCCTTGACCGCTCTATATCGCACAGTACTTCACAGGAGACAGCCCGGTATGTATGAGAGTAATCATCATCAAAGAGAAGATCGTGCTCCTCCCCGGGGTCATGGAAATCCAATAATTCATGGTCCCCAATGTTTGCTCGTAAATCGTGGAGAAATTCGGGGATTCGGGTGCCTTCCTTTAGCATATGACGGCTTCGGAGATTGTTGACTGCAGTCAAAAGAGTTGAAGATGGATGGAGCAGATGTCCACTAACACTCAGTTTGCCCTTCTCCACCCAGGCGCCGAATTCATAATGCTTCACCCCTCCATCATTATTCAGTGGCACGCCAACGACCACGTCGCCCAAGACAATTTGTTCCTGCAAATCTAAACCATAGTGGGGGATCCCACCTGCTATGCCAACCACGAGAATATGTTTGATGCTTGGAAATGAGCGGCACATATTCTCAACGACCGAACTGGCGGCAGCGGTTCCAATCATTGAGGAAACAGCCATCACAACAAAATGGGGTCCTATTTTCCCCACATGATAGATGGCTTTATCATCCGGTATCGACACTTCTTTATGGTCTTCCAGGATCGCGATCGCAGGGGTGAGCTCCAAAGACATGGGAGCGAGCCACCCGACGGTGTACTGGGTCGGGTCAATCCGGGATGTCATGTTTGTGAGGCACGATCGCCGCTTCGGCGAGTTATCGCCTCAAGTCCAGAGGTAAAAAAGAAACTCGATCGAGAATGGAAAGAAGAAAAGAAAATAGCGACTAGCGGGGAATGTGTTGTCGGCGCTCGGGATTCTGTCAATGGTGACTGACAGTTGACGTGTCACAATTTAGCCCCAGAGCCAACATCGTATTCGGCGATTAGAGCTTCCTATCTTGGGAGATGGGGTGGCCTCTGCAAAATCAGGCAGCAACGCGGCTGAATCGTTCACAACTGCGTTGTACGATGCAGGTGAAGAACAGTCGGAAATTCCTCAGTGACCTAGGTACCAACAAATTGATCTGGGTCACCCACCAGCGTCGACATGGAATCACCGCAAATGTCGCGCACGGACCAGTCAGCTTGGTCATTTGGATAAGAAGGTTCGTCCAAGGACTTTCTTCACCACGATGAAGGTGTGTACTTGCCCTACCAGAAGATTGATATTGAAGAGAACAGTATTAGGACAACGAGAATGGACAAAGGCCACACACATGTCCCTTAAGTTTCCGATATTGCTGTCAATACCGAATTTCTCATCGGATCCAACACACGCAACACTGTGGCTGAGTTGATAGACCTGCCTTCAAACAATATGTCGATCCTAATGTAGTAGCTAGAGAGCCTCTAGTGCTTTTCTAAATTGGTGCTCATGTTGACTTTGAAGACTTTCTCCTGGGATCGAAGGTCAAGGGTATCTTTCAATATGGTTTCTGCTCACTGGGCGAGGACAGCAGCCATTCAGACTGTTGAGGCTGATACCATCAGCCTGGACGTCTTTCTCAAAGTAAATCGCCCTGGCCGATTGACTACCATGCTAACTTTGTGAGTTAAGGTTACCAAAACCGCAGTCGGCAAGATTGGTTTGCAAGGTGAATATGTATCAACATCTGTAATACCACGAGCCACTCCTGACCTAGTCCCAGTGCCCACCAATATGGGTGCATGCAGCCAGTGGAATAGATGGACAAGCTCCTGGGAAAAGTCTTTCTCCGTGTTGATGAGCACTATGTTCGAATTTGAGCAAGATATGCACGGTCACAGCGACAAGATGCAGCAAATGCATCAGGCAATCCTGAAGCCAGGTGTTTGTCCAAGTTCATAGACTCATAGTAAGCTTTGAGCTAGCTTGTCCATCAAAAGCTGGTTCGGAACTGCTAGGGCTTCATTGCGAGAATATCTTCACCTGTCTATCTTGAAATAGCAAAACAGTCAAAATTCTGGCCTGGAGGAGAGTTTCTGGAGGGTTTTCTATCGATCGTTGTCCAGGAGCTCCAAATCAGGGTTCTCTTGCTGATCTAATGTGTTCGTGATGATTCTGGCTTTGACTCTGGCGACATCCTCCGTGAGCAATGAACTGAACAACCTGACCTTTTCAGCCTCGCACCTTTTCATAGTGGGTCACCCCCAAGGTTGCCTTCTCGTGTGTCCTGGACAGGGTGTGGGTCGTCTGGTGCTTTTGCATGCGGCTTCGTTCAATCCCCAGCCAAAAAGAAAAATGGCTTGCGATATAGTGTCTTTGCCGACAATACTAGATGGCTGTTTATATCTGACAACTATTGATGAGCTGAGTGAGTCGGAATCACATCCAAAAATGTTACCGCTGCATGACTGAGAAATGCGACCCAGTATTACAAGAATCTAGATACAGGCTGCGACTGGCTCGTCCCATATTGTGGTCAACACTTCCCACCCTTCATGGTTTCCCTTTGCTGAAGGCTGAAGACTCTCGGGCACTAGAAATCTGCATTTTGACGCTCATTAGAGCCTGACCCGCACCACGGGCCAGATTTCCGCGACTTCCAATGTACTCTTGATCTTCAATCGCCTCGTCATGACACATTTACGGTTGTCAGTAATCTTCTTCCTCCCCACCTTCTCCCTCTGCGCCTTCTCGTTGTCCGCCTTGTATCTCTTCGCCCTCTTCCTGTTCACCTTCTTCATCATGAAACTCCGCCCGGGGTGGAAATTCTGGTAGAGGGTGGCCTACAGGATACTCCTGATATGCGGGTACAGGATTGGATTTGGGTAACAAATATCGATTATCAGGTCACAAACGCCCAGGGCAATAAGTACAAAACAAGTGATATCATGACTATTTGATAAGGACAGTGTCATCCTGGACGAAGCGTCCAGGAAACACTGAGGTATGGCCCTCTAGACACAAACCAAACATCTATATAAACAGGAATGGAATCACTGGACAGGATAGACAGACATTTCTGAGTATAGGAAAATGCGATCAACCATCTGCAGAGATCCCAGTACCACAAGAGTCCTCTAGGCTGTGTACAACTTTGAGGAGGGAATAAATGATAAGCATTGCTGGGCTGAGGCTTTTCGCATAGATGAAGCTCTTGGTCAGCGGTTCTTGGTGCATCCCACCAAATATGAATGCCGACGCCGTGGTGGGGAATTTCGTGCTAGATAATCTAAGGTTGATCATCCAATAAATCCGGAAACTCACGGTGAAGCTTGCCTCGTTCATGATCTGTAAGTCAAAATTGAAGAGAGTTAGATGAGTTCCGGGATATTGCAGCCATCTTAGGATCTACTTACCTGGCCTGTTCTCCTATTACTACCTAGCCTGAAGCCGATGGATAATCGTCTTAAAGAACGTAAATAAGTGTTGGGATGATTCCAGGAGGAACTTGAGGTTGTTCTTCTTCATCAAAAGAGCCAGTACTCAAAACCTTACTGACGGTCACAGCTGCAGACTCATTTAAGATGGCAGTCCATTCTGGCTGCATATGTTCGTCCTGAATTCTGGCAAATTAGGTATCTACTCTGTTGGGTAGTGTGTTGGTTGCAGCCGTAATGTGTTGGTTCTGAAAACGAGTGCGGCTCCTGGTGGAGGCTTCCAAGCAACCTGATTTTCCTCGAATGGAATATGTCGCACATTCATTGCGATTGGAGCAGCTTTTTGAGCCTGTTGCTGAGCGAGACATTGAGTGGAAGGTTGAGCGTGAGGTTGAGCGTGAGGTTAAATGGAAGGCTGAGTGGAAGGCCCTGCGTGAGTAGTGAGACTCATCTTGAATCAACAGTCATGCTCTAGAGTAAAACTCTTGAGACTGGTAGATATAAATGTAGTACTTCGGTGTATCTGGTTAGGCACACACAAGATAGCGAAATGGCTTCAGATGACGCAGTGCCAGAGAGGTAGGTTTAAATAGCCTTCGGAACAGGAAGACACTGTAAGCTCACGGGGTTTGAAAGACCGATGACCATTAACAGACAATAGGGAATAGAAAACTGCTCAACTTGAACAGCTCCCATACTTACACTGTGAAGGAGTAAACGAATATTAGGTACATAATCTTACCTACCTAGAGTATACCATTTTCAGTACAAGATGTAGAACGTTCCAAAGTTGTAGTGTAAAGTACGGTCAGTACAGCTCTGCCCCAGTGAAAATGCATCTACTCAGACCCACCCACTACCATATATGGAAAGATCCACGACACCTGCTACCATTGTAACAGAGCTCTTTAGGGTTTGGCATGCTTGTGCAACCAACGCACAGGGGCCTATCAGGCAAGTCGCTAATCGTGAACGCCTTTCTGGTTAATGCTGGCAAATCAACACCACCACAAACACCACCCAACGAGGGGCGGCGGCTAGGGCAACGAGCTCCTAGCACAGCGACAGCGCTGAGAAGTGGAAAAGAACACAGAGAATGTGCAGGAATAGGTAGACAGTATCAAAAGACAATAGAATACTCTCATCAAACTGTAAAGAATGGCACACAGCCAGCTCTGAAGACTATTCGGCGCGTGAGCAACGATTGCCCTTCGAATATCTGTCTGTCTGTCTGTCTGTCTGTGTCCTGTTGTTTTCCGCCGTCCTCGTTGTTACGTGCCCAGCTAGTCCTTATTGTATCCTGCCCTCACAGTCACAGCTAAAATGCTAGCTCTTTTTGGTCTGATATGTGACCAACCAAATCGTTCCCCTACTGACCCAGCGCAGCCACTTTGCCTTGTTACAGTACGCGCGCTGTTTGATCTTGCAGACGCTGAGTCGCACGAGGACGGGCGTCTGAAGCTCGTGCTTAAAGACCGCTCTCCCGGGGAATGGGACGAGTTCAGCGTGAGCAGCAAAGGCGAAGACTATCGTGTCCCAGAGGCATTGGTAGTCTTATTAGACCAGAAGATCTGGTTCGCGTTATGTTTGAACCTGGACGTGGGTTTCGCAGAGGCATACATGCGCCGAGAGTTGCAGTGCAACAACCTTGTGGATCTTTTCTCCGTACGTCCTCATAAATTCTGCGAGACTCTGTGGCTTCCATTACTCACACAGGAGTCTTGTTCACCATCTAGATTTATATTCAAAATTGGGCGACTCTAAGCCATGGGAGCCCTTGGTTGCAGCGTGTCCCTCGCATCCTTCGCCTGATGTTTAAGCCTACGAACGACGTCAAGCACGCGCTTCAGAATGCTTCTTCTCATTACGATACGTGGAAATATTGGGAGATCACGTAGCCTCTGCTGTCACAACCCCCGAGCAGGCTCTACCACCTGGCGTCCCTTTGTGACTGATCCTTTTGACATGCCGGTGCTCTAAGCGAGGTATAATGAGCAGAAAGGTGGTTTTCTCGTAGCATCGTACCAATGACATGGGCGCGGAATGGTGCTCGCTGTGTCTCTCGCTCAAGATTTCATTTCTGCGATCAACACCTCGAGACAGGGCTGTGTGAAGATCCTAGATACATGCCACCTTGATATTATGTATTTGATTCGCTAAACATGCGTGGTATCTGCTGCGTCGAATGCCCTAAAGGATCACATGATGGGCATTGTGCGGCCTGTCAGACCACTTCCCAGGCTTCAGGTCAGCTGAACAAGTTACACATCCACGGCTACCTCTACCTATTAATGCCGTTAACACACCTCAATCTTCGGCTCGAAGCAGCTTCTCTCTTTTTGGCACCGTTTCTTTTATTGTTTCAGAAAAGTGGCCCACAGATTTTTGCAAGAGGAGGAAGACATTAGAAACTTAGCTTACCTACTCTCATTTTTTTTATTCAGGTCCTTATTGCTCTATGTACTCCATTCGCCATGGAGGCTTTCCTTCAAAGGGTTTCTTACTATAGAAAGATGCTCCTGACACAGTTCTTCCTCATGGTAAGCGTCAGTTACGGTTTGATCTTGGCAGTCGTCCTTCGACCATGGGGGAAAAGTCTTCTCAGCATGAGCATTGCTGGACGTTTGTTCTATCGCTTGGTGCGTTGGGCGACCGGAATCCGAGTGCAGGTGGTGGAGGGAGCAGAGAGGCTACAACTGAGGGAAGCAGTTTTCGTGGCCAATCACCAGAGGTTCGCTTTTGTCGTCTTCCCCGTCATTTTCGTGTTCATCTCTTAATGGCGACAAATCTGACTGCTTTTTGTGTTTCTCGAGGTGTTAGCGAGCTCGATATCTTCATCTATTCCGGGATCATCCCCAAGTACTGCACTTTGGTAGCCAAGAGTGATCTGAAGGCGGTGCCGATTATCGGATGGTTTTGTGAGGCACCACTACCCCTGTTACTTGATCACAGAAGTTCAAGGCTGAGAGCACTGTTTCAAAGAGACTGACTATTCTGAGTGATCTCGGGTCTGTGTAGTGTCTGCAACAGAGACTCTGTTCGTCGATTTCAAGAACAGCAAGTTGACTATCGATGCATTCAAGAAAGTGGCCATCGAGCTCAGGCGACGTAGAGTAAGTTCGACTCCCTGTCCGTGAAATTCCTCAAATCTATTATATCGGTGACTTTATCGGCAGCTATTCACCCCTTTTGAAGACTTTTCATGCTAAGATCAGCGTGGACAGCATGGCGTGTTCATCTTCCCGGAAGGCGAGCGCTCCTTCTTCCTCAAGCCGAACCTTTTACCTTTCAAAAAGGGCGCATTCCACCTTGCCGTACAAGCTCAAGTGCCTATTGTTCCGATTGTAGTCAACAACTACGCGGATATTGCAGAGAAGCGAAGCAAGACTCTCCGTCCCGGGAAGATTCTGGTGAAAGGTCAGGGTTTGGCTCTTATCCACAGACCGGAGCTTCGGAGACTCTTTGCTAATTTGATACAGTCATGGAACCGATTGATACCAGGGATTATACAGCCGCAGATGTCGAAGGACTTACAACACGGACGAGAGAGAAGATGCTCCAGGAAGTGTTGTCCCTTACTGCACAGGGTAACCCAATCCCCTGTCCCAAGCTGGCTAAAGGAGCGTTCCGTGTGCTGACTGGAGCCTAGAACGGTCAATGGCCAGTAACGGAGAGATATGCATGCCAGTAGACAAAGCGCTATGATATTCCTGAACTTTGCACGGACGCTGTTGAGGCAGTCACAGCGATGATTTTGAAACATTTCCTGAGGCATTCTGCAAATACCTAATTGCAGAATGAATGAATTGCGGCCTTCATTTGACAAAAGATTCTGCAATGAGTACCGCCGCCATCACCACCACGAAGTCAGTAGTTGATGGCAGAGATATGACAGAGACGTCGAATATAGTTTCCGAGCGATTGACTTGAACCCCCCCCCCCTTTTTTTTTTAAAAAAAAAAAAAAAAAAAAAAACAGCTAGTAATTAGTTTCAGATAATTCTCACAGCAAGGACTGTCAGATAGGTGCATAATTGTGCAAACGTGTGCGAGGAGCATCCAAGACTTCTAGCAACCATGTCGCCGCACCGGACAGTTTACAAAGTGTGCGAGGGTTACGAAAACTGTAGCGAATTGTGCTTCCCGTTCCAGGTTTCACAATAGATGCCATCGCCTGCTGCAAAAAAAAAAAAGGAACAAAGAGTCATTGCTTGCAGGGGCCGTATCAGGATTATCAGCATCATTCTATTTGGAGACGGAGCACAGTGGTTAAAAGAACATTTTTGTAAACTCCAAATGCATTTATTTGGTTCACTTTGAGGTGGCTATTGGTCCTCTTGCTTCTGCCCACCCCCATCCACTCGCTGCGTGTCGAATCTTGTCAAACATCCCACTCAAGAACTCACCCAGTCAAGCTCCGGGTGTTATGTTAACGACTGCTTTACCGATTTCAGGTGCAGGCTAGGGACGAGAAAAGTACGCTCGTCCCATTGACTGTGCTCTGCTCCGTCCAACAGCTTCTCATACAGCATTTTTTTATGGAGCTCAAGTAGTATACGCTGTCCGGTCGGTTAAGCCCAGACCTTAAGTGGAAAATCAACCTGGGCTCGCACTTTCCACGACTCATGACAAGACATCGTCACTAGAGGCCTCTCGCTCTATCATCCACTTGAGCTGGACGGCTTGGTTCTCTTTAACAAGCATATTCTTTCGCCCCTGAAACAGAAAGCTGTTCTCCTGTGATCAAGCTCGCCCTATCGCTACACAAGAACACCACAGCTTGAGCCACCTCTGTGGGAAGGCCCCACCGGTTCATTGGGATTGTGTTGATGAGGGCGTTGTAGTTTGCCCCACGCTTGATTGATTCTTGCGTAACTAGGGAAGGTACCGGTCAGCCCCCAAAAAACTAGAGGTAGGGGGGATGTAGAGTAACTTACGGGCGGTCTTGATAAAGCCGGGTAAGACCGAGTTGACGCGTATACCGTCCTCTGCATATGCGACGGCATCAGTTCTGGTTATTCCCAAAACACCTGTTTTCGCTGCGGAATACTGAAAGTCAAAGCAGTTAGCCAGGACTGCAGCCTCGTAGTGGGCAGGCTGATGGTCGAGCACGTACAGCGCCAACCGTGGGATGGCTGATGAGACCAAACAAAGATGATATGTTGACGATTGCACCGCGTTGTGGGGGAGCACCGGTCCTAAGCAATATCAGCCCTATATTTCGTTGCCCTGGCCGCTCTCGAAGTTCAGCCAGGGAAATACTATACACACCTCATGGGCAAGTCAGCTTCCTGCTTCATCATCTGCCTCAACTCGGCTCGTTGGCACAGCCAGACGCCCCGTAAGTTAACCTCCTGGACCCTGTCCCATTCTTCAGTCTCAAGCAAATGAGTCTTGGTTCGGACTCTGCTGGTAACGCCGGCATTATTGACGCAATAGTGGATAGCCCCAAATTTCTTGACACCTTCGGCGACCATGTTCTCAACCTGTTCTTCAGATGATGTGTCACACTTAACCAGGCAAGTCTCCACCGCAGGATTGAGCGACTTCAGCTCCTTGACTGACTCCACGAGAGCTTCATAATTGATGTCGCTCAAGATGAGGCGGGTCACTCCCTCTTCGATAAAGACCTTGGCGCAAGCATGGCCAATACCGGCTGCTGCGCCCGTGACGAGGGCCACGCTTTTGGACTCGGTTAATAATTTTCAACCGTTGGACAATGTATCACATACCCTGGTAATCCACGATACTGCGCTTGAGCCATATCAATCTGATGACGAAGCAGTTAGTTCGAAACTGAAGTGGTCCTGATGTTGATCGGATTCCTCTGTAAAGAATGAAGAGCACGAAGGGAAACGGAACGCGAAGACAGTTCTTAATGCATCGCGCAAACGTCCGCCTTTTCTAACACTCTACTCTTGGTACCAGGCGGGGAGGTGGGTGGTCCACCAGAGGTTAGCCGAATATGCGGGGAAATGTCATTAGGGGCTAAAAGCACAGAGGCCTCACAAACTCATGCGGGCAGGTGATTTCTCGGCTCGAACGGCTGAGTGCACACCCATGGTCTCTTTACCAGAGGGCATCTCGGGAGTGAGGAGCGTCGTCCACAGGAAGACACGATGACCGGAGTCCAAATGCCGAGTCCAGCCTATTGAGGATTACCAATTGATTTGGAGGATGACTGACTGCCTCTTAATATGCGAGATTCGCTCTTTTCGTATTTTGAAGAGTCAACTGTGGTCTATCACCCACAGAAATCCTCGGCAACGGCTAATGCATACCTAGGTAATCACGTTCTCAACCCCCCAGACGTTAGACGTCGAAGAAACGAGCGCTAGACTCACCAGTGCTTTGAGGTTCTTCCAGTGTGCGGAGACGTTGGCTTGGTTGATGGTTCTGAGCGGATAACCTTCGTCGGCTTCATATTCGACGCAATGCCACGAGACACCCCCCTGCAACCCCCAAAAAAGAACCAAACCGTAAACGTTCTGGGTGCAGGAAGTTGTGCTTGAACACCCCAGTCCCTATTCTGCAAGGGAGAGAGCGGCTGCACCAGGCCCAACATCATGGGCCAACGGGACTATGGGGTCGTCTTCGCGACGCCGAAAGTTGAGGTCCTGGTAGCACAAAGGATTTCTGATCATAACCAGGCCATGGAAGCTGTCGGACGCTCCTAGAGCAGCGATGGTGGGTTTTGCTAAGCAACAGATTGAGCCCATCTCCTGCGATTCGGCCGCCCAACCGTCGCATGAGTCCTGCACGAGGCACAGTGAGTCGATCCAGATATGTATGAATAATGCAGTCTTCTTGTCACAGCAATGGCTTCTGGCATCGTATTAGGAAGCGTGTCTAGCTCGAACCACCCCATGGAGCAGGTCGACAGATTGTTCTAGAGCAGCCGTGGAATCTTAACAGTAGCAGAAAACCAGATGCTGAAGGTTGTCTTCAGCGTCAACAAGCAAGATGAGCTCTGAGATGGAAGAGAGGCCAGTATCCAATGTGACGTACCCACAAACAGGAGCCGAGCAGGAAAGCTCGTTGGGTGAACACCATTCTCAGCAGCTTCGCATGGCTTGTGTTCAGCCAGACACCTGCTCAGCCACCACTCGGCAGTGCGCAGTGCCTCATCGTCTCCTGTTGATGCACAAAGCTGAAATGTAGAGCATCAGCACTGTTTCGCCCTGTTAAGCGAGCTGATGTACCGAATACTCTGTCCTCTTAGGCCATGGACTTGTTGATATTGGGCGCTCGGGCGGTAGCTGACGCTAGGATGGAGGAGAAGATACACCGCCGTTGATGGATAAGTCTTTCAAAATTTATTACCAGGTACCGAGTATTAACGGCTGCATTAGGATGACGTGAACCGTACTAGACCCCAAATGGGTATTTAGTGATGGCATCACAAAAGTCAAATCGGCATGACGATTGTCCCGAGTCCTTGATAAGCGAAAGCAATCTCGGTGGAAGGTGGTGGTGGAGGTGTGGCTAGTGAGGCTGGTGGGCTGCGATAGTGGTGGGTGGCTTGCTTTGTGCCTGCCTGCACATGTCCCATGTCCCCCTTCCACATCCGGTTTTCCTTTATCCAAGGGCACAAGATCTCATCCATTCGCAACGCCCTCCGCGTCATCCTGCGAATTCCAGGATTGCGACCAGGCTCAAGAGACTGTGTTACTATGCAAGGACTCCTGCCCTTCTTCACTATGCCGCCCATTTGACTGTTCCAGTTCTACTTCCCCCTGCGCTCCCATCCTCGCTCCCATCCTCGCTCCAATCGCCTGCTGGTGCGGTGCGCAGGCTGTAAGAAATTTCCATCTCACGGCCTGCTGCTTACCTGCAACCTCTCTACCACCCTCGATCCTCGTCGGCCAGCCTGAAATCCTCCAGATGTCCTATCCATACCCTATCCCTCCCACTCCACGAGTTATCTCGCCCTCCCCCACCCCTTCCGAGTCCTCCGAGCGCCAGGACTCCTATTTCGCGCCCGTCACACGCTCGGCCGCCAAAGCCCAGCGCCAACGGTCCCCTCAACCAGATCCCATAAATGAAGAGAAGGATGGCTCTGGCTCAGACTCGAGCTTGGAGAAACGTGCCAGAGCGCGCTCCAGGAGTCCTGTCTTGACCACCACCACGCGCATGAATGGCTCGGCAAACGCCAGCAAGAGGAGACGCATGAGCGGGCTCACTTCGATAAAGCCCGTCACTAAATCAGAGCCTCTCACAAATGGCACCATCCCATACCCACAATCCAACGGCCACCTTTCACCCTACGACCGAGTCAAGAAATCCTGGCGAGAGTTCTCCCGCTCACCTTCACCGCTCGGCTTGATCCCGCTCCACCGCCATTACCGAACTTTGATCCACAAGCATGAAATTCCCCGAAAGCTCCTCCACGTCTCAATTGGATTCTTCACGCTTCGTTTATACATGACAGGTGTACAGACCTGGGCTATAACACCGTGGCTGCTCGGCGCACTCGCCATAATCGCCCCGACCGACGTCCTCCGCCACCACTCAGAACGATTTAATAGATTCTACATCTCTGTCCTGGGCGCTTTGATGCGTGAGACCGAGGTGGACGGATACAACGGTGTCATTTGGTATCTGGTCGGTGCATACGTCGCTTTGCGATTCTTTCCGAAAGATATTGGCGTCATGTCGATCCTTCTATTGTCCTGGTGTGATACTGCCGCCAGCACCTTTGGTCGGTTGTATGGACGCTATACTATTCGCCTCCGGAAGGGCAAGTCCCTGGCAGGCTCCCTTGCCGCGTTTGTTATTGGAATCCTTGTGGCTCTCTTCTTCTGGGGCTATCTGGCTCCGAGAACCGGCCCTTTCGACGACGACCCGATTGAACCTTACATGTTCCAAAACCGCCTGACTCTCCCAACTCAGGTAAAGGAGCTTCTTGGCTGGGGCCCAGATCAGGGCGTCATTGTCGGTGAGGCTGCACTCGCGGTTATGAGTATTTGCACAGGGCTTGTCGCCAGTATCTCCGAGTTGATAGATCTGTGGGGCTGGGATGACAATCTGACGATCCCACTCCTCAGTAGCGCAGGTCTTTGGTTATTTTTGAGAGCATTTGGATAAATCCAATCTTGAAGCCGCGGCGGGACAGAGGCGCATGGATAGGAGAATTACTCTTCTCAGGGCGGTTCTGGTCGGCTTTTACGCGAAGAAAAATAATTGAATATAATGACGACCCCACACAGATTCTTTCGCTCTCAATTTGCTAGACGGATCCAAACCACTACTCAAGTCGTCCATTCGTCCATTCGATTTGTTTGAGTGGTAAGATCGTGTCATCGGCGCTTTCTTCATGTCCTCAAGTCAAGACTTCCCAGAGGTTCTCGACCATGATTTTCATCTGCCCTACGACGCGCCATCAGAGGTCCATCACAGATCAGGTTGGGTGCTTGCGACAAGGTATGTGTTTCTGGACTCAGGTCGAGCTACGGGGCGAGTCCGGACGGTTTGCTAAGGACCGGGCTAGTATTTGGGAAGACTGCGGGATATTGTCACAACTACCCTCATAATCTACCCTCGGAGTATGGCTGCTGTTTCACAACAACACAACCACGCCCACGAGTCTCGTGAAGGATCTACAGACTCCAGCTAGTGCTAGTCAAGCGACTTCCCGCAAAAAGCAGCCAAATTTGAAAGAAAGGAATATGTTCGCTCGAACACCAGCAGTTTGAGGACAACACCTCAACAAAAGACAAACACCCCCTGACCGACCGAGACGATTGCATGATTCACCAATACGTTGTGCTCAATCTGCGAACTCTTGGTGAGTAATCATCCGCGAATCTCAAGCTGTGGAATCTTGCAAAAAAAAAAAAAAAAAAAAAAAAAACCACTTAATAGCTTTGCCTTTTGTGCAGTACACTCCAAGACTACTCTCTATTCAGTGGATTTTTCTTGTATCCACTGAGTATTGCAGCGAAACCTGATAACTCGGTGAGACTAGATAGCGGACACTCAGTAAGTGTACCTGTCTCAAAAGGCCACCCAGTATGGCTATTCTATATATCAAGTGGAGAGGTGTTCTATCGCTGCTCCCTGCTCCCTGCTCCCTGCGTCGATTGTTCATCATTACCTCTACATACCTTCATCAACAGGGACAGGGACTGCGATCCATGTACAGGGCACTCGCGACCCAGCTCCATTCCGTACATCATTTAGATCAATTCCTTCCCGGGCAGCTTTGGCAATTCAAGGCCCCTAGGAGTACTCCATACCTCGTCTTGCTCGTCCTCGGGTCGTTGGCGTGCTTGGCAAAGGTCTCCACTGACGAGGCTGAACCCCCGTGCTCCAGCCAAGTCGGCTCGCCGGCAATGCATCATAAAAAGAACAGCATTATCCAATGGCTTCGCCGCTACTACTGTCTTGGTACGTTCGCGGTGATCAATCAATCAATGCGAGACACTGTGACCTCGGATAATCTCTTTCCAGTAGACTTTGGCCGGCGATCTTGGAGAATGCTTTCTCGGGATTGACCACCATTCCCGCCTCTTCCCCGCAACATCAACGACCCCGAAGCCTGCGGAGACTAATGCGACAGCATTGACACTCCTCTTCGGAGTTTGGTATCTCCAACATAGAATTATGCCTTACGATTCCATCAAGGCAAATCGTCTCGATAAGGAACAGAAAGGTCTCCTCTTCCCTTGACGTGCCTCCTTGAAGTAGCCGTTTCACAGTTGTAGCCAAAATGGCTTCAGGCGCGTCGATCGCATTGAGAATGGTCAGGAGACACCCCAAAATCCGGCATGTCTTCAAGGTCCTCGTAAACCCAACCGCATCGTCACTTCTGCAGTCAAATACATACCAATCAATTCGTGCGATCTCGACTTCCCGGACAACGCCAGCAGCAATCGCTACGCACAACATCACCAGCCCCAAAGACCCACCGAATTTCTCGCCAGAATTCACCTACGGCGCGTACCAAGAGACGGGCGCGACGCCCGTGAAACGAATCCGCTACCCGAAATTCCAGTCGCTGGAGAGCGAGCGGGCGTTCCGCAAACTCCACCATGCCGCTGCGTTGCGCTGGCTGGGGTACCAAGGGTACAACAATGAGGGCGCAGGCGGACACGTCACGGTCCGCGACCCCATCCTCACGGACCACTTCTGGATCAACCCGCACGGCAAATCCTTCTCGTATATGAAGCCCGAGGATCTCGTCCTGATGAGCCCCAAGGGCGAGGTCGTCGAGGGCGGGAACATGCATAGCGTGAATCCGGCCGGGTGGGTGATTCACAGCGCGGTGCATGAGGCCAGACCCGATGTCGTGGCCGCTGTTCACTGTCACAGTGTGCCAAGTAAGGCATTTTCAGCACTTGGCTGTCACATAGAGCCTATTAACCAGGATGCATGTCGGTAAGTGTCAACCTCAACAAGCGTGGGAACGTTGAAAGAGTGCCAAGGAGGAAAGGGTATGTGGCAGAGAAAACGGACGGGCGAACTTGGCTTCCTTTGCCTTTCTCGACTTTGGAGACCATTTCATTCGGGCTTGTGATTGAGCGACTAGCCAAGCACATGTTAATATCGACTCTATCATATCAGATTCTACAAAGACCACGGCATCTATTCCGGCTTTGGCGGGATCGCCTTCGTATGTCACTCCACTCCTCAACTGAAAGTCTCATTCAATCCCTGAACGAGCCAAAATTTCCCACCCCCTCTTAAAGACACCATCTGTCCACCTCTATTTGGTCCAGAGGGAAGGGTGCTGACAGACAGCAAACCAACAGAAGGCGGACGAAGGCCACCACATCGCCGCCGCTCTGGGCAACACAAAGGGCGTGATCCTGCAGAACCACGGCCACCTGACGGTTGCAAAGACGGTCGACGGCGCCGCGTTCCTCTTTGGCGCCATGGATCGCTGCATCCAGGCCCAGTTGCTGGCCGACGCCGCGTGCGCAGGCAGGGGCACCAAGACCATCAAGGTCGCTCACGAGGAGGCCGAGTACTCGCGCAACGTGTACAATGATGAGATGGTGTATATCATGTTTCAATCTGCGTGAGTTAATCTTCCCGCCCTTCTTCCTCGCCCTTCTTTTTCTATTCTGAGTATGATGAGCTTTTAATCGAATCATTAATATCACCAGTCCGATACAATTCCTTTTTTTTTCTAATTCTATTTTACAGATTCGAAGACGTCATCAGGGCGTCGAACGGGGAATTGCCAATGCACGCCCAGGGAGAGCTTCCTCGCGACTGACTGACTGAAGCTGAAGCGAGGGAACCGGAAAATTTGTGGTCTGTGCACGGGTTTGACATTTTCCCACGGGAGAAGGAATCCATCTATGAAGCAAGAATAATGCACTTCCCTCCCTCTATATCTGCTTTCTTACCTACCTATGTCTCTATCTATGGATGCATGGATGTATGTCGGAGTCACTACTGAGCGAGTTGTCCGCTTGATGTCCACACGGACGCCGCTTGTTTGACTGCTTGTTTCCTTCCCTCCACAAAACCAGGTCGTTCGATCGCCTCCATCCTTCCCTCAGCCACTTCCCGGTCCCGTATGTGGCTAAAACGAATAGTACCGCCGGCCTGGCTGGACATCTCCGGGCGTGCGAAAGCGGCTCCAGGCTGTCCTAGCCCCAGAAACTTTCCCCCACTCTATTTTTCCACCTACCATATTAGTACTACCCGGAGAACTGTGGTTCTGCCTACTTGCTTTGCCTTGCGTTGCCTTAGGAAATGCAACCAGAGGTGAGAGGCGAGAGGCGAGACACACCTGAATCGAGAGACAAGAGTTGGCAGCACGCGACGCCGCGAGGAAACGGACCTCAGTCGTGGTTCGGAGTAAAATGGGGTTTTATTTCATCTTTCCTTCTATCTCGCTTTGAGCTTGAACTCGAGCTTCACTTGGGCAATACTATCGCCCAAGGTTCACTCTCTCATTTGGGAAATGGGTCTATGTAGGTACATGGCAAACAGTATATTCTAGGCACTTCGCACTTGTTTTCCAGTCTCAGCCGTTGAGTTCGTCACGCCAGTCGGTCGTCTTCACAGGAAGAGCGGGAGCAAGAGCAAGAGGCGTAGGAGGAGGACTTACAGAATACCGCTCACGCACGGCATCCTGCCAGTCAGGGATGAACTCGGATCGTCTCAAAAGACGGTGCCGGCGCCGTATTTCCAGCGTGTCCAAAAAAAAAAAAAAAACCAAAAAACAGAAACGTCACCATCCCCCGACGTCCCTTCTAGACCGCCTGCCGTCGCTGGCCGAATTCCCCTGCCCCCTGTCCTGCATTCGCTGCTGCCTCTGCTCCGCCATCTGGCTCGCCGTCCATGTCCCGCCCAGGCCATCACGCACTGCTACGCCCGGCCTGCCCTTCCGTTCGGGTCCAGGTGCATACGTCTGCATCAAGGGGACTCCTCGCGCGTCGGGCTGCATGATCTCGACGAAGCGGCGCAGCGCGCTGCTTGGCGAATGTGACTTTGAGGCGGGAGAACAGGCCCAGGCCCTGATTTCCCGCGGAGACCCTGCTCGACGATACCGGTCGACGGGCCGAAGGTCGAAGATTGGGAATGGGGCCCCGATCCCCAGCATTATCAGGCCAACCGTCGCGCTGTAGGATGTACCGCCCCTAATCGGCGTTTCGTGGGTCGACGAAGCGAGTGACGCCACTGTTTAATAGTGAAACTGTCGCTCCCCATCGGCGTGTTCATAGATCGACGGACAGAGTGACGCCGCCGTCTAGTAGTGAATCCGTCGCTCCTGATCGGCGTTTCGTGGATCGACGAAGTGAGTGACACCGTCAGGGTGTGAACCTCACAGTGGATGACAGTATCCCAAGGGTGGACCTTTGCCCTCCCAACCTGGGTCTTCACAAATCGACGAAATAGGCGACGCGAAAAAGGACTGTAGACCGTCTTCGGGACGACGGCGTCTTAGGCGAGACGTCTTTCACTTGAATAGCTATCAGTCAGTAAACACCATACAAAAGGAGACAACCACCTGTCTATTACCTGTCTCTTTCTTTTGTGCAACCGCAACCCCCCACAGCAGCTCAAGCCTAAGCATTGCGGTCTCATTGACCACCCGTTTGTTATTTGAACGTAGATGGAGACCGGTACCCCAATAGCACCAGAGTCGAGGTCGACCACATCCCCGTCGACAGGCTATAGATGTCCGGGGCCACGATGTAGAGCTCGGTGATGATACCGAGGATGGACGATGAGGGTGAGTCGGAGGAGGACATGGTCTGAGCAGAGAGGAATGAGTTTGCAGATATGAGGTTTTCAAACACGATTCTGGGGGAGTTTTTTTTGGTTTGTTTCTTTCTTTCTTTCTTTCATGTCTGAGATGGGATTTATATACAGTTGCTTGAAAGTTTTCGGCCGGATGACGACCAAACGCACCATGACGCCCTCCATGACGCCCTCAATGACGCCCACCCGGCGGCGTCGGCGCGAGAATTCTTAGCAATACCTAGCTGGCGAGAACCCAAATATATTCAATCGATGTTTGTGAGCGAGCAGGACGGTGCTCGATGGAATCGGCGTCCTCCATCACCGAGCGAATATCCTTGGACGAAGAGGATCGCTGAGCTTGCTTTGAAGAGCGCACAAGATCTCCATGAACGGTGCGACCATGTTCCCGTATCATGACCCAGACTGCGCAAACTCAACGAGGTCCAATTTTCTCCAAACCGCCCATATACTTTCTCAGGACCTGGGGGAGAACAACGCAGCCTTCATCCTCACGCCAGCCATTCTCCAAGATCGCAGCAAGAACTCTCGGGATTGCTATGGCCGTCCCGTTCACCGTGTGCGCAAACTTCTTCCTCGATCCATCAGGCTCCAAGATCCTCGTATCTAATCTGCGACTTTGGTAGTCTGTGCAAATGGAAGCGGATGTAACTTCGCCCCATCCCTCGTCCCGTTTCTTCCTCGAGGGGAACATTGCCTCGATATCAATCTTGCGATACGCACTAGCACCCAGATCAGAAGACGGCATCTCAAGGACTCGGCAGGGCAAGCCAAGTGAAGACAGGATCTCCGTTTGTATTTCCACCATTTCTGCCAGAAGTTGGCCTGAATACTCTGTCCAGCTTGCCTCATCTGTTAAGCCTCCATTGCTGCTGCTGGGAGATGGGCAGTCAGTCCACGCGAACATCTCAACCTTTGTAAACTCATGCACACGGTACAGACCCTTGGTGTCGACTCCGCGAGCACCAGCCTCGGCACGGAAACAGCGGCTTGATCCAACAAGCTTGATAGGCAGACGTTCTGTAGGGATGACTTTGCCAGCATACATTCCTGCGAGAGGAATCTCAGCTGTTGCAGCAAGACTCCTGGTGGGTTTTCCCAAATCCTTCTCAGGCTGCGCTATTTGCCAGATCTGTTGTTCATCGTGTTGGTCTCGAGGTTGGAAACCGCAGGCGGTGGCCATGTGAGAATAGATGAGGGACGGAGGGGAGACAACAGACCAGCCCCGCTTCATGGCGACGGATAATGAGTACTGAACCAGAGCTTGTTCCAGTAAAGCTGCCTCATTCAGCAGGAAGTAAAACCCCCAACCAGACGTCATCGAGGACGATGCGAAGTCGAGCAGACCAAGCTTCTCACCAATTATCGAGTGATCAGCCGAAGGGCCATACTGCGGAGGACTATCTGGGTCGTAGTTGATGTAGGATCGTAATCCAGGCTCACCACTGGTCGGTGTATTTGAAAATGTCAGGTTGGGCAATGACAAAGCCATGGTGCGTGTCTCAAGTTCTAGTGCGTCATGCTCAGTTTGAAGAGCGTCGACTTCTGGCTTGATAGATTTCATCTGCGACACGATATCCGCCTTGTTTCCTTTTGTGGCATTCAATTGCTTCTGCAGCTCTTTCAGTGTATGACGGGATCCGACCATGCGTTGATCAAGCTCTCTCATCTTTCTGGCATTATCCGCCACTTGGTGCGGAATATCCTGATGGCTGCCATAATTTCGCACCAGGCAGTTTCGTTCGTAGAGCTCGACATTGTCTCGAATCTGGCTGAGAGGAGGATATTGTCTCGGCGCAGTCGCTGGTCGAAATTCTTGGTAGACGGGGTTTGTTGTACAGTATGCCCTTCTGCATCGAAGCAGAAACGCCCTGGCTTCGAAGGCTTTCCTAGGCATCAAAGCTTGCAACGTCGTCTATACAGCAAACCTTTGAAAATGCCACGGTGAAGAAAACGCGGTTGACGCGCTTCTAAAACTTCTCCGCAGCTTCAATTGAGGTCAGATGCGGCCAAGCCCACGTCCTAATCAGGTATGGTCGCTGCTCCCACCCCACAGCCTTGCGAAGTCCAACAGCGGGCAACGAACTACCGTACTCTGTCTGTATCGGACTCGTATATCTCAGAATTGAATGTGCCGGCTGCAAGTGGTAAAGGCAAAGTCCAGCAATTGCTGATGCAGATTCAAGAGGCAAGCGTTATTCCCTGCTTACAGCCTTTCGATGACGCTCATAGCTTTTCAGAAAGACATATGAGGAATGTGTGGTTCCATACTTGTATTCGAGTGCCAACGGCCGTTAGGAAATCCTATGTATTGTACACATTTCATTCGGGGTCCAGAGCTATCAATGTGGACCCCATTACCTGCTCTTTGATTTAATGTCGAGCCTCACCCTTGTGCTCAGCCTCCAGGCGATCAGCATAGATGCTGAGGGATTCTCCAATCAAATTGACCATCTGCCACACGCTGCTCGATTGATACAGCTTAGCCCAGAGCCTGACAACCATGCCACTCAACCGGACCTTCTGTGTCAGGATTCGGTCGCAACTCATTTTATATTCAGTCTCAGCCACGAGCTGGACCACAAACTCGAGCACCCTCTGTTCCGCGGGCGTCAGTGGAGGATTCGGATCTGGCATAGTGACGGCTTCAAGCCACTTTGCGAGCAGCACCGCACACTCCAAAGAGCATAGCGCATGCTGGTTTGACCACAGAATCAGTTGTGTCTGGGCAACATAGTTGATTCCAAGCTTCACTGGAATACTGAGGGCGTGTGCGCAATGGAGTGCTGCCCGCGTCATTTTGTCGCTGCGTTGGACTTTTGGGCTTTGGTGCAATGAGTTAGCGACTGTAAACGGATCCCAGCTGCTGAGTGACCTCACAGGGCCAAGATCCATGTTGAGCCGAATATAAGCTAGCCGAAGGAGTGCGGTCGATGTGAATGTTACAGGGCCGTGTGGACTTAGCGGGTCCATTGATGATTCCTGATCACGTTCCCAGTACATCGCCCATCGTTTCAGCGCCCGTTCAAAGACATTCATTTCCTCGTCCGAGAGGCTGCTTGAATCTTCCTGCACGACTGGCAGTCGTGCATTCCGAGCCAACCAAATATGTTGAATGACGGCATGAATAAGAGCACAGCCACCAAGAGCAGAGAAGCCTTTCGTGATCATCTGGGTCGAGCCATTCCACTCTCCTGGGTTTGCAAAGAGACAAGAGAAGGCGTCTTGAAAGTCTTGACGAGGCGACCTCGATTCAGCGCGGGCTTCTCGCCAGTCTAGCTCGTTGGCTGCTTTCCACTCTTTCTCAGAACAAGGGAGATCGAGCCGTAGTCCACTTGCGAGCATCATGGGTGGTAGGTCAAAAAGAATTGTGTGAATATTAAAGAAACAGAAGACCACCAGGAGGGTTCTTTTGATGGTCTCAAATCGAACCCACTCTCGCCACTCCTCCGACGATTGTTCTTTAGTTCGCGATAACTCGTCATCTTGAATGAGCGAGTGTAAGACACTCCGGATAGATAGCGCGTCGGTTACTGCTGGCTCGCGTCTGTACCAGGACGCAATGGCAATCAGAAGCAGTAAAGTCTGCACCATCTCAACCACGCAAAATCCTTCGTCCCTTTTACAATTCGAGTCCAGATTCGCGGCGGAATTGGAGCCGAGTCGCGTATCGCTCCTGGAGAAAGAAGTATTCTGTGCCCTCTGCTCCAAAGACATGTTAGCTTTTCTTCTCTGGCGTCTGCGAAGACGCTCCAAGACGACCGATCTCGAGACGCGGAACAGCTCAACGCCCATCTCTGGCTCCCTGGTGTAGCGAGCACCTAGGGCCGCGATTGCCAAGAGCAATTCCACATGGATACTGTCCATTCGCAAAGTGGCGACGTGGAAGAAGGGATAATGCGCATGAAAGTTTTTGAAATATCCACCTATCAGCCGCGACAAGGCGTGTCGGGAGGGAAGAACAAAATCCCCATCTATGCAACCAGAGAACGTCGCCAGCTCATCAATTATGTGCTGTCGACATTCAGCCGAGATAAACAAGTCGCGACTGTTCAGCCTCGTGGGGCCCTGCGGATGAGGTCCAGTTTGCGGAGGCTTGTCCTCAGGAGCCAAGGATGGCAGCCGAGAGCCAAAACGTGAGATGGACGCGTCAACGGCCCTTATATTGGCAAGGGACAATGGTGTCGCTTGTATCGTAGTAGTTGCCGTTGTCTCATCATGCGAGTTTTCGCCCTCTTTGAGATCGTTGGTGTTTTCAAAAACACCGGCCAAGGGCAGATCCAAATTTGAAAAGAACGCCGGCAGGGGTTGGTAGGTTGGAGAGAATGGATGAGTGAGATTAGGTACGCTGTCCATGAACGCGGCAAAGTCTTGTGTATAGGCTGGCTCGAGCGCATCGAAGCCGCCATCATCAAGACCCAGGCTCATTGAATAATCCGGGACGGGTGCGGAGAAAGGTTCCTTGACTCCCTGGCTTGAATTGTTGTCATTTGGGTGGCCGAAGAAGCGCGAAGGTAGGTGTTGGAGCTGATCAATGTGCTGCTGTTCTCCCCTAGTACTACTCACGAGAGATTGCGTGGCAGGCGAGACCACATGGGGCTGGGAAGAAAGAACTGAGGTGGGCACTGAATGGTACTCGGTCCAGTTCACCAGAGGGAGCGGCGCTGGTAACAGTGGTTCGGGCCTTGATTGTACATGATTTTGTCGAGGGCGCGCCTCTGAGGGCGACTGATGTGATAAGCGTATATGACGGGTCAGCAGATCCCTTGTTCTCAAGTCAGCATTCGCGCCAACAGCAAAATAGTCTCTTGGAGGCAGCAGCATACTTCCGGGTGAACCCCTTTTGACATCGGGGACATCGAAATGGCTTCTCCTTGGTGTCTCGAAACTCGGTCAGCCATTGATCCAAACAACTATGTTCAGTTTGCCCTACGCGATCTCTCGTGGCGTTGGAGATGTTCCAGGCGGGCAAAACCACGATTACAACGGTGGCACACGAATGATTTGGCCGGGGTGGCGAGATTCGTTGTCATGGCTCGCGCATTTCTGGTCGAGGAGAGATGGCACTGGTGGCAGTGGGGAACTGACAATGGATTCGGGGAAGAGGCTATATTCTTTAAGATGAAAATTGGAAGCTGAGGTTGGATGTTTAGAATGCGGGGCATTTGGCGCGGGCTGGCGGCTGGCGGAGCCCCGGAAACACGGCTAGTCCCTAGCGTGCTGCGGGCATCAACGAGGCTGCCAATCCCAGAGAGTCTCCGCTTCTCCAAATCCTCCAAATCGGAGACACATCAAGACATGCATCAACAATGTCCCATGGTCATCGGCACTATCGGCAGTGACCTTGCTGACCAGGGACATACGCAACCAGTCTCACCCTCACTCCCAACCCTCCCCTCGATGGCCTGTACAAGGCCTCACCAGCAACTAACTTATCAGGCCCCTCCTGTTCACTCCAATCATCCATCCCACGTTTCATGCATGTCGCCCATTACCCAACACTGGCCCTTCCCCGAGATTTGCATACCTCTCCCTCCCCCCTGGTAGCTGATGCTCCTACATACACTACGGCTCTGATTGTAAGATACTGAAGTCATTCGCTTCCACATTAGGTTGCCCACAGTCTCCTGCTTCACTTCCGCGAGTGGCACATTGCCAAATATATATCGCGAGTCGCACCAAATTATAGGGCGAGAGAGAACACAAAAACCCAACCCCGATCCCAGCACGAGACTGAAATTTGTGAGGCCCTCTGGCAACGGCCATATCCCGATATGCGAGCACAGGTGTTGGAGGCGTTCAACACGCCTTACAAATTCAAAGACGTCCCAGTACCGCCAAACCCAACCGGTCAAGATATTCTGGTCAAGGTCGGAGCGGCATCTTACTGCCACACTGATGCTGTCTTTGCGTCTGGTGCCATGTGGCAAGACCTGCCCCGGATAGGATCACACGAGTTTGCTGGCACGATTGTTGCCATGGGTCCGGATGTTTCACCGAAACTGAATCTGAAGGTCGGCATGCCAGTTGGCGTTCCGGGTCGGGCTTTCCATCCTTGCGGGTCGTGTTACGAATGCCGCAATAACGACGGTGACCCAGAAAAGTATGGGGTATGGTGTCCTGAAGCTGGCAACCTAGGTCTCTCGGCCAATGGCGGGTTTCAAGAATATTGCATTGCGGATTCTCGCCAGATCGCCCCCATGCCAGAAGGTATGACGGCTGTTGACACCGCTCCCCTCATGTGCGCTGGTCTGACTATCTGGAATGCACTCGAGAGAGCGGGAGTTCAGATGGAAGCAGGAGGTGGAAAAGGGCTTACGATTGCCATTTCTGGTGCTGGTGGTGGCCTTGGTCACCTGGGAGTACAGTTCGCTATTAAGCTGGGATGCAAGGTCGTAGCCATTGAAGCGTCTGACCCGGCTTTGGCTCTTCTGAAGGATGTCGTCATGGATCTAGGACCGCTAGGGAGCGGTGTTACCATTGTTGATGCAAGGCAGCAACCTGCAGAGGACGTTCGTGTGTCAATTTTTGGGTCTCCGGAGCCTAATTTGGAAGGCGAAAAGGGGGTTGATGGAGTACTAATTCTTCCTGAATCGCAGAAAGCTTTCGAATATGGGATGAAATTGGTCAAAAATCATGGCATTTGTGTGACCGTTAGTTTCCCCAAGGAAGGTTTTCATATGCAACCACGAGACCTCGTGTTCCGCCACATCTCCATGGTTGGAGTCTTGGTTGGCAGAAACCGACAGCTCCGAGCCATGTTGAATTTCGCAGCAAAGGAGGGCGTGAGGGCCAAAGTAACTACCTACAAATTGGAGCAACTAAACGAACTGGTGGAGGACTACCACAAAGGTTCAAGCGGAAAGCTGGTGGTGGACATGTCTAAGTGAACCCAGTTGGCTTTTGCATGCTATTTTGCGGTTCTATCGCTTACTGCGGACATATGTGCTATCACTGCAGAGCATGAATAGAAAGGGCAGACAAATTATTTGCAGGCTTTATAGAAATTGCTTCTTCAGCCTTATGTACTATGTAAGTTTCCTGGGCCTGTAAGCGTTACAACTCTAGTCTTGCCTTTCAAGTTCACGGTGAAAGTTATTTGCATTTGAAAGATGTCGCTCTAGCAAATCGAATAGGTAGAATACGATGTAAGAGGCCGATGTTTGTTGCTGAGAACTGTAAGTGACAACGTCTTTCGAGAACAAGTGACTTCATCCCCGCTAATTGACACAGACCAGAGCATGGATCGGTAACATTAGTCTCTCGATCGTGATTTGATATCTCTTACAATTTGTTTCGAGAAGGTCACTGTGCTCTTGAACATGGACTTCCTTCATACTAGCCCACTCGCATTATCCAAGCGAGGCCGAACCCCATCGAAGATGTCAGAGGATCTGACATGCATTCATTCAACTGTGCTCCAATTTGGGGACCTTGGATCTGTGTCTGATTTCGACGTTTCGAGACGAATCGAGACCGTCTCGAGATATCCGATCAGGGAGGCGCCTCGGATATCTCGCATGCTAGCCATTAAACTAACCGTCTCCGAATCCCGGTGCTCTGGAGTGAACGAATTTTCTGAAAATTGTGGATTTCTCACACAATCCAGCCTCGTGAGTGATTTTCAGTTGAGCCTTGTCGGAATATCCTTTCCGTCAAGCCATAGCTCCAAGTTCAACGCTGTATCCTCATACCATCGATTCATGACTCCTTCTTCGACGTATCCCATGTGTGGGCTGAGCAGCACTTGGCTTCTGCCATCCTTTCCCCAAGCAGTTGTTCGCCATGGGCTTTCCATCGGCAACGGCTCTACTTCATACACGTCCAAAGCCGCGCCCTTGATCCTGCCGTGGATTAAAGTTTCCAGCAAAGCTTTCTCGTTGACAAGAGGCCCTCTTGAGGTGTTGACCAAGAGTGCGGAGGGTTTCAACCAAGCGAGCTCTCGCTCTCCCAAGATATCTCGGCTTCGTTCAGACAGAACATAGTGAATGCTTAACACGTCCGCTTCCTTGAGCAAGTCTTCTTTACTGGCGGCCACCTTGAATGTTCCCGGGGGAAGACCAAACGATTTGGCCTTCTGCTCGGCGGCTTCCTGGGTGAGATTGCTAGACCATGCTAGAATCTTCATTCCAAAGGCCCACACACCTCCTGAGGCAACTCTTGCACCTAAGTTGCCAAAACCCAACAGACCTAATGTTTTTCCCTTCAAGCCTGTAGCTGGAGAAATCTCCCAGAGGCCAGACTTGATAGCCGCATCGTCGCGAGCAATATTCCGAGCAATCCCCAGGATGAGTGCCCAGCAATGTTGCAAAGTGGAATCAATTGACGTCGGCAAACTCACGTCACCGGACTTCCCAATTCCCTTTGCACCGGCAACGATTATGTTCTGTTCAGCACAAGCGGCCATGTCAATTGCCGAATTCTTCATTCCTGTAGTCAGGAGCAATTTGAGGTTGGGAAGAGATGTGATCACATCTTTCGGCAACGGTGTTCGTTCTCGCATGGTAGAAATAACGGTAAAAGGTCGAAGGCGTTCGATTAGGGCATCCTTTTCCACCTTACCGCTGGGATTGATATTATCAGAAAAGGTGGTGACTTCAAGCTTGGCCTGCAGATGAGAGAATTTGGCTACAGCAATACCCTGGTAATCATCCAGTATGGCTAAACGTATCTTTGAGGTCGCCATGGTTTGTTATGTCAATTGCCTGTACGGGGCCAAAATGGGCCAAATACCAAATCTTCAAGTTCAAGGCGCTCTCACAACGATGTTCTCGCACTCACGCTCTTGAGTATGCGTCCACATGCTGGCGCCGACCTGGACAAGTTAGCCGTTGTAGGTGCCCATGAGGCTCTCCACGGCTATGGTAAGAATCAGCTTCCCCAAATCGGAGGCTTATTGTACACGTTTGATATCCGTTCAGGCTGACCTAAGGATACGCTGAGTATGCAGGTCATCTGCAGATCTGTTGATACGCCCCCGAAATGGACGACTGCAGCCCCCCAACTTGGAGACCGCTGCATCGCTGGATGGCACGGAGATAACTGCATGGAGCACCATTCAAACTTGACAACGGCAGGTGCAGTCGGCGATTTAAACAGTTGATACTTCTTCATGGCTTGTCAGTCTCATTCTAGTCAGTCTTATTCTAGGGTGCATTTTCCCCATTGAACGACCTCACCAAAGAGATTTCCCAAAGTGCCATATTTCTCTCCAGCATGCATCCAGCGATCGGATTCTTCTTTGTTGCCTCTGTGATTGCGCTACTCATTAGGTGGGCCAATAAAACTGATATCCCTAAAATCAAAAACCTTCCCGAGCTTCCCGGAGTGCCCATCTTTGGGAGTCTGATCCTTCTGGGGAAGTATCACGCCAGAAACTGCGCTAGATTGGCCAAGACGTATGGCGATGTCTTCCAAGTTCGCCTGGGCAGCCGCGTAAGTGAAGCCTCCTCGGTGGTATGTTGCATGTCGCTAGATCATACTGACTCTTCATGTCTCCTAGAGATTCATTTACGCGAACTCATTCGAGTCTGTGAAGGAGCTGTGGATTAAGAATCAGTCGGCACTCATTTCTCGACCCAAATTCTGGACATTTCATGATGTGGTTTCACAAACCCAGGGAGTGTATACCTTGGGAACCTCGCCGTGGACTGAATCCCTCAAAAAAGCCCGTAAGGCAGCAGCTACGGCCCTGAACAGACAGGCTGTTCAGACATACCTCCCATTCATTGACCTTGAATCCACGGCCAGCATCAACGAACTGGTACAGGACATCAAAAATGGCTACGACGTCGACCCTAACGGTTATTTCCAACGCTTCTCCCTGAACATCAGCCTCACTTTGAACTACGGCATCCGCATCCAGGGCACTGTCAAAGACAGCACTCTCAATGAAGTCGTTGCCGTAGAGCGAGAGCTGGGGAACATCCGCGGCATTGCGCACAACTGGCAAGACTATGTGCCTTTGCTCCGACTTCTACCAGGTTACAAGTCGAATGCGATCAAATTCCGAGGACGAAGGGACGAATACATTCTTAGCTTCTTCAACCAGTTGAAGGAGCGGATCGCGAACGGTACTGACCACCCTTGCATCGCCGGCAACGTCTTGAAAGATCCAGAGGCCAAACTAGCTGATAGTAAGAATCCAAATCGTGCTGTCTATCGGCGGTTGGTGGCTGACTGAAGACTAGATGAGCTCAAATCGATCTGTTTGACCATGGTCGCTGCCGGTCTTGACACATTACCTGGAAATATTAACATGACAATCGCTTACCTCTCGTCACCACACGGCCAGGAGATCCAAGCACGAATGTACGACGAAATCATCAAATCGTACCCCGGGCAAGACCCATGGCATGCATGCTTGTATGAAGAGACGTCAGAACATGTTATTTCCTTCGTGAAGGTGAGTATCAGAACTGCAAAAAGCGTATACACCTGCACCAAACCAGAGCTGACTGGTGGCCTAGGAGGTCCTTCGCTTCTGGTCGACGCTTAATTTGTCCTTCTATCGCCAAAGTGTCAGTGACATTACTTATAAGGGTGCCGTCATCCCCGCCGGGACGCCTTTCTTGATGGTACGAGATTAACACCTCCCGCAGGCTTTATTCCCCGTCGTGCTAATGATTGATATCGTAGAACATGTGGGCCGCCAACCACGATCCTGCGCACTTCAAGTCACCCATGGAATTTACCCCTGAGCGCTTTATGGGACAATCTGGTGTCGGGGAAGGCACACAGCACTTCGGCTATGGCGCCGGTACCCGGATGTGCGCGGGTGCTCACCTCGCCAATCGTGAGCTGTACATCATCTTCACTCGCCTGATTCTGGCCTTTCACATCCACGAGGCCACCAATCCCAATGACAGGCCGATCCTTGACACCATCGAGTGCAACTCGGTGCCGACAAGTATGGTCACCCAGCCCAAACCGTTCAAGGTCAGATTCATCCCTCGCGACCTGAACCAACTTGAGACCTGGATCAGTCGCAGCTATGAGAACACTGCTCACCTGTGAGCACGCAAGGCCCGCCAGCTTATGATATAGAATTATTAGACATATCCTGATTGTCTGAGCTGACGTGGACCGACTTTGGGTGCCTGCTTGGTCACTAAGCCAGCCGACCATTTTTTTCCGCATAAGAGCTGACCACCATATGCGTGAGACATTCACCGCCGAAGGAAGAATACTGAATTCCGCCATTTTCTGGTCTGCGATTCAGTGGGCCGCATTGATATGACACGTACGACGGCATGGTTTTAACATTGGCCGATAATTAGGCTTCTCCAGCGACTGACCAACAATATGGCTGATCCAAGGAGGCAAGAACATTTGGCCTGGTGGGCCTGCGAGACAAATTTTCTTTTGGAGGCCTGACAAGCACGAGATGCGAAGTGAATAGCTATGACAAACAATCCTTATGCAGAATAACTCCGAGAAGTGAGGTTTAGCCAAGCATGGACGATGAATGTTGGCGCTTTGACCTACTACTCGTACCCCCAAGATCTTTGAGCTTAACCTATATACGTAATATTACCTAGATTACTCGTGAGGGACCGCAAATAAGCCTTTAGCCGAATATCACTAAGCGCTTGGAGAGGACTCCTGGAGTACTCCGCAACTAATATATCGAGAGTCTAATCTCGTCTTCTAGTAATGGACTGAACGATCTCTCTACTACAATTTTGCCATTAAAATCATATAAACTCGTTAAGATTTACGTGTTTGCTAAAGCGCATAAAAATCGCACCTAGAGATGTATGACAATCACCACTAGAATAGCTGCGACAGCCTTGCTCATCAGAAGACCGGTAGGCGAGAAAGCATCGTTGCTGTTATAAAGAACGGACAAGGCTGTTGTGAAGGAGAAGACGGTCGGGAATGTAATGAAAAGATCCATTTCTGCGTCGGGGATCTCGCGAGAAGAATATTCTCATGCTCGGTACGTGAATGAATACCGGTGTTATGAGGGAAGATTCTCAATATCATGGTTCTCATTAGTTCTCGAAGCCTCCTTCCCGGGAGACTGTTTTACAATTGCCCTCCGTCTTTGGTGTTATTTGCCTCACACCATAATCGCAAAGTCTCGCAACTTGTCGATGGACTATTTGTCGATCCATCTGCGAGAGACGAACAAGATCTGTCAAGATCAGATGCCTGCTAGCGCTCACCAACAAACAGGTTCAGTCGTGAGCCAGAGATAGGCCTTCTCCGATCTGAAAATGGAAAGCCTGGCATTTTGACAAATTTCGCAACAGAATCAACGAGTTGGTCCCTTATAGCCAGATAGTGAAGCTCGACACCAGGATCAAACCCAGGACACTGCAAAAAACTCATCTGTTAACACCGACAATCCTAGTCTTAGAGGACTGGTGTTAGCAAAGGAAACCATGCGACAGCCTCCTGATCGACGTCAAATCGTTGAGATCTCAAGATGAGTGGCGTTTGTGAGGACTTGTGCTGCTCTCATTTAGTCCTTGAAGAGTCATATCCTTGCAATTGTCACATTCCCTCTGCTGACTGCCTTCACCCTCTCTGCTGATGATCCTATTAGTCCGTTATCTAGCATTGGCCTTAGCAACGGGGCTCTCGTGTTACCTATTCTAATTCTTCTCTATAGGTGTACCTTTTCCGCAGCAGCAGACACACTCTGGCAGAAGCTCCAGTGGTGTCGTCTCTTTGAGAAAGGAGAGCCACTCCTAATGTGGTTTTCGCTTGACTGCGTGAATACGGGACTGTTGCAGATCTTCGCTTGGGGCGGGCTCAATAATGCTATGATACGGCATTCACTCGTACAAAAGGCCAATTCAAGAAGGCCGTCGGGCATCCCAAACGGTGGAGTTTCAAGGTAGTGATTTTGGCCCCAAAGTGAAGGGTTTGAAGCTATCAATGATTGGATTTTTCCGAGTCTTTCTAGACTGATAGCAATTGCTTCGCCGCAGTTACCTGGTCTTATCATCATGTGTAAGAATCTTAAGTTACCAGCAGACAATCACTAACTGACGTTCCTCGCTCAAAAGCAAGCTTTGATCCCAAGACCTCTTATGTACTAAACGGATGAGGGCATACCAGCGGAGGAATCGGAATCTTCAATGCCGCCCTGCCAACTATGGCTGGCACCGATACAGAGGTGGCTCAGCTTGTAACAACTGCCTTCCAAGACACTCTGTTCCACATCCCTGGTGATGCTTGGGGCAGCAACTGCCGAAACTCTGGATGCTCTTGTCTGCCCTGTCTCATTCCAAGCTGATGTCTGGGATGGACCAGAGAATGACTGGTGGGATCAAGGATGGTACGACGTGCTCGGCGTCATTCCAAAAGAGATCTTTCAGCTGTGTGTAGCTGCATCTGGCGAGGCTCCAGATGTATTAGTTGCTGGTGATGTAGACGCTTTCTGTCTCCACGAAAACTAGCTGACCTGAATCTCCTTCTAGGCTGGCGAGCTTGTCCATCAACCAATGAGCCAAGTGGAGTCTCCTAGTTGCACTCAGCCGTGGGAAATCATCCCGATGTTGTGGGCTACGTCTATATCTATATGCCGGAGAACTGCAGGGTCACAGCCTCGCGAGAAACTTCCTGGATTCTTGAAATAAAGGATATAGGTCCGCCACACATCCAATCCATCCCAGTAAAGGACCTCGCTACCGCATTCTGTGTTGTCCTTGTGCGATTTATTTAGCGGGTCCAGTTACGAATGGAGTACTGATGTCCCTAATTTCCAGCTTACGGCAAATATCCAAAACGAAATGAAGGTTATGTGGAGGCTCCAGCGAGCTCGGCTCCGTTGGATCACCTACGAAACTTATTTGCCACTTGTTTATATACCTTCACACGAACACTCGTGTATAATACCACTGAAACCCCCGACAATTAAACGATCACTCACATATTTCCAGGGTTGCCCGACGAGAATTATTTCAATGATTCGTAGTGTGGATCATGTTGTTCCTCAGAGATGGACCGCTATCGTGTACACTATGATATCGGCCTGCATCCTTGCTACCATCATCTGAGGCCTATTCTGAATGGAAAACATGAGGGCCCAGAACAGTCAGCGTGCTCGTTCGTCGACATATCACGACTGCGATGGGAAAAGACCGGTGGAGGAGCTGGATTAGATCTTCAGCAAGTCTTCGAGCGCGCAAATTTAGATGACGACTGGGATATAATGAAAGCAGCGGAAGTGAAGGTGTTTTTGAAACATCTGACTCATAACCTCCGACAAAGGCAATCCTGGGTGTATCTGTATATACTTGGATCGAGAAGCCTCCAGTCCTGTTACGGACAGGGCAATATATGGCGCTGGATTGCTGCTGTGTGCTTTTATGCGTGTCCTGGGAGGAAGAAAAGAAGCCACTTCGGATGCCGACCCAATCATCTCCTTAAGATTACCACATATAATTGCATTCCATATCGCGACCATTGGAATTATACAGCTGGTGCCATACGGAGCATTCCCAGTCGTTGGCCTGCTGATTCACTCCCAGGCAATTAGCATGCCTCGTTTGAATTTTGTTTTCGCTCAAAGCATGTGCATATCGCTTCTTGGTTAGTTATGCTTGTTTCCTTCCTTGCCTCTTTGACTCTAGATGTATCCCAGCTAAGAGGTGAATCAGTAGAAATAGAGCTTTGTGGGCTGGAGTGTCCTCCCTATGCTCGCTAACAAAGCTGTGTACCTGGCCCACGAGGGGTAGAGCGGAAATGGTGTATTATCTAACCCCGAGCCGTCACCCCCTCACCCCCTCTCTCCAGGCTTTTGCCGATTTACGACCCGCACAAAAAAGCAAGGATTATATATTGGTCTCTCCCATTTATCTCCGAGTTGGCTCACGAATCGCACACAAAGAAATGTGATTCTTCAACACCGCTCTGCACGGTGGCGTGGCCTAATGGTAAGGCGTTGCTTTCCGGTTATTTATCTGGAGCTTGGAGTGTGGCAAAGACTGTGGGTTCGAGTCCCATCGCCATCGTTTTGTTTTTGTGGCCTTTAGAGCCTCTGCCAGCCTTATTTTTAAGCTAAGAGGTTTCCATAACAATAAAGAAGTCGATTTATTCCTTCACTATATTCGAAACTGAAGGTGCTAGGTCGGTATTTTTATTTCTGCGGATAGTCTTAAGTTTGGGTGCTACGAAGCGGTCAATATTATCTACTATCACTTTAGAGGGAAGCAGTGGAAAGGGATAGAAGTTCTGCGGGTTTGGAGGTTGTTAATTTGACAATGTGGTATTTATTTTGTCCATCGGCTCACTTAGTCCAGTGTCTTAATAGCCAAAGTCGACTATGTCCGAGAGAGAAGTGGATCGAAGTCTAGACGAACGTGACGCCTTTAACGCCATGAAATTTACTTTCCCCCTTGACCTTCTGAGAAGGCCAAATTAGCTAGAGCCTGAGCAGTCCATCAATGACTATTTACAGATGCCATGGTAGCCTAGCCCAACTAACCGCGGTCTGGTACTGATGTCTTCCACGTCCTCTCGCGCCTTCATGTCACGACTCTTGACCCTTCCCTCACGTCATCCCAGTCCTGATCGTACAGATGATCGTGCTGGATTACCACTACCTAGCGTCGACCATAACCGCCTTGGCCATATCCGCCGCCGCCATAGTTTCCGCTTCGATTGTCCCTCGCTGGCGGTCCCCGGTTTTGTCCTTGATAATAACCATCACTGAAAGACCTGCCACCATTCTGCTGATATTGTCCATTGCTACCGTGGTATTGATTTGGTGCCTGCCCGCCATAGTATTGGGCCTGTCCCTGGTTTCCATAGTAACCTTGATCCTGACCCCCATACCCTTGAGCAGTATGGCTGCCGTGCCCTCCGTATCCGTTCGTGGGTGGGGGATTGCGATTGTACCCACTTTGGCCACCGTAGCCTGGTGGGGGTGGGGGAGGCATGCCTGGAGGCCAATGGCTCGGTGGTGGCACACCGGGAGGGCCTGCATCGAAGGGAGGTCTGTCGACAGCGTAGTTGATGCGTCCGCCTCGATTCTGTGTGTCAAGGCGATCACGTCGAGTGTTATCATATAGAGGCGCACCGCCAAAATCCCTTCCCGATGTCCTAGCCTTCGATCGGAGGATGGCTAAGTCACTCTTGTCAAGAACCGGAGGCGGCAAGACGACTCCTGGGAACAACATGGACTTGTGAACATGGGTAGGAGGCGGCATCGTGAAATGCACGTTCAAAGACCGATCATCGTCGACTTCAGGTTCCAACCTGATGTCTTCTTGCGGGCCCACAAGATCCATGTGAGGCAGGAAATCTTCGTTTTTGGTGACCTCTCCGGCCAGTTGACTCTTCTGCATGGACAACTTCACCGTGTTCGGACCACCCTTGGCCTTCTTCGAGTAGAACTTCATGGCCAAGATGTCGTACAAAGGATTCTGGTCTGATATTATCAGAGCATCATGTCCCCGCTCGTTTCTGGCGTGTTCGTCATCTGTCAACAGATGATACTTGGTGGCCATGGCTGCAAGGAGTCGCTTCTCGTCTATAAACGGCAACAACACAATAGCTTTCCAGGATTGCTTCGCGCCGTTGAGATCGAGGTCGAACTGCTCTGGGTAGAAGTCGACAATGTCGGATTCTGGGTCGGTCATGAGTGGGTGGAAAGCGCTCGGGATGGCATGATTTGAAGATGCCGGGAGCACACCCATCAATTGTTCATACGGTCTGAACGGTGTGCCTTTGTCGAACTTGACGGCATTTTTGTCAATGTCGACAAAGTCTGCAGCGAATGGAGCGTAGTGATAAGGATAGTACCAAGTCCAGGATGGACAGCCTTGGAAATAGTAGAGAAGTACCCAGCACAGCCCTTCAACATAAGCTTCGGCTACCTTGTGGCGGAAGCCGATGTCTTTCGGGTCGACATGAAACTTTTGCTCGTAGTAGCGGTCAGCATAACCCTCCTCCCACAATCGGACTGTGTCTGGGGGCGGGTTATTCGGGTCCCCGTTGTCGTAGGTCTTCTTTTCAATCGGTGTATTCCTTCCAGGAGTGCCAACACTGTCCGACTCTTCCTCCATCAATGCCCCCTTTCGCTTGCTCACTGCCGATGCAGGGGTGACATCGCTCTCTGACTCTGCCTCCATTATTGCAGCCTTTCGCTTGCCTAGTATTGACGATGGACTGCCGCCCGAGGAACTGGGGGTCCCATTGGCGCCATGAGTGCCATTCTTAGTTGGTGTCTCGGCAGCCTTCCTGGCAAGCATCTGCTCTTTCAGGACTGCTGCTGCGCTCTTATTCGACGCAAGGCTTTTATCCACGGCAGCTCTGTTCACAATGGAGTTGTAGTCCAAAACTGGGAAGTTCGTAGCTTCAAAGGTCTCTTGAGGTCCGGTAGGAACCCGTGCATCCGGTCTGCTACCCTTGCTGTAGTCAGGAGAGCTACGGCGTCTCTTCGCGGCACGCGCCTCTCGAGCCTCGTTTGCGTGGTTACGACGCTGCTCATTCCGTGCTCGTTTGTCTTCTATTTCCTTTCTGCGTTTGAAGATTGCATCTTCTTGCTTCGCCAGACCTTGCAGAATGATTTGGGCACGTGCAAGGTCGACTTTTCCATCACATGTCAAGTACCCTCCCATGATCGGGATGTTGTCTCTCCAGATAGCAATGAGCTTGTCGATACCGTCTTCTTTGATATCGAGACTTGGGAGATGAGGCAGGAAGTCATTGCCGACGAAGAAACACATGAATACCCAATCGTCGAGGGCACGCTCAAGATCGAAACGGAAAGTTTGACCGGGAACAAACATCTCCGCACCAAGATACTCACGTAGTATGGGCACATTTAGCCAGACAAATGGCTTCAGCTCCTCCGTAGTACCTTTTTCATCAAATTCGCCTGCTTTTATCTTGGCGTCGCCTCTGCAATTCTCGGCATAATGGCCTTGCTGACCGCAGATTCTGCAGGTTTTGGCTTTGGCATCTCTGAGTTCGACGTCTTCTCGGAGGACGCGGAAGTGAGGCTCATGGGTAGCAATGCCCAGCATGATCAAGTCTGCATCAAGTCCATACATGACGTGTCTTGTGTTTGGATCATATGCGGGATCTGAGCGCTGGGAACGAATGAACTGCATAATCTTGTGCTCACCTTCTCCGGGCACACTGGCATCTGAGATTATGACCTTCAGTTGAGCCCAGGCAGGGTCCGTGTTCAGCTTCCACTGGACCCAGTATCGAATAGATTGAGCGAGAATGAACATGAAAGGCGTGCCAGGTGTGATGACATTACTATCCCATGTTTTCTTGATTACGTCGTCCACTGTTTCTTCCTCTTCATCTTCATCTCTATCACGCTGCTGTTGACGTAGGAGTGTTTGGAATTCCGCTTTCTTTTCGTCCGCCTCTTTTGCGTCTCTTGCTGACCGGAAACGGCGCGCTCGTTGTTGATTCATCTTTGCTCGCGGAGCAACCCCATCTGATCTATGTTAGTATCCATTTGTGAATCGCGTTTCGAACAGATTAAAAGGGAAGAGTATCTACTTACCAATCGCAATCATCAATAACCTCCTTGGACGCACCATGTTCACAACGCGGTCAGTGTACTTGAAGATTTCCAACATCATCTCACTCTCATTTGCCGGAGGAGGCTTGTTCTCGGGATGCGAACAAGGGTGGACAATGCCATTGAAATCAAGATAGAGGTTGTACATTTCTTCTCCATTCGGATTGGGTTTGGTGGTGTCCACGGGATATTTCACCCCATCAATCTGGTATGGCTGTTCCTCGATCACGGGGGTGATGATCTTGGGATACTTTCTGGTGAGCCATCGGAAAAGAGCTGGGACTCCCATCCTGACTCGATCGAATTCCGCAAAAAATCAAGGGAAGGAAAAGAATAAGCCAAGTAGGTTATGTCGTCGTCGATAGAGAAAGGCGTAAAATTACGCTCCTGTTTGCGGCAGACAGTTAAGCAAAGGAATGACACTTGGGCTGTGCACAGAAGAGGACTCGAGGGTTGTGTGAGATCCAAGTCACCATGAAGAAGTCATGTTGATCTCGGCGACAATTAATAGAGATGCAAATCGATGGGAGGGTGATGAATGCCTGGAAGGAACTGCGCCTTCGAGCCCGACCGAAATCTGAATCTAGACCCTTGACTTGGCCAAATCCGGTTGGCGCAGGCTTGGCAAGGCTCGTTGAAGTACGGAGTACAAAGTCGTATGCCGCAACTACGGTGGACCATAAGCAAAATCTAACATGTATTGCATCTGCTATCGAGCTCTGTATCCCGTACTGTGCAAATTCACTTCCGTCTTTCCAGCTTGTCGACCTCCATGTAATATCACTCTACCTGAGACTGCAACTGTAAAGGGCAGCAGCCGCCAACTGATCGATCATTGTTTTGATGTTCACGAGTTGGGTCACCGGGTCTCGGAAATACTCAAATGGGTCGCTCTGCGGTCCGAAAAATCACAACTTCAAAGGACGAGCCGACGGCATTTCAGGCAGCTTTCGCCGCATGATCTTCCCACTGCCTGTTCTTGGAATTTCGTCAACGAAGTAGATCCCTCCGGTTAGCCATTTGTGGGGAGCGAAATTCTGCTGGATCATCTCGAATAGTTCCTTCGCCGTGAGTGTATCGTTCTTGCGGACAACGAAAGCCCGAACGTATTCCTCCCCGTCTCTGTCAGTGTGAAGTTAGTTCATACTACAGCGAAGGCTGGAAACGGCGTGGCTTCTTACATTTTAGCAGCCATAACAGCGGCGTCTGTCACCTCAGGGTGATTGAGAAGTGTCAACTCAAGCTCTGTTGGCGAAACTTGCAGGCCCTTGATCTTGATAAGTTCCTGGTGGATCAATAAGTTAAAGAACGGTATGCATCATTTCGCCGATTCACTAGGTTGAAAACTTGCCTTTAGTCGGTCCACAATATAGAATTTCCCTTGATCATCACAGTATCCAATATCGCCAGTCCTCAACCAACGGTGACCGTCTTCGTCGACAATCGTGGTTGCAGTGGCTTCAGGCTTATTCCAATATCCCTTCATGATGTTTGGTCCAGATAACCATATTTCTCCAGCCTGCTGTTCCGTGACAGCAGATTTGCTCAACTCCTCATCCACAGGGACAATTTTTGCAGCACAATTAGGATTCAGCCAACCAATCGAGCGTCCATCATCTTCCTCATCCGGTGAGAAGCCCGTCGCAGAACACGTGCACTCTGTCATTCCCCAGCCTTGCTTGACCTGTACGCCTGGTCGAAGGTACAATGTTGCTAGAAGCTTCCCTAGTTTTGGATCAAGAGGCGCCGAGCCGCTGACGACTTGCTCGAGAGATTTCAGATTGTATCTTTCCGGAACGTCTTGCTTGCACAGCATTGCGATAACGGTCGGTACGCCTGTCATGAATGTGATACGATAGGCGTCGAGGTACTGTAAGTATTTCGTGACGTTGAATTTTGACATGATGAACACCTTCGCCCCTAGCACGGCGGCATTTATAACGTAGTAGGTTTGACCCTGCCATCAATGTTAGTCAATTAGGAGTGGCCTGGACTGGACCGAATTCCGCCTCCGATAGACTGATCACTCACATAAGCGTGGTACATGGGCAGAGGCGCCAGCCATCGCTCACCCGAGACATCGAGTCGTTCCTTGCGAGCACGTGCTTGTGGTGTTCGTCCAACCAAAGCTCTCTTGAATAACAGCTGCACGGAGTTGGAGACGAGATTATAGTGAGAGATCTGCACCCCTTTAGGCAACCCAGTGGTTCTCGAGAGCTGTCAGCAACGCGAGAAGCACTTCCTGTAGCCTCAAGAGGTTTCTGTCCGGAACTCACCCGCTGGAATAGTTGATAATTGCCGTCTTTTTGTCAGCTTCTTCGAGGGTGGAGAGCCGTTTCCAAGACCAATATCGCACACCTTCTTCAGATGTCCAGATTTCTGTCCATGATTTCAGGCCGTGAAGATTATACGCCGATAGATCTTCATCTGGATCATGGAAGACTGACACCCTGTCCCGTGACAACCCTACCTCGACCGCAGCACTAAGAGCGACGTCAATCCTGTCCGGCCCAGTGAGTAGCAATGTTGCCCCGGAATCCCGTAACTGGTAAGCCAATTCTAAAGCACAAAGTCAATGGATGCGCCCTTCTTAAGGCAAAACCTCCTGTCAGAACCCCTAGAAGAACGACTAACCGGACGACGATGCCGTGGGAGAGGCTGCAGTAAAAATGCATCCCGCGGCAATTGTTCCCCAGATCGCAACTGGAAAGAAGAGTCGATTGTTGGAGTACAGTAGAACACGGTCATCTGTTCGAAGCCCGAGTCTTTGCAACCCAAGAGCAACCCTTTTCGAATAGGTTTCACCCTGGGCTAAACTAAAACATTTTGCAGGCGTGTCTGCGTCGAAGTATTGAGGTGCTTCACGCGATGCTCTACTTCCAGACTGAAAGACGAAAGTATTGACATCGATCAGAGGAATATCGATGGTGTAAGGAGATTTGAACATTTCTTGACCTGATCGAGGCTCGGCTATCTTTGATGCGGAAGATTTGAATCTAGGTCACCAGCCAAGAAGCATCTACTCCGTACATCAAGTGCATATTTCTCAACTCCAAATTATCATTATTGGAGAGCGATACTGAGTAGTAGTCACAGCCGATTTACGGAAACCTTGCCTAGGTAGAGAGGGGGCAGACTTTATTTGCCTCGGTAGAGGTTGAGGAAACGCCAACCACGTAGCCTTGCCCGCCTCCCCCCCAAAGGACAAGGCTGGTGAGCTCGCGAGCGCGCTAGGCTAATTTATCTTGCCGCTTTTATGCTCGGAATAATTCTTGGCCTGCCTCCAATTGCGGACAAGTTGTCTGTTCTGCCGAAGTTCAGAACGTGTTGCATGAAACCTGATGCTGGACACCATTGACATTGACGATCGCCTGCCTTTCGAGCCGAGCATGCGCAGAGCAGCTTCTTAACCTATGGCTAGGAGACGTTCAGCCTCAATAAAACGAACGTGTTCGTGACAATGAATCTTGCCTCAAGATGATGCGAATCCTCGAAGCACAGGCTCCGGCACGGCAGACTGCCACGGACACCATCCAGACGCTCAGCAGCCGCCTTTCAAGCGCCACTCTGCTGGAAGATCGACGGGCCGCTATCCTCGGTCTGCGCAGCTTCGCAAAGCTATACCCTGCTTCGGTCGCCTCCGGCGCGTTGAGAGATCTCATTGCCGGGCTGAGACGAGATGGAGACGATTCAGACACAATCAAGATTCTGCTGGAGACACTGTTGATGCTGTTTGAGCCGGATGAGAAATCAACAGAGGCTTCGGAGGAGATCAGTTTGTGGCTGGCCGACGAGTTTACACAGAGACAGGACAACATCACCGCACTCTTGGACTTACTCGAGCCTAATGAGTTCTACTTACGCCTATACGTCCTCCAAATTCTTTTCCATATATCCACGGCACGACCACAGCGAACTCAAGAGGCTATATTCTCGGCGCCTCTGGGCGTCTCTCGAATAACAAATTTGTTAGATGACGGACGTGAAGCAATTCGAAATGAGGCTTTGGTTCTGCTGGTAGCCTTGACCCCTACATCTGGGGAAATACAGAAAGTAGTGGCCTTTGAGAACGCCTTTGATCGTATATTTGCTCTGATTGATGGCGACGGCGGTCTTACGCACGGCTCTACCACTGTTCAAGATTGCTTGTCACTTTTGGCCAATCTTCTGAATCTCAACACTTCGAACCAATCTTACTTCAGAGAGGTCGGTGGGATCCTGGAGATCAAGAAGCTGTTATCGGCCACCGTGGAACAAGAGGACTCTGGAGATGACGGCTCAGAATGGTTGAAGCCACAACGGGATATGAACGTATGGGGCTTATTGGGGGTCATTCAGTTATTCCTTGCTCAGGGTTCTCAAGGGACTGTGGTCAATCAACAAGCATTTTGGGGCACCGGAGTACTAGACGTTATCCTGCGAATTGCCTTTCATCCTGCATTCAACACGGGTGTGCGGACAAAGTCATTACAAACGTGTGGCGACATCATCCGAGCAAATCATAGTCTCCAGGAAAGATTCGGAGACCTTGGAGTCCAGATCAAAGAGCCCGATAGTCCTACTACTAATGGTCACCCGTCAAATGCCATCAGTGAGCGGCCGTCCAAGCCGAAGAACCCTACTTTCCGGACTCAGAACGTCATTGAGTCACTTCTAGAGCTGGCACTAGAGCCTGCTCCTCTGGCTCTGTTTGATGTCCGACTGGCGGCATGTTCCTGCCTTCAAGCATTCATGAATGGCCATGCCGGCATACGAATTCACGTGCTGCGGAGGGCTATTGATGGACACAAAGCAGGCGACGATGCAATTCCCAACATGCTTAGCGTTTTGCTTGAACCTCCTGGGTCACGCAACAACTCCGACCCCTATCAACAATGGATGGCTGCGGTACTTTTGCTGCACCTCCTCCACGACAATGTTGAGACCAAAGAGATGGCTTTGAAGGTGACAGAAGGCGATGCCGAAAGTGGGGAAGAGGTGGTCACTTTCATACAGAGCATAACCAGCAACGTGGTTGCGGGGGTACAGCATGTGGAGGATGAGCGCGCATTGCTCGGCTATTTGATGCTGTTGTCTGTATGGTTGTTCGAAGACCCGGAAGCGGTCAACGACCTGCTCGCAGAAGGCAGCAATGTGCAAGGTCTCATCGCTGCTGTCAAGATCACCAAAAATTCGATGCCTCTCGTTGCTGGTCTCTGCGCATTCATGCTCGGAATAATCTATGAATTCTCAACAAAAGACTCTCCTGTTCCGCGGAGTACACTTCAGGGACTTCTGACAACAAACCTGGGCAGGGAGGCTTATGTGGATCGACTGACAAAGCTTCGAGAGAATGTCTTTGTCAGAGATTTCGAAGTCCTCCCGCAGACTGGCAATGGCGGCTTGCCCGAAGTGTTCTTCGACAAGATGTTTATTGACTTCCTGAAAGATAATTACAGCCGATTCTTACGAGCCATTGACCGGGATCCGAATTTTGAGGTTTCCATTGTCAGCAACGGCGTTCAGAAGGGCATCTCTCGAGATCTCGTCGACAGCCTCAGAGCTCAAGTGGAGGAACAGAAACGAGCCTTGGAAGCCGCAAACAATGAATTGCTGCAGCTGAAAAGGAGGCTGGAACAAGAGGAGCTCGATCACCGTAGGACACGAGAGTCTGCCACTGTCGAGCTATCTAGAATCAAGCAAATAAATCAGAACTTGCAAGACAACCATGAGGACGAAATCAACAAAATGCAAAACGGGTTCGCCCATGAGAAAAGCAGCATGCTGAGGAATCACGAGGAAGAGCTTAGCCGAAGGCGCAATGAACATCTTACTGCTGTCGAAACCGCGCGAAAGCAGCATGAGTTGGAAGTCCAGAGGTTCGAGCAACGGCTGAAAATGATTGAGCAGGAAACAGCGCGGGATCACGCCGCTCTGAATGAGCGTCACACACGAGAACTGAGCGAGGTAGAGGCTCAAGCCCAGAAAGCTCGGGAGAGAGAAGCGGCCGAGATTGCAGACCTGCAACGCAGAATTTCAGAGTTGGAGTCTCAGCTGCTGAAGGCTGAATCCAACCATGTCCAGGATCTTGAGACCGCACACGAAGAATACAAGAACAAAACCGAGAATTTGGAAGCCCGGCTCAAGCGGGCTGAGAGTCGTGCTCAAGATGCCGAGAGCCGATCAAAGCATCTAACTGACGACCTCGAGAAAGAAAAGTCCGCTCGAAAGGACGTTCAGACCGAACTCGACGACCTTTTAGTTGTCTTTGGCGATCTCGAAGCGAAGAGGTCCGCCGATAAGAAGAAGCTCAAGGAACTGGGACAGGAAGTCTCCGAAGATGAAGACGAAGATGAGGAGGATGAGGAGGGTGAAGATGAAGACGACGAGGAGGCGGGCGCTAATGATGATGGCGTGGATTGAAAGAGCACGTGTGATGCGGACGGTACCCAAGGTCGACCATGCTGTGCATATGGGAAGTTTTGCATACCGGGGCAACTGTTGGGGAAAAAAAAGTCTGACATTATAGAACGATACCCTCCTGTACAGTAATCAAATTTGGTTTTCGCCAGCTTCTAGAGTTATCGCAAGTAGACCAGCCCCTTCCATCTCCAACCTTTTAGATCACCACTTCCACGAACGACAATTCATATGCACAGCCCTTGGCTGGCAACCCTTCATTCAACCATTGACAAGCAAGAGGAATAGAGACCGAGTTCTCCAGGTGCCGCGAGAGGGTTGGTGACTGACTGACCGATTGACTGACTGCACGGCAGAGCTTTACGTTCAAGAAATGGCGATATCAGACTTAACCCTCTGCTTCAACAACACTTCCACCTGAGAGATCTTCATGGGATGAAGGGATTGAGGGACGCCATGAGTACCGAGAGCGAAGTAGAGCAGTACTGGAAGGGGATGCCGCTCGTGCCGATCACGTTCTCTCAAGAAGTGTAGACCGGCCTTTAAAAAAGAGAGGGAAGGGAATCTCAGCAGGAGAACGCGCGAGAGAGAGATTGTTATGGACGCTCCAAAATATCTATTGTAGTTTCCGCACGTCGCTCCCGCCGTCCTCAGCAAACAGTTTCCATACGCTTCTAGCCTCCATGCCCTTGCACTTGTCGTTCTTCCTCGCCTCCACGAAGACCTTTTGCACAGGGTCGGCGAGGACGGTACCTGCGCCAACGGAATTCATGAGTGCCACTGCATCATCAATAACGCCACCAGCCAGCTCGGTCGTGAACCCCCCTTTAAAATCTCGGGCGGACGATGCGGCGGGGTTCACTCCTTTGACAGGGTTGTGATGCAGGGAGTTCCAGTTCATGCCCGACGAAGCGTTGATAACGTCTAAAAGAGACTTAGTTAGATGATCGTTTTCACCTAAGTCGAAGAGCGCCATGGCACGAAAGAGCGTGTCGAGGAGATTGAGGGACCTACTTGACAGAATCTTTGGGTCAAGGCCGTAGAGCATACCTGCATTCATCACTGAAAAGCAGGTTAACATCGGCATTCGACTAGCATAGAGCAAAGCCCATATTCATGTGGCTGCGAATGATCAGTGCCAAGTGACAACTCACCCTCGCAAAGCCCCAAATACCCGACATAACCCAAATAGTTATTCAACTGCTTGGTTGCCAGCCCGGCACCTAATCCCCCACACTGATAAATATGCTCTTCCTTACCCATCATTCGCAGAATCGGTTTAACGACGTCAAAAATCTGCTCTTTGGGTGTTCCAACCATAAAGGTCAAAGTGCCAGCGTTAGACCCTTGGGGACCTCCTGAGACAGGAGCATCAACGAAGAGGCCGAATCCTGTGGAGGCCACCTTTTGGGCGAGGGATGTTGATGTCGCGACGTCGATGCTGGAGCATTCCAGGAACAGGCGTGGCGGCAACGAGGACGATAGCCCAGATATAAAGCCTGTTTCGGGATTTGTGAAGGCTTCGTGGACGTGCGGTGCCCGTGGGAGCATGGTGATGATTATGTCCTAGATGATCATGGCTTCCCTTAAGTCAACTCATTCCGTCTCCCTGGCATTGGAGCTCACTCACAGCCTTCTCGGCGACCTCGCGCGGCGAGCGCGCCACTTGGACAGAGGCATTACATTCCTGGAGAAATTGCTCCCTTCTTGCCTCGTTGATCTCACATAGCACAAACCCAGCTGTCTGGGGAATCTTGGCGCGGAGATTCATTGCCATTCCGTATCCCATCACCCCAATGCCGACGAATCCATAGACAGGGTTCGAGGGGATCATGAATGATTGTTGAGCTGTATTATCGCCCATGTTTGGCATCGTTCACCATCAACAAGGACAGAGTATTTCTCGCTCTCTGGCACCCACGAAGTCCAACATTCTGTTTCAGGATGTCCCTTGGGAAGGGGATTGTAGTCTGGATTTCGATTTGGAGATATGCCCCCGCATACCCTCAATTAAATTGCTGTCCATGGAAGGTAGTAAGGCATTGCTCTTGCGGTTGTTGTTTCGAAGCCTCCGCTCCTTTCTCCAACGGCTCTCCAATTGCGCGGTGCGAGGGTGGTGGACGATCTCTTACTGTCTTGTTTCTAAGTCTATCGGCAGTACCGTGGGGCAAGGCTTTGTCGACTTGGAAGCTTTTATGCAATTGATTGTTACCATCTTCCTGTGGAAGGATGTACCTGCTACAGTACAGTGGATGTGGACGCAAACGGGGAGCAAAGGTACCAGGAGAAAGGCAGGCAGAGATGGAAACACTCTATGTCTATTAGCTGTGTTGCTGGTGTTCACTGTTGTCGTGGGTGCATGTTCGAGAACTCATTAGCAACGTCAGGCATTCCACGAAGTGGTGGTGGTGATGACGGTGACGATGGTGGGCTGGTGGTTTCTTGGGTCGCCCATTTCAAGTTCCCCCTTCTCCAAACACCTCGAGCAACAGTGAACACTGCAGAGCAAATCAACAGTCATGCAAGAGACTCAAAGTTGGTCCGATCTCTCACTGTTATTCTTTTCTATCCCATCCACAAGCTTGTCTGCTCTTCAGATACCTTCCCCACAGAAACCGAAAGCTGAGCAAGCGTTGCAGTCTACGAAGACGTGATTTCATCTCGCCATCAACGGCGTGGGCTCAAGTTTTCCGCGTCGATCGAAACTCCAGTCGCCATCGGATTGCCCGTCATCCAACGCGAACTGCATCTGTGAACATTACCAGGCACACCGATTTTCAGTGCTGGAATCATGACTGAGACTTACAGACCTCACTAGCTGGCAACGCAACACACCTAGGTGTCATTCTGTCCTGGTTGGGGAGATGCTGATACCTTCGATTCTCTATTATATTTTCGTCCCCCAGCTTAACCGTTACCGGGGCTCATACGACGCCAGCACATCTTCCTCGTTTGCACGAAATCAAGTCAAAGCTAAGATGACAAATTTCGCCATTCCGCGCAATGACAAGACCTGATGAAGAGCAAGCGGCCAGTTGGTGAGCAGAGCTTGCCGGCCCGCCCAATCCTCCTCTCCTTTGGTCTAGCAGATCTTGCAGGGAGGTTTCCTCGGATTGATCTGAAAATTGAGCCTGAGAGTTTGGAGACTGCAGAGAGGCCCATGGTTTCCGGCAGCCTGTTACCAGGATACCACATAACATCAAAGGGCGCGAAACACACGGTCTGAACAGAAGCAAGATTAGCAGATGCTGGAGGGCCGGAGATTTTTGGATGGCCAATTGCAAAGATGGATACAAGTTCTTTCGGGGTAATACAGAGATTCCTGCTGGCAAATTCTGGGCATTTATAAATTCCTACTATACAGCACAAGTTGCCATCGACAGGCTTCCAGATAAGGCCTGTCTGCGCATGATCAGCGATGCAAAGAATCTAACTCCCTCCCGCTAATACAACATCCGTACTCGGGAAATGTTCGTCGATGAGAGATCAATCCACTGGTTCTTCAGCTGCTCATCAGCTGCCTTTTGAGCTGGCTCAGGACATGCATGACTACACGCTTTCCATGCCGTCAATGCGCCCCTGTTCTCTCCAGTCTACCAACAAGGGTCATAGACGTTGGTCCTTCTAATCGCAATATGCCTGTTCGGCTCCACATATCGACAGCCAATCAAAAATGCATTTATTTTACGCTCGGCCACTACTGGGGACGCTCACCTGCAGAACAGTCAACTTCGTCAAATCGATGATTTGCTGCAGCTGTCTGACCATGCTTGCTTCAGAACCGGTTCCGGACGGGATAGAATGGGGCCAAATAAGATCCAAAGACGACAGCGATTTTGGTCAAAGGTTTAAGACTGGCTCATGCGGCGAATTGCGCATGTTGGAAGATCTGTTGAGCAGAGACAGCCAGGCATTTTCTGGGACATGGTTCTTGGCGGTCGAAGCATATACTCGCCGTCAGCTGACGTTTGAGAAGGACAGACAGACTGCAGTTCCAGGTCTGGCCATTGAATCCCAGAAGGTGACCGGCGACGTGTATCTGGCGGGAATGTGGAAGCAGGATCTCCTTGATGGACTTCTGTGAAGTGTTTGGGCGTTTGGGTGTCCGATAGTCGGAAACACTGAGGCCCAAAATGGTGACCATGGTCCACACGGGGCACGCTATACAGGCATCCGTATCCGATACACCGAACAATACGAACAATACGAACATGATGATGGGGTCGGACAAACCTTCATGGCTGATGTGCTTAACGCAGACAGCACTCCCTTGGGCCTGCGCATAGCCTCGTCCAGTTACAACGGCAGCATCGCCATACGTGGCAATCTTCGCGAGGCTGTCACCAAGGTTGAGAGTCCTCTCGTTGATGATCGGGAGAAACTCAGTGCGTTCCCTCTGTTGACCACGATAAAATCAATGGGGGTCGAGGCTGGACCGTCTAATTTGATGCTTTGATCCAGACAAGACTGCGATGAGCAGTTGGGTCGAGTGATAACTGAGCCTAAGGCCCTAGAATAAAAGGACAATATGAACAATGCGCCAGAGACTAGGGGCAAGACTGCTTTGTCAGACATGGCGAGGTGTACGGACGAACAACCCAATTTAGATGCTCATTGTGCATCGACCCGAGTTTAATAGAACGTGCTGCTGAGCGAACAATCAATTAGATATCATCAGAGGATTTCGGCGGATCGACTAGCATCGTCGACTCGAGGAATGTGGAAACGGCGGCATGGTTGGTGCATGCCCTGCTTGATCCTCAGAGCCGGAAAGCAATTGGATTTTGGGCGCCTGACGTCTCAGATTAGGCGGGACTCCTGGTCAGAAGGAAGCTGGTATCATGCCTGGCGATCTCACGGCGCAAGAACTTCATCTGGTGTCCTAGGTTGGTACGGAATGGAGACGATTTAGATGAATGAACGCGTGCTGGATTAGCGTACGTTATTGCCGAACAGTGGGAGGCCAGTGCAGATGGATCAGCTGTGACTATGAAGATAACTTAGCGCGCCAAATGCCTATATTCTTTCAAACGAAGCAGCATCGAGCTGCTTCTTGATGGCTTGTGATCGTTGGCATATTGCAAAGGTGGGCACAGGCAGCCTACAACGTACTCGACTCATTCCTAACCGTACGTCGTTGTTCTTCATACAGTCCAATATCTTGCCCAAAAGCGTGCTGACCAGGCCGTATCCATTAGGCCAACGACCCAAAGAACTGAAGTCAAAAGAATGTATGATGGGGTCAGATGGCTGCTGATTACCGCATTTTCTTTTCTTTTTTTTTTTTTTTTTTCTGGAAGCACTGAGCACATATTGTGAACGTTTGCTCCGCAGTGCTTGAGGCAGGCAGCGACGTTGTGGGATTGGGTATCTGCCTTTGGCAGACACCTGCGGTTACCGACGCCCAAACAGTCAGCTCAGCCGACTATCATAGTGAGATATCAGTATAGAGCTTCCCTAGATATAAGTTCACAGGTTTCTGATACAGTGCATTTCCAAACACGGAGCACCACCTGCTGTAGCCCTTTCTGGCAAGTTCACCGCTACTCCCTGAGATCTCCCAACTACACATGGATCGGAATTGCCGACGAGTCATCACTCGCCTCTTCAACTCCCTTTCATCCTTGCGTTACGTCGGTTCTCTGCCTGGTGAAGAAAATGTTGACTTCCGTTGGTGCCTGAATGATTGATGCTTGCGAAACTCATACCTGCATCTCTTTTGTGCCTCGTCTTGGCCTCTGAAAAGTAACAACCTCTACCTATGTTGCTGGATTTGTCAGACTTTCCAAGCTATGTGACTTCCCATTGGAGACAACATGTAACCATGTGGCTCTAGGCTACTGTAGGTGATAGCTGAATGGTATATGTCTGATTATATCATCATCTGCTCTACTCGTTTGTCTTGCCAGCTGCGCAATGCTTGAAAATTCCTACAGGTGCGCGGCACCTCAAAATCCCAGTAGAGCATGTTGCTGACATTGTCCCATCTCTCAGGGACAGGGGTAAGATCGCCACTACATTGCACAGTTTGGCGCAAGTGGTCTAGGCAGTGATCTGGCCTGTCAGCGTAAACGTTGGTGCAACGAGGTCGGCGTGTGTCCAACGTACCAACATGTAGCCGACGGATAGGAAGCGGGTCGAGTCTGTCCCCATAATAATCAAGGTCTAGTACCATACGAACATAGTTCTGTGAGCCAAGTTAGTTCTGTTGACTTCAGAGACGGAGTTGTGGGTGTATACGATGCAATGTAATGAATGGAACACGTCAACACTAATGAGAAACTGTCAGCCGCGCGGTAGCCAAGAGGATGTGATTCCTCACCCCGCCCAATATGACTGCTTGCTGGGAAGCGAAAAACTTTCAAGGCCGATGCTGAATGCTTCAGACGAGGTCAATGGAGTGTACCGATCTGGTCTGGGGTCAGGCAATCCATTAAGCAGGGAGGTCAAGAGAAGTCACCATGTATTAATGCTTCCCATTCCGCATCTATGTCTTGGCTTGGAGTTCCGACATAGGTTGGTGCTTCTGCATTCACATTTCTGTATAGCGTGCCATTCTCATCGTACAGCAAACCGCCAGTAAATTGAATTCGTTGCAGTTGAACAGCCGGGTGTGCAGCTTCTGGCATGTGATTCAGCAAAGGCTTCAACATCGGGTTTGAAGAACAGAAAAGCACTGACTGAATTCTGTCGAAAAGCCCGTCTCGAACGACCCATCCCGATGCAGCCGAAACAGCTTCAGAGACAAGATAACAACGACTATGGCCAGAGCCACGTTAGATAACAGCAGGAACGTCGTTCCAAATATTGTGTATTTTGGAGGTGAAGATTGTGAAATGCGTTCTGTATCCTCGTTGTTTTCGCCAGAGGGCAACAACGAGTATTTGAACAGTCTCATGAGACGGTAAAGATTAGAAACACTTTAACGACAATTTACAAAGGGATTGTCAGATTCAGTCAAATTATGGATGGAGGGTAACCATTGATAAAAGGGGATGATGATCAACCAGATTCATGAATACGGATAGTCGGCTTGCGCAAGTCAGCTTCGCAGAGTAGTGTGGCTTCTGAAAGGATTTCAACATGCATCCGCATGAATCAGAGCCACAAAGGCCATCTAGGACGCTAAATGAGAGCAGGGAGAGTGAGTTCAGGATGGACTTGCTCATATTGGCAATTGTGACGTACCCTGGGACTTTCACACGCCGAGTAACGAGCATAATACACTATCCGGCAAGCCGAGTGATACAGTGCTGTCTGTATACGCTAGTATGCCTCACGAGCCTAACCATAGTCTAACGTCCTCCCTAAAATCCTTCGTGATTTCATTGCGTCCTCCTACTATCACGAGAATTCTGGCAACGTGCTGAGGATGTCGATCATGATTTATTTGCAAAAGGAAAATCGAAGACCCCACGGTTGCACTGTCTCTGACTTCTGCTGACATGCAGAATCCATGGGTCTGTATCGGGCAACGAGACTCGAATTTACCCCGAGCGTAATAGGTACCAGGGGCTTCAAAGCCATGCGTTTCTTATATATTGTCTTCCATCTTGGCTCAGGCGATACGCGACAGCCAAGTGAGTACCACAGATCGCCCATCAGCACAAAACAGGAAAGTCAGCAAGCCAAGCACATTACTTGAACCCGCTACGTCCAGCCCGAAAAGTCAACATGGAAATCAAAGTCTCGACCCTCCTCACCTACCTTCTCCTTACCGCCACCACTATCAATGCCGCCGCTGTTCCCCTAGGCGCACGTCAGCTTTCTGAGTGTTACGGCAAGGACTGTATCGGCAACAAACGAGCCGTCGAGGTTGAGGAACGTCAACTGTCTGAGTGCTACGGCAAGGACTGTATCGGCAATAAGCGGGCCGTCGAGATTGAGGAACGTCAACTATCTGAGTGCTACGGCAAGGACTGTATTGGCAACAAGCGGGCCGTTGAGGTTGAGGCACGTCAGCTGTCTGAGTGCTACGGCAAAGACTGCATTGGCAACTAAAGTGCTTTGGCCAAGCGAACCTTGCTTTTGGGAAAATATACAAGGTCATATTTTCTTGGAGTGAACCTCCAAGCACAGCACCCTTCTTCGCCGCGACCGGCCTGTCAGGCAGAACTGCTGGTTCGCTGGCTTAACCCAAGCTACGTACAGCTTTGCCCTTCGTTCAGAAAACCGAAAGTCTCAAGCCAGGAGAAGGCCATGCACCAGTGGGTCGGTGGGAAATAGATACATTCCTTTAGCTTTGCACCACGATAGGTCACTACCAATGCAGATGTTATGGAGCACCTTTTATGGTAAAAAGCCTCGTGTCTTCCATCTTGTAAGAGGGCCAATTCAGACTGCTTAGATTGTTTCTGATGAACTATTGATTCGACTTAATCCGCTCAGAGGCTCATTCTTTGCTCGAGATCCATATTTCTCCCTCAACTCATAAAGCTCGCTGGGGTCTCGACACACTCTCATGTCATGGGCCCCATTGATCATTCCCCTGGTGCCATTGACCATTGGCGGTGGCCTCTCGATCGTACCGTCAGCATTGCACAGAATCGCTTGCCGCAGATAGTATAGACAGTGTGGCCAATGATGGTCGTCGCGGTTGTCGAGGCCAATCTGTCCACCTTCGCGAGCAAATTGCATGATTTTGCGGATTGATGTCAGGCAGTGGAGTTGGTGGAACCTAGCAAATATGAGTACAATTACACGCTGTCATGGAAAAGGGAGGAAAGGTGCTTCACGCACATCGTGATTGCACCAGGTTCTATTTCCTCGTCGCTGCCAACACCCAGGCTCTTGCCGTCAGGAGGAATGTACACAACGGCGTTATTCGCAGCGAATTCATGGTCCCATAGGTGATCGTACTTGTGATCCAGCGACATGTAGCTCTCGTTGCTACCGAAACTTCGATGGAGTCTGCTCCCGTCTTTCCTTTTCTCTGCTAAGTTCGTGATTCGTAGCGTAATGTCCACGACAAGAAGAATACACAATAATGACACCAGGGCAAATGTCAGGACGGTTCCCCAGCCTTGATATGGTCGCGAACGTATTGGAGCTGCTTCTTTTTCGCCATGGTCCCCACCACCCAACAAGGTGTCGCTGTCCTTGCTATCGTCCGTCAGGTTGTGGTGATATGTCGAACATTCTGCCATTGTGAGTGATTTGACTGCACCCAGACGATAATGTTAGCAAGTGAAAGAGTGCTGCAGCAAGAACCTTCTCGCCTGCATCATGGCATAGTCTTCAATCATTGATCAGTAGGAGCGATTAGCGCTATGTTACAATGGCTTGTGCATACTGGTAGGATTGGGGAGACGACGCCAGTGACCCATGCCAACCTCGCACCGGCATATTAGGATGATCTTTTGCCTGTATCATCATATCACCCACCTAGTGATCGTACAATTCTGCTACTACACGTGCCAGTTGGATAGGTGAAGACGAGGGTGGCCACACGACACTGCAGGTAGCACTGCAGGTAGCGTTGCGGTCAGCGTAGCACGAGAATCTGCATACACTGTGCCGTATCCACGTTGGTGGACTTTTCCCCTGAAACATCTAGCCTCTACGAGGCAATGATCGTACCCTACAGATGGCCTTAACTATAATGGGACGATCATCACGAAATCCCGGTACCTTAACAAATGTGTTTCTGTGCTTGCGGATGACACCGTGTATCATCGGGTATCTCCCGATTACGGCCCCAAAGTACAGGATGCTACAAGAGGCAAGTCACAGACCTAGCATATTAGTATGATTTCGTTGAGCAAGTACAATACCTAATTCTGTCCCCTCACTCTCGTTCTTTTTTCTCTTCCCATGTGCGGTAGAGAAGCTCAGAACCCTTGATCTCCTAATTTATTTCGGGGAGAGAACCGCCTTTGGGCGCCGCAGCGTGAAACATAACTCTGCCCCATGTCCTCGATCTCGCCATGTTGCCCTCGAATGGGAGCACTTTTGTTACAAGAGCTATCATTCAGAATTGAGTCTAGTGGCACGATTACACTTGACCTTCCGTAAATAGTGGTAGGGGAAGTCAGTTCCGCCCTGGGTCGGACAGCTTAGTCAACAGCCGTGTGGGCTGGGACAGTGGGCTTGAATGAGCGGAAGTGGCTTTGTCCTCTTAAAAGGACAGCTAGGGGCGCGTGCCCTCTATATATCTGTTTGACTCTTCTGTACCTTGTAGATACAGCAAAACAGACAGTAAAGGAGAGAATTGCCAAGGTTGACGGGCAGCGTGAGAATCCTGATAAAGGGTGGCCGTTGTTGCCCACGTTGAGGGCGCTGAAGACCCTCTCTAGGCAGTGACATATCCATTGTCATAATAAGGCTGTGTCTGTAGCAAGGGGCTTTACAGGACGCCACCAGCGAGGTGCCTAGGAGTGGAAAGGCGGCCAGGGTGGCCAAGGCGCTAGGTGGGCTGCTTGCCAACAAAATAGTTTCCTGTAGGTACCGGAAGCCTACAAGTAAGGGCCGGTAAGAATGAATCAATCAATCACTCCCTCAGGAGTCTCATCCAATCAATTATATCATAATCGAATTCGTTCGTCTAGAACCCGGCACACCTTAAATATACTCTGATTGTTTTACTGAGAGCTCTCGCTATGTTACCTGATTAGGAGGAAAGCTTTGCGATTACCTGCGAGTGGCATTGTGACTTGTTGTTGGACCAATCTAAGGCGCCAAAACTTACTTGATTGACTGATTGATCCATTGAGAAGGGAGAGAAGGTCCATCTGTGACGGAAGAGGTTTAAATACTAGCCGACGCCATAGCGCTAAGAGACATCTTAGCTAGCCTAATCGGACTAGTATGACTATAGTATGAATTCTCCTTACGTCGTATGTTTACCGCGGATTATCGAGTACAATTAAAAGGCAATTTGGTTGGATTTGTTTCATATGGTATTATTGTGATTAATGTCACTTCAAGTTGTGTTACAGATCAAAAAGTACTGAGTCGACGGAAGGAGTGAGTAGGGAGTAAGGTACCGAGTACCTCGTATGGCGGTGACTTGCGAGCACCGGGCTTTAAAAGCGGCACGATCAGGGTGATTCGCTCCCCTGTCAAAAGCAGCGCAGGCGTGTGGGTGTTGCCGCCAAGACATGTATCAAAATATTGAGTCACTCTCCCTCTGGTGCCTCTTCAAAAACACTCTTACGCCCCGCCAATTCGTTCCAACTTCTCCAAATATGGCTGTAGATTTTTCTGCCGAAGAGGCGGCCACGCTCAAACGCTGGCGAGAAATTGACGCCTTCCAGACTCAACTGCGCCTCTCAAAATCGAACAAGCCCTACACCTTTTACGATGGCCCCCCATTTGCGACCGGCTTGCCTCACTACGGCCACTTGCTGGCCTCCACCATAAAAGACATCATTCCGAGATACTGGTCCATGAAGGGCTACTACGTCGAGCGGAGATTTGGCTGGGACACACATGGCTTACCAATCGAGTATGAGATTGACAAGAAATTCAACATCTCCGGACCGGCGGCGGTGAAAGAGATGGGGATTGCAAAATACAATGCGGAGTGCAAGGCCATTGTCATGAGATATGCGACCGAGTGGAGAGAGACCATTGACCGGTTGGGAAGGTGGATCGACTTTGACAACGACTACAAGACCATGAATCCCACTTTCATGGAGTCAGTATGGTGGGTTTTCAAGCAACTGTTCGACAAGGGCATGGTCTATCGCTCCTACAGAGTCATGCCCTTCTCAACCGCGCTGAGCACGCCGCTAAGTCAACACGAAGCTCAATCCAACTACAAGGAGGCACAAGACCCTGCAGTGGTCATTGCGTTCCCGCTCCTTGAGGATCCTGACACCAGCCTTCTCGCCTGGACCACCACGCCGTGGACCCTGCCATCCAACATCGGATTGGCCGTCAATGCCGATTTCGAGTACATCAAGTTCTTGGACCAAGACTCCGGTCAGAAATTCATCATGCTAGAGAAGTTGCTGCGGACGCTGTACAAAGACCCCAAGAAAGCCAAGTTCAAGGTCCTAGAGAAGATGAAGGGTTCAGACCTAAAAGGCAAACAATATCTCCCGCCGTTCGACTACTTCTACGATGAATTCAAGGACAGTGCTTTCAGAGTTCTCAATGCCACTTATGTCACGGATGATGATGGTACCGGTGTTGTCCACCAAGCACCAGCTTTTGGTGAAGAGGATTTCCGAGTAGCCATGGAAAATGGCATCATCAGCCACCAGCACCTCCCTCCCAACCCAGTCGACGAGACAGGCCACTTCACAAAAGAAGTAACAGACTTTGCGGGTCAGCATGTAAAGGAAGCAGACAAGCATATCATCAAGCATCTGAAGGGCACCGGGCGTCTCATCCGGGACAGTCAACTGACCCATCAATATCCGTTCTGCTGGCGATCAGACACACCCTTGATCTACCGAGCTGTGTCCGGTTGGTTCGTCAACATTGCCGGAAATGACAAGGTGCCCAGCATCATTCCGGACATGCTCGACGGCATTATGAAATCCCACTGGGTTCCCAATTTCGTCAAGGAGAAGCGATTTGCGGAGTGGATCAAGAACGCCCGTGACTGGAACATCTCAAGAAATCGGTATTGGGGCACTCCGATTCCGCTGTGGGCAAGTGAGGACTACTCAGAGGTCATTGCAGTGGGCAGCATAGAAGAACTAAAAAAGCTTAGCGGCTATAAAGGTGAGATCACAGACCTTCACCGGGACAGTGTGGACGACATTACAATTCCGAGCCAGAAAGGCAATGGTTTGCTGCGCCGGGTCGAGGAGGTATTCGACTGTTGGTTTGAGTCCGGAAGCATGCCGTATGCCTCTGCACATTATCCCTTTGAGAACTCGGAGTACTTTGAGAGGACATTCCCTGGTGACTTCATTGCGGAGGGTCTCGACCAGACTCGCGGGTGGTTCTATACTCTGGTTATCCTGGGCATCCACTTGAAGAAGGTCCTGCCCTTTAAGAACTGTGTTGTCAACGGTATTGTCCTCGCAGAGGATGGCAAGAAGATGTCTAAAAGACTCAAGAACTACCCGGACCCCAACACAGTCATTGACAAGTATGGTGCGGATGCTCTGCGGTTGTACATGATCAACTCACCTGTCGTGCGAGCTGAGCCGCTGAGATTCAAAGAATCGGGTGTCAAAGAGGTTGTTGCAAAGGTCCTGTTACCTTTGTGGAACAGCTACAAATTTTTTGAAGGTCAAGTGGAACTGCTGAAAAAGATTGAGGGTGTTGACTACGTGTTCAATCCGGAAATGGACACAACCAACACCAACGTCATGGACAGATGGATACTCGCCAGCTGTCAGAGTTTGCTCAAATACATTAACGATGAAATGGCGGCATACCGACTATACACTGTCGTGCCTGGCCTGCTGAGCTTGATCGATGAAACCACAAACTGGTACATCAGATTTAACCGAAAGAGATTAAAGGGCGAACTGGGCGTGGATGATACTCTGCATGCTTTGAATACTCTGTTCGACGTCCTCTTTACGCTCGTCCGTGGACTCGCTCCATTCACTCCATTCATCGCCGACCTCATCTACACCAAACTGCTTCCATACATACCAAAATCCCTTCATAGTGAAGATATGCGAAGTGTTCATTTCCTCGCCTTTCCCGAAGTCCGACAGGAATTGTTCGATCCGGTTGTGGAGCGACGTGTAGGACGGATGCAGAAGGTCATAGAACTCGCGAGGCAGTCACGGGAAAGAAGAACTATCGGTCTGAAGACGCCGCTGAAGACGCTAGTGGTCATCCACAAGGACCAGCAGTACCTCGACGATGTCAAGTCACTTGAAGGGTATATCACGGAAGAACTCAATGTGAGAGATCTGGTTCTGTCGTCAGACGAAGAGAAATACAACGTACAGTACAGCGTGACGGCGGACTGGCCTGTCCTCGGCAAGAAATTGAAGAAAGATATGCAAAAGGTCAAGAAAGCACTTCCCGATGTCACCAGCAATGACTGCAAGACGTATCTTTCAGAGGGCAAGCTTACGGTGGCTGGGATAGAATTGGTTGAAGGTGATTTGGTGGTCAAACGCGCACTCAAGGAAGACGAAACGTCCAAAGACCAAGAAACAAACACTGATAATGATGTCTTGACCATCCTCGACGTGGCTATCTACCCGGAATTGGCACAGGAAGGTCTCGCCCGCGAGATCGTCAACCGTGTCCAGCAGCTCCGAAAGAAAGCGAACCTGAAACCGACAGACGATGTCAAGATGGAATACAAAGTCCAGCAAGACCCGGATCACATTGGGCTGGAAAAGGTCTTTCAGCAACAGAGCTCCTTTATTGAGAAGGCGTTGAGACGGCCTGTGGATCAGCATGTTGTTACGGAGGTGGAGGGGCCGATCGTGAATGGGGACAATGGCGGCGCAGATTTGATTGTGGAGGAGGTGCAGGAGGTGCAGAAGGCGACCTTTTTGTTGAGATTGTTGAAGCTCTGAAAAAGGCTCTCGATTGAAAGAGACCATGAGCATGAAGACGACGTTGTTATGACGATCTTCCAGAGAGACAGATGCCGTGGACAAGGTGTAGATCTGGTCAAGAGGCCGGAAAAGGAAAGTGTAAAAACATGGAGCATGCATGTCACGACTTCTTTGCATGTCTCTGCAAGATGGAAGAATTAGCTAGATGTCTTGAAAAGAAGAAGAGATGGATAGATATATCCCTTGATGAGAAAGAAGACCGAGGAGACTCAAGACCTCCCTGATTGATCAACCAGTCCCAATCATGTTGGGTTTGAGTTATATCTGGCTCATCGCCCCCCTCAATGCATAAGGAGACCAAAACATGACCCCAAACCTGGCAGTGTGAAGCATTCTCAAAAGAAAGATGTATGAGATCTTGAAATTCAATGACGGGCCGACGCCGTTGAAACTGGAACTCAGTACTTGTACGGAGAACTTACGAGATAACAATCCTTCAGGCGCATGAACTCCTTCGCGCACATGTCCTGGTACGTTGATTGGTAGTCTGCCAGAATGCATTTGCCGTATGCGGAGGCCTATTCTTGGTTCGGAGTGATTCGCATCGTTCAGCGTTGTGTCTTTTTCTGTTCTTTTGCGGAGTGCGTAGAGCAGGCAGGAGACGAGACGGGCAGGCCGTGCTTTGTGGCTTGGGGCTGGATGGGATGGATAGAGGAAGACGGAATAGAGAGCGTATGGGAGAAAGGGAGAAAGGAATCAGGAAACGTTCAATGCTCGCGACGTACCTCGACGGAACATTTTGCGGCCGCGGCGGCGAACTTCTCGATCGGCCTTGCGCGGCCGGACATGGTGGGCATTTTGTAGCAGTTGTTTAGTGTTATTTTTGTGGTTGTGGTTGTGGTTGTAGTTGTTATTGCTTCCGAGTCAATCAAGGTCATCAATATGTAAGTTGGAAGAGAAGAAAAAGAGCCCAATAACTTGCTTAACAGCTGTCGGTCGTCCCCTTGCTTCTCCGGCTTGAATGCTCAACTGTAGCAGATTCCGGAGGAGCAAGCGCACACTAGCTAAACTGATGCCTGTCAGAGGGATATGCACAACTTCTTCTACCACTTCTACGGATACACAGTATTTTAGTTGACCTCGCCCTCTAGCAGACGATCCACAATTTCAACCTTCTGAGTCTCCGACAACGCCTTCTATATTGACGAATCAAGCTTGCCGAGGTGGGCTGGCCGCATGCCTCTTCCTTGATATTGGGTCTCCCGTTACGGACTCTGGGGGGTCGACGCAAGTCTTTCGAGGTGCGTCCACGTGTCGTGCTAACCGTACCTATATTACTCGCAAAGGAAAAATCTATCTACCAAATAGAGTTTGGTCCTAGAGAGTGAGCAAAGGCCACCCCAACCTTGAGCTTTAACTGAGCCTGCTGGCCTTTAATTGGGTCTCACTTGAGCACCCCCTGAGCAGGACGCTGGGCGGCCGAGTTGTTTCTGGCCCCCATCATTCAGCTTCACCAACCTCTCAACTAGGCATTGGGTTTGAATGGTCATGATTGAAGCGGGTAAGTCGCTACACCTACGCTGCTGCCCAATATCCCTTGCGTATCGCAAGTTATATAATCCATGCTCCAATTCAAGGCGCAGCACGGTGGTGCGGTTGCTGCCTGATCCAAGAGCTCTTCTGAGCAGTAGTCATCCTATAGGATGGGCATTCTGTTCAGGGTATTCTTGTTTCGGTTATGCATATCCATTCGCACACGGAGCACGACGCTAGCTATACAGGACCCTCGAATCCAAGAACTACCGACCGGGCAGCATAACAGAGCGGTTCTACGTCGTTGCATTCAGCTGATCCACGCGCCCACTGAGCTGGCGGCGTCGAGAACCATGAACGGTCTCAAGATGACGGAAGAAGGTCAAGTTACACGATCCATTGTAACAGCTACAAATACTCTGCTAGGAGGTCTGACTCACTACACCAGCCCGCCGCATAATATTCTGGTGGGAATCGGTTGTCTTCTCACCGCTGTCACGGCGCTTGCTCAAACAGCTGATCTTCCCCGTGTCTCATGGCTTCGGATTCTCCTTCAAAGCGAAAGGTCAGTGGACAATTAAGCGTTCCCGAGCTCATCACCAGTGACGGCAACCAACCAGCCAGACTCCATTATGGACCTGGTTTTAGGTAGATTAGTACATAGAACAGAGGGTCTTTGAATTTTGCAGCTATCCATTCGAGCATCAAAATGTTCCAAAGGATAGTTGAACGTGATTATAACCTGGTGATTGGTAGTATAACGTTCTTTTCCCATCTGGCTCCACACCCAAAGCAATTGAATTTCTCAGACCAAAGCATTGGCTCCGGTCAAACTCGTTGGTGAGGGTAAGCTGGGATGGAGGGAATTCTCGATAACTGAAGAAACGGGATATTTGGTTCAAACCCATCCTCGGTAGAGACACTAATGGCCTAGGTATGTAGGTCGGCTATTCTTCAGCACGCATGAGATGGGGCGTCGCATGCCGAGGTCTACCGCCTTGCAGGGGTGTCATTCTTCATTAAAGGTCGCAAATTGTCGTGGATCCAATCAACCGATCATGGTCCGTTTGCGATATTCGAGCTGACTCCCATCAGATACGTGGGCGCTTTCCCGTCCTCCGCATGCTGGCGAATTGCTCATCGATTCTTCCGCGTTGAGACTCAATTGTGCGAACAAGGCGATTCATCACCGAACAAATTGGCAGGGATAGAAAAGCATGCGACACCCCAGCGAAGGGCTCGGATCGCATAGCAGGATGTCTTCAGCAAATCTCTGAACTCGTGAAATCTGACATTCCGTAGCCTGGGACTTTTCTCTGCCTTAACGCCTGCCAAACCATGCTGGGTATGTCCTGGGGAAACACTGTCATCATTAATGAAACAATCACGCCAAAGCGGTGCAACCTGCCAATCCATTTTCAACGCCCTGTGTCACGATATACTGCATCTCAGCGCCCAGTCCAGCCTCCCAACGTTCCTAGAGACCCGGTGCGCCACGGAGGTTTCCCATCGATACCTTGCGCAGGATACCAACGGATCCATGGATCGCGTTCTTGATGAATCTTCTGGGGTCTCTGCTGCGGAACTTTTTCTCCTTTTTGATGGCTATATAGGCATCCCGCATGACGTCTTTGCCGATGATCAAGTCATTCTCTGTGTTCCCGTCCACTACCCAAAAGGTTGTGTTAAATATGACGCTAGGAAAGGCATCGAGACTCCAGAGAAGTGGGACCAAGCCGAGAGGTTGATGCTTCTGGCCTCGAAAATCTCCGAGCGCCATTTGACTTTGTAGCTCCGGATGCAGGTGGGAGAACTTTGTGAAACCTTTCTTCAACCTCCGCAATGTCTTCAGTGGTATGACACTGACTTGCGCGCCAGTATCGAACAGAGCCGAGAATCCTTTGGAACCAGGAGCGCCGCTCGTGTCGCTGTCTCCGTCACCCGCCGGCCTGCGGTCTAGCACGCCATCTCGTCCTGTACCCAGTACCGTATCCTGTGTGGAACAGGAGCTCTGTTCTTGAAGGGGATTGCTTCCGTCGGGTATTGCGTCTTCTCCAAAAATCATTACCTCCCCGAGACTGCTATCACTCTCTAGATCACCCTTGTAACTGTCGTCGACAGCCTTTTGAAATTGATCTATATTTTCCACACCTCTCAGCCACAAGACAGATGTGAGAGGAGTTGCTGTGGGACATTTATCAAGCTGAGCGGCATCTTCTATGGCTACATTGATGGGATGGTTGCTCGGTTGGGGTGTTATGTCAAATGTTCTCGGTGGAGGCTGTGGAGGTTCGACAGGGACAACAGGTTCGGCAGGGATAGCAGATTCAGCGGTGATGACTGGCGCGGCGGTGTGGAGGCCTTCAGCTCCGCCGCTTCTTATCCAAGAAGCATGCGGTGTCTATAAAGGTAAGCATCTTCGATGACGCTCATGGACCCGTTACTCACATTGACTGGCAATCTCAAAACGCTCTCCAAGCGTTGAAGGAGCCGGCGTCTTCTGTCTCCAGGCAGCGAAGGCATGGACGTCTGTTATAGAGAGTATGCCCCTTTTTGATACGTGCACCTTGAGACCTGGTCAACGTCGACAACTTCTTGTGGCGCTCCTGGTGCCGACTGTCACCGCAAGGATGCTAACAGCCGAGGGTTGTGGTCGTATGAGGGATCACTGCTAAGCTCTCCAGGCTGTATTCGAACAATGACTGGGCAAGATGTTCCAATCAAGAGCACTCTCCCCTACACTCACATGGAGTGTAGGACAAGCGCGGTGATGAGACCGATAATGAGGAGCTCGTATGTTGAGACAACGAAGGAGGCGGTTCGTGATGAAGACACCTGCGGCTATAGACTGTGTTAGAGACGAGGCTCAAGCAGGGAAAAGATACTCGAGGGCACAAGGTTGCTCATGGAATGAAAGCACAAGGTCAGTCTTGATGTGAAAGCCTTCATTTGCAACGCAACCTGCAGTCCTCCTCCAACGTTGGTGGCGGTGCCCGCAGTGAGCAGAAATCAACGCTCTGCGAGAGGCTGCGGCGATTTCATTGATCTCCTCCGATGTTCAAGGCAGACAAGCAGCCGAGAATCGAGGTAAGCGTGAAACTACAGCCCAATCAGGGCGAGCATATAGGCGTGAAGAGAAGCAGCTCTGTAATGCTTCTTTGTGGGGCGGGCCCTACTCGTCCTGGCTCTCATTCTCAAGGAGCTCGCGAGGAAGTCATTCCAGGTGTTGACGATAGTTAATCGATACTCGCAAGGTCGCAAGGAACGACGAGACTTGCGGCATATGTTCATTTCCTCGCGATTTGGCGGGAAGGGCGCCGTCTTTGGCTGCTTGGAACCTCTGCTATGAAAAGGCCAGAACCGTCACGTTGATTTCTCCAAAGGCCAACGGTCTCGTCTGGAGTTGGACACATTTTCTATCCACATGAGATCTGGACAACCAGCAGGGCAACCAGTATGAAGGGTGTGTCCACCATTACTGGTGAAATTTTGCTTGGAAGAGGCTGTCTGCTCGATTCGTCATTTTTGCAACGGGCCCGATGTCGACTTCTAACGGGTGACCACACTCCACCAACAGCAACTGACGGTAAGCAATTATGTTCGACCAAAATCCGTGTCACGAGATCGATCCCGGGTGGGTGGGCGGCGCAAGGAAACTCTGATCAGCAAGCCACGACCGTCCCGACTGCCAATGGGAGCATAAGGGTGCAAACTAAGCGGTGTTCATGCAGAACATTCCCATGCCGGCATACTTGTGTTGGGCTGTGTAGCCCGTTCTTGCCCGTTCTCACCCACGCACACGATTCATGCTGTCACTCAGCCTGATGTCTGCCTCTCTTGGGTCAACACTCAAAAGCGAGTGAGTGGTCTCGTCTACTCGGCCAGGGGACATTGTGCGACCAGAGAATTGTTTCGGAGCTTTGCAAACACTTCTAGATGGTTAGCTACGACGAGCTTTCGACGTTGATCGGAAAATGTCCAGAATTGGCTATCGTGCGGCGCTTTGGCCAGCTGGCTGCCCAAGTGACTCATCGCATGCAAGCGGAACTTCTGGAACTCGAGCATGATCTGAGAGTGTTGGGGAAGTTCGAAATGCAGCGCCCAGATTTGCGTGGGCACGCAAAGTCATGGGAGAAAGTAAATGAGGCGATCGATGCCGGTGGACGGAGCGTGCGCAAGGAGAAAATCCTCGAGGCCGAGGAGAAGCTGGGGAGATACTGTAAACCCGGCGTCTATCTGTTTGAGAATGCAGGACGAGCTGACATTATAGATGAGTTTGTATCGCGGACAGCAGCAGTGATCAAACTGGGAAGTCCCGACTCCTGCGACATTGACTTCCTCCGTGCCTGGCTTCGAGACGAGAAATGTGGCAACAACTTCTTGAAATTGTCCGCCAGCGTCGAGGCCACGGCATGGGACGTAAACCACACTGGCGACCTCATAACGCTGAACAAGAGACCCGACCGCTTCGCAGCATGGGTCGCCAATGCCCTTGTTCCACTGTACCATAAGCGACTCGGTCATCGCCTGCAGAGGAGAACCGATGAGGAGTCACTCGGCACTTATTACGCCTATGATGACAAGAAGTTGGCCATTCTGGGAAACGTGCTCTGCACCGTTCTTTCCACCATGGTACCGTCGTCCTCGATTCTTGTTCTTTACTACGTGAAGAGCATGTTATCTCGACTGCTGCTGATCATAGGTTTCAGTTCGCTATTCTCATTAATCATGGGGTTTGTCGCACATGGCAGGCGATATGAAATTTTCGCCGCAACGATTGCATTTGCTGCTGTTCAAGTAGTCTTTGTGGGAGGGGTCACTGCCGGACCGCGCTCTAGCAATTGACGTACCACTACCCAGTACGATGTGGCCCGGTTATACGATTTGAAACGTTAAGGAGTGGAAGATAAACAGTACACAGGTATGAAATTGCTTGTACACTTGGAGTCCTCCAAAGGCGACGTTCCTTCACTTGGTGCCCTGACCTGGTTTCTTATACGCGTCTTCAAGCTCCCTTTCCTTCTTCTGTTGCGCAGTGCTCATATTTTCCGCATGAGCCCTCCGGGCAGCCTCGTCGCTCCTCTTTTGCCGGTCTCTTTCGTCTGCTCATCCGTAAGCCGCTAAACTCCCGCAGTGCTTTCAGCGACGACTTCTTATCTCCTGATATGCAAAACAGACCATGTGGTCGAGGAGTGACTCACCTCCGGTTTTGGGAGGCAATTGGTAAGTCGGTTGCACTGTGGGTGACCTTGCCGGTTCCGGCGCAGCGAGTGTTATCGGGACCAGAAGGTGGACTCTTGCCAAGGTCGACTGGGAAGACACATAGATCTTTGCATCTCTTGTACTATTGTCGTTGCCCCATCGATAGCTAACCTTGATTACATGCTCGCAAATATGGTGGTAACCATGGTCATCTTTGACAGTCCGAGAAGGGATTCTTCTCCAAAGATCCCGCCCTTGGAGCAGCCGAACTGCTAGCTCTTCGGAGACTACAATGACTTCGGCAGTTCCATCAAGGCGGAGCTCCTCCCTTTCCACCCTGTGGAATTGGGAACCATTATCCGCTCTGATAAGAATACACTGACCCTGTTAGAATCGAATATTTCATTTGGGAATAGAATGGGGTCCATGCCATTTGCGTTTTGTTTTTTTGGCCGGGTTGGTTCTTCTCGATCCGTTTTCGACGTCGGCCACAAAATCGTGGGAAACCTTCAGCACCCAGGCTGAATACTTCAGATAGCAACCTTCCGCGCTGAAGTGATGAGGTAGCTGGTTTGAGAACCCGTTCTTTTTCATCAATCTCAGGTTCCTTCCCCCACTTTTGGCACGAACGGTGCCAGGGAGACATTGTCGATTGATAAAAATCAGGCTGAACAGCGATACCTGAACAGCATTTATACTGCTTGTATTGGGCAACAATTGGATGCCTGTTCAAAGAATGCAATGCACGGCTCGCAGCAGTGCTGCGACTTCGACCCATGAATGTGCAGGTTTACCCATCAATCAGAGGCGCACGAGACGTGAAATATCCTGGCATAGAGAGACATCTGAACGCGAGCGAGTTGGCAACGAGGCATGATCAACACCACTGATCGATGATTGCCTAAACGACTGTCCACGGTCACCTCGTTCAGCCTCACGAGTGTCCAGGACATGACCGCAATCTAGGAGCGAGGGGGTGTCATGCGACAAGCACGACGTCCAATGGGAATTACTTTACTGCAAGGATCAACTGGAACGTTACTGGGGTTTGAGCGAGAGAAATCTGCGATCTGAGGGCCGAGAGCCTATGAATGAAGGGACTCCCGTAAATGCAAACTGCAGGTGCATGAGTATGTCTGTGGGTGTGCGTCTTTGACGACGGTTTAGGCCAATCAACTCTGCCTTCAAGAGTGTGGCATCTTTGCAACCAGCAATTTCGCCCATCTTGGCTCACTGTTACTCCTCTGATGCACCACAGGCCAAACAACCTCCTCCAGTTGCACAGGACTCGTATTCGCAGCCCAGAACATGTTGTGTCTACAGCTGGTAGGTTGCTCTCGATGATTGCCGGAAGCTCTGGTCTGTAGGGCGTCTCCCTTCGAAAAATAGTTGTACTGACCGGTCAGCGGAGATGAGGCTGAAAGATGCCCCATCGCTGCTGAGGAGAGTGGCTTTTCCACATGTTCTTTGCGCCCCTACCCCTGCATGCTGCATCTTTTCGAGCAATTTGGGCCTTGTAACCATAGCTTCCCCCAACTGCCGCTGCGGTCGTTCAACAATTGACCTTGTTGAACTGGCCCCAACCCATGCATCGGGAGACTCGTCCCTCCACGATTGACTCCTGCTCCGCTTGGCAGTAGACTGGAGATACCGTGGAGACCCTGATGTGTGTCTAAACGATGTCAGCAGATGACAAACGTCGCCTCTGGACTGGCAGAACATGGCTGTCCATGACATGGCTGTTGGAGCATTTCCAATCAAGCCAGAGCCTCACTACGGTAAATAGACTCTTGAGACCACCTTGAGATAGCCAGAGGCCGTTCCCTGCCATCCCAGTTGCCGCGCGCATTCCCTGAACTAGGCTGTGTCACCTTGTCGCGGCCAGATCCCACGCGGCCGCAGTCAATTGACAAAAGTCGCAATGTGAAAGATCGACGAGGCACGTTTCCACGGAGGTTCTCATTCGGCCTCTGAATATCACGACTATAGGCCCGTAAACCTGGGCTAGTTACAAGTGTATTATGATGTGCTCAAGTGGTTCCTTATGAGCCTCCCGCACTTGCACTTCTATTTCTCAACCATCAAAACTCCCGGAGCGGCTGGTCTTCAACTCTCTCCCGATACGCCCAACCAAGCCCAACCTCTCTACTAGATACCCGGCTCCTCACTTGGCGATACTGCCTTCTTCCACCGCATCTTCCCACTCGATCCTCTCCCCACCTTCGCCGCCTTCTCGGTACCCTCCGTCACGCCGATCCCTCCAAGCGCGATCCACCCTTGCATAGCACCTACTGCGTAAGCAGCGGTGTGGGCAGAAAGTGGCCTTCAGGGCATTCCTGGCAATGAGAACCGAGCAGGTGGGCGCGGAACTTTGCCCTTCCGGCCACGAGAAACAACAGATTATGCGTCCTTACACAGGCCCACGGGCCACGTCTCCCTTTCATTTTCTTTTCCCCCTCTTCCCCGTTAATTCACAGCGGACGGGATGAGACGTTAAAGCGAGTTTAAGTTGAAAGCGACTAGCTAAAGTTACATATCTGTAGCGTAGCGAAATAGGGAAAGATCAAGCTAATATTAAGGTTAAAGTACTTGTACACATTAGTTTGACAGATCTGAACACTCAAGATCCCATTCCAAAGACCTTCGCAGACCAAACTCCGCGTCTCAGAAACAAAATACACTTACACAATTATTTAGGTGTTCTCCACTGTTATCTCAACAATTATACGGCAAATTGGTTGAGGATGATTTCAGATCCGGATTCTTACTGTCTGAATACCATCCGCCGAAATGTCCGCACAAAATGGAGTGTAAAGTCCATGCGGTCGCTTTAGTTGAAATCCCCTTTACCGAGCTATCAAGCCTTGTCCTACACCTGGAGGGAATCAAAAAGACAATCGCGAGATATTAGTCAATGGTATGAAGCGTTAAGGAACGAGAAACTTAGCATCGACTCTTCTGCATCTCCACTGTGAATAAAGCGGCGTTCAGCTCTGGGCAGATGGAGTGTGCATCAACCCGGGAGATGAGACCGAGAGAGGGAAGCAGGTTCTTATTATGAATGATATATACAGGGAGGCCGAAGAGGTGATTGCGTGGGATCGGAGAAAGCTCTAGCCACAGTGTTCTCGCGTTTGGTGCGATCAAAGAAGGGCGCAAAAGCCGAAGAAATTGCCGATCGAGGAGGAACTAGAGGGTTGGTCTGGTCGAACTTACCAGAGCGCAGTGCAAAGCCTGACCCAGAGACCTTATTGGACAAGACTTGGGGTCCTACGGGAAGTAGTCGTCACTAAAGCAGTCCAGGTGGTATGCGGCTATCGACAGCTACCTTTCGAAGTCTTTGTGAAAGCAATGGATGCATCGAGGGTGGCGGCAAAGTAAGTCATTAACGGAACAACTCCCTTCTTCCTTTCTTGGGCAGCTGGAATCTTCGGGTTCGTATCCCTTGGACGAAATGATTGACCTACGAGAGCAGAAAGAAGGTGTTTCGAATGTTGTAGGGTCTAGTGTATCACCTTCAGCACCCCCTCCCATCCTTGGATTTTTTTTGGTTTCTTCCCAACATTTACAAAGCAGTGATTTACGGGACAAGATCTATGGAGTTCTAGGCATCGGGACCCACAGAGAGAACTACAAACAGCTCGTCCAAATTCGCTATTCCAAAAGGACTGAGACACTCTTCAGCGAGGTTGCTCCAGCGCTGATGGAGGACAATCAAAGCCTCAGAACCATCAGCATCGCCCGTGACTGTCGGCGATCAGAAAGGCAGCCCCTTTCATTACCATCCTGGGTACTTGACGGGACTAGCAGAGAGTGTATGAAGCACTTATACTTTTACGAACGAGGACCCAACGAAAAGCCCTATCGAGTCAGCATCATGGCAATATGTCCGCTTTTCATGGGACTGTCGAATTTTGTATGCCGAAGGACTTATCAACGACACAATATCTACCGTAAATTCAACTTAGTCTCTGGACTATAAATCCAACCTGAAAGCACTGTCAGAGACATTGGCCAACCCCAACCTGCTAAACGGACTACCCATAATGCAAGCTTTCTTTCATGCAATCTCCAGAAATCATGATTTCTGGGGTGCCCAGCCCTTAAGGAATTCTCCTCGGACGTCTATGGTTCAGACTGACTTTTTTCAATCGCACCGTTTATCCGTGACTTGTCTGGTGCCGAGGGACCAGAGTTACTTGAGAGCCTCACACGGTCATTCATTGGGGATCTGAAACCGGATTTCCACTCACTCGTCGAGAACATCTGGGCCGGAGAGGAAGATGCATTGAGGAGCCAACCCATGCCCAGAGACACAGCAATGATTTACTTTCGGCTTCTATTCGTATCCATAACAAAAAAAAAAATCGAGCAGGGGGGGTTTTTTTTTTTTAAAGCCGAGAACGGAACCTTGGGAATAGCCTCCTGATATCGCGCTTGGCGACAGCATTTGTTTTCTGATGGGACATGCTGGATTATTGATTTTACCACGGGCTGAAGAGTTTTATATCTAGAGGGAGAATGCTGTCTTGCCGAATTGAACCTCGGAACCTCGATCCAAACTGAAAGGCTTGGTTCTACTCAATGACTGGAAATTCATTGATGGCGAGCTTCGCCGTGAAAGGGTCATTGACATTAAGACT